TTCTTTCGAGGAGGGAGCATGCCTGTTCGCAATGTCAGTGCAATAATGGACAAAACCGGCCCCAATGCCACAAGTCAGCATTCAGGATGAATCAATCGGCAGCCGTCTGTGTATCTACCGACTACAGTACTATCCGTACAGCGGATGAGCACCCGGTAGACGCTCTGTTGATGCTTTTTCGACGCTTACTGGAGCCAGCGTCAACCGAGATCAATGTCTTAAGGAGCTGTTCCCTTCGCCCTCATCGACAGTACCACATGTCTCACATTTGTTCGTCTCGCGTTGCAACATCTAGCCTGAACACACGCGCCTGCGCCTGCGTGGAGTCCGAACGAATCGCGACGGCAAGCACCCATTCCAGGACCACGAGCAGCAGCCTGCTGTTCGTCTGTTTCTTTGGCTTGTCTCGCAGGATTGCAACATGCAGAGCCACTTCGTCCACGGTTCACATTGCGGTCGAGCAAAGCCATACCGGCGGCTCGCTCACGGGCCGGTGATTGTCGCCCGCGAAGCCGGTCCAACGCCGGCAAACAGGGAATCGCATCCGCAAGGGAGACAACACGGCACATGCAGCAGCAGCCTCTGCGTCTGCGTCTGCGTCTGCGTCTGCGACGGTGTGGATGTGTGACGAGCGCCTCGCTATGAACTTGCGCAGGTACTAAAGTTGCACTGCAGTTGCAGCAGCGCAGACGCAGACGCAGATGGAGTGACACGAGACAGCTTTCAGCGTGTGCAGCATCGTCATCGACCCCAGAGGCAAGCAGTCAAGTTGTCAGAAACCCTTGAGATCCAGCAAAGAAACATTCTTAAACTGCCGATTGACTTGAGGGGCCAACTGCACACTTGGCAAACGGAAGCAATTGGCGAAATTAAAACTCCTTCTAGGTTGTCTCAGCTTGACGGCAACGAGCTGTGATTGGCGAGACCCAGCATCGCTTCATGATTGCAACAGGGATGACAGGAGAGTGGGGAAGTGAGCTCTCTGACCCCAAAAAGTCCGCTCCTGGCACCTCTGCCAGGCTCGCCTGCACTGGCGACTGGCCCAGAAGACGACGACGGTGTTTGCGAGATGAAGAGAGGCCCCAGCGCTCTTCCGCCCTGCATGGCACGGACAAGATATGACCAAGATATGCCCGTTGCGCCGGATTATCTATCATGGATGAACACGCCGTTTGGATGACCCGCCCAATGACAGCTCGCGTCATTTTGTGGCCCATCATATCTCACAAGACCCGTCTGTCAAGGGAGCACCGCCGAGTCCTTCGTGAGCTGCGTGGGTAATCGGTCTCAAGTGCTGCAGTTGTGCCGCTCATCATTCGAGCCGGATGCCGCTGCCTTCGGCAAAGAGACCGGTCGCGGCCGGACACAACACGGCCAGGAGAAAGCTCTGCCTGCCCAGCCAGTGGGATTCAACTCTAACCAGGGCTTAGGTGCGAGAGCGGTGGACACAAATAGAACGCATTGAAGTTTGCCTTACCACGACAGGGAACGACTGCAGTGGTGATTGAACCTTCGATCCTTCCGGCTTCCATCTGGTTTCCAGTCCAATCAGCTATTCGCAAATTGACTTCGTGGACAAGTGTATCTCACGTCAGCCTCTCGGAGCTTAAGATCTCAACTTCGATCCAGCCGTCATTAGATGTGTTTCTAACGAAAATCCGAGGCCAAATAAAGGCACCGAATTCGCCTCCCGTTGGCGACGTTGAGCGACAGCATCGCATCAAAGGTGCTACAGCTTCGACCTCCTTTGTGGTCTTGAGACACTGGTGGCATGCTGCTCGAGTTGTGGAGGGCTGAAGCATCTGAGCGTGCATGCCGCCGTTGAGCGGCTGGCTGCCATCAAGACTCGTCCGCCACCACCCGCAAGTTTTCAATCCGAGTGATTTCAAGCAATTGCTTTCTTATTCTTCAACAACAACAACGTGGCAAGCCTCCACTGGCTTGAGCAAGTTCGCCTTCTTCTACTTCACCATGGAGTCGCACTATCTAAACAAAGACGATAACAAAGAACTTCTCACTTGAGACCGTTGCCCACCCCACTACCACGCTCAACGGCCGCCGGAGCCGCTGCTTGTATCCCAAATGTACTCGCTACTCGGCCCCACTACACTCAGTCACGAGAAACAGATATCCACCAAGAGAACGGGGTTGAAAAACGGCCGGAGGTCTTCGGTAGTTGTGAGTGGAGCGGCCTTTTCAGAAACAGCGGCGGGAAGAGATGGAGGCGGCGTCGCCGTTGAATTGCCATTCATGCAGCGGCTCGGTAGTGCAGTACGTTCCATCAAGAGGTTGCGTATACAGAATGTGGGCGAAAAATTACGGGCTCGTAACTTTATGCGAATTGAAAACGCGCATGATTCAGCCTCCAGTTTGTTTCCGGGGGTAGTTGCCCTCGGCTGGGTGCGGTCCTCATGCCTGCGCCTGATTGGCTCTCCTTTTCAACGTTACTCCTTTGTCGCCATCTTCAACGGTAACTTCAAGACTTGCTGCTGGACAACCAAAATAAAGGTTTGATAGCGAGAAGTTTCATCTCCTTTGCACTGTCGTTGGATATTGCTAAGCTGATATCCAACAGCCCTTAGCGAGGATAGCACGTCAGACTAAGTGCTTGCAAGGGCAAAACCGGAAACTCCAGGCTTGACATGAGGGTGGAAGATTGGCCATGGCGACAAGAGGCCTTCGTGTCAAGCCTAGTGGCAACGTCGATCGAAAGAAATTCGCACCACATCCAGATCGTGGTGTCGGTTGCGCCTGCTGGTGGCGGCGCTTCTGGCTAACCGTCAGCTCCAGCAGAGTTCCCTGTACAATATTTCTCTCTCTCGATCGCCACGTTTGAAAGCCTTCGATCGGGGCCTGAATCTCGAACAGAAGTCTAGAACGAGGACCATCGCACTATTGATGCTGGGTACAATGTTGAAATCGAAAGCCAGGCTACACCTGACTTACCGCCAGCAGTTCACGTTGCGCAGGCATGTAACCGACTTTCTGCGCTACTGGCTAGTCGCCGCTGTTCCATAACACACGGAATGTCCGGACCGGTGCGTTCACCACGGTCTAGGAAATAGTGCTTTCTTCGGCATCTATCAAAGCCGCGAGCTCGTTGCTCGCGAATTGCCTGGAAACCTATTTCAATCTTTTCTTTACATGCACAAGATGAGCTTTGCATCAAAAACCTACATGAGAAGAAGCTTCATAGGCTACAGAGGGTGCGCAAGGGTTGCTATGCTAAACAATTAGCCTCGCCGTAGGGACTTTCAAAGAACGGCCAAAAGGCTCGCCCGTTTTGTTTCCGTTCAACGCAGCCAGTCATGTTGGATATACCTTTGGCATTCGATGAATGATGCCCATCGTTGCCCGCTCATTGGCCGTGTATCGACCTGCCTAATGCGAGATGTTTTTGCCGTCTTGATCTGCTGGCTTGCGCCTTCTCAGAATTTGAAATGCTTCGGGCCCGAACCTAGCGGCAAGGGCACGAGGAAATGGAGCGCGATACGCGTCCTGTCGAGCTAAGCATGCAAGAGCTGGAGGTTGAGTTGCTGCTCAACAGTGGCTCTAGTTTCGCCATCCTAAGCGAGCATGGAAGAGCAGGAACGAGTCTTCTTACACGCTTAGAGCACCGTCCGAGAACCTGGCCTTAGGCCCGGAGAGATGATTGGCCCCGGACCTAGAACCGTGTTCATGATCGACAGCCGGATCGTCGGCGACGGACTTCGGATCTTCAAGCGGACCCTCTTACCCTGGCGCCTTCCTCCCGGCTCAACGGCCGAACTTCGACGACTTCTGGGTCTCAGAAATCGACGCAATATCAATCTTTCGCCTCACGATTTCTTGTTCTCCCAATTTTGTATGGTTGGATGCCCTACAGAATGACTACTCGTCACAATGGAATCCCCTTCTGCCCCAACCACCGAGGTCCGTGACCTGGACAACCCCGCCATCGACATCTTTGCATGTCCGTCAGCAGCGCACGTCCAGCGGACCTCGACCGTTGAATGTCCCAGATGACGAAGACGGGAAACAAGTTTCTACCAGCGCGCAGCTCCATTGTGGCGGTGCGTTTCCAGACCTGGAGACAGGGTTGGGGAAACAGAGAGGCTTAAACCCCGGCGATGGGATGTCTGCCCATGCCTTTGCCTCCCGCCGTTTGGGGGAGTGTCTCGCAACCACAGAGCGCGAAGCTTTGCGTCCCCGTTCAGAGCGATCCGAGGCTATGGGCAGGAAATCTCCCAGAGCCTGCACAAGATCATGACTAGTAGTTTCCTCCGTCTCAGAGGCGTGAGTTGTCGTCATGCGTTTCGTCCATCAACCCTGACATAAACCTGCTTGTAACTCCATTCAAATGAGTAGATACACACCATTGTAAAGAAACTCAACACAATTCAATAAAAGCCAATCAGGTATTTGTGAGGGGCAAAAATATGCCATCTCGTGTATCTTATCATGCCATTCCATCTATGAGACGCACACCTCCATACAAAGCCCATCGCTCATTGTTCTCGAAGAACCAAGATTCCAAAAAGAATGCCCAGTCATCAAAACTCCCAACTTTCGCCTCTTCACCCGCCTCCAGCTGAAACTTCCTCGCGTGCTTCTCTCTCGTTCCCCCCCGTCTCTCAAGTCCGTGCCGTCTATCCAGAGCCAACGCATCCTACGCCGACGCTAGTAAACATCAAAACACCAGACGAACCTCTCCAACTGTCTGCCCTCTCGGCACAAACCCCTGGTCAATCACCCTTGCGAATGATAACTTGTCAACCCCCCCGGCGCTCCCTCGCTCAAAAGCCAACCTCCAGAATGCTGCCTTCACTCTAGTCAAGGTCAACCGGAAGGCTGCTCCAGCTCCTCTGCCTGCCATCTTCCCCAGAGTGAGCACAGTCTCTGAAGCCAAGAGCCAAGCCCAGCCTTACCAACTTTGTCACTTATAACTTCGAAAGCCTCATCTTCAAAGGACACACCATTTCCTTGCAGGAGGGTTTCCTCCTCACATCAAATCCGACATCATGTCGGATTTCGACCCGATCATCCAAGTCCGTAACCCGTGTTCGCGTCTTCCTCCTCCGTCCTCTCTCAACTAACATCCAACACCCTTCCTAGAACCCCCTCGGCCCTCCGTACCAGCCGCAGGTCGCGATCCTCGGCCTGATCCCAACGGTACGTGTCGACGTGCCGATCTGCATCATCCTCATCATCTTCTTCCTCGCCGCCGCGGCCCTCAACGGCTTCATCTTCATCCGCAACAAGGCCGCCGGCCACAAGTTCTTCCCCTCCACCGTCCTCGTCGGCTTCTGCACCACCCGCATCATCGCCCTCTCCCTCCGCATCGCCTGGGCCACCCAGCCCTGGAACGTCAAGCTCGACATCGCCGCCACCATCTTCGCCGCCGCCGGCGTCGTCCTCCTCTTCGCCCTCAACATCCTCTTCGCCCACCGCCTCCTCCGCGGCCTCCACCCCAACCTCGGCTGGAACCCCTTCGTCGGCTACTTCTTCCTCTTCCTCTACTTCTACATCGCCGTCTGCCTCCTCTGCGCCGTCGTCGCCACCGTCGTCTCCTTCTACACCCTCGACCTCGTCTACCTCAACAGGTGCCACCTCGTCCAGCTCTTCTCCTCGACCTCCCTCGCCGTCCTCGCCTTCGCCCCGTTCCTCATCGTCGCCGGCGCCCTCCTCTACCCGGGCCTCCGCCGCCCCGAGCCCTTCGGCTACGGCTCCCTCTCCACGAAAGCCCTCCTCGTCCTCGCCACCGCCTTCCTCCTCACCATCGGCGCCGCCTACCGCTGCGCCGTCAACTTCGCCGTCCGCCCCGCCCTCTTCCCGGGCTGGTGGCACCACAAGGCCTGCTACTACGTCTTCAACTACGACCTCGAGCTCATCGTCGTCTTCACCTACGCCCTCATGCGCTTCGACATGCGCTTCCACGTCCCCGACGGCGCCTGCAAGCCCGGCGACTATCGCAAGGGCCAGTACAAGTACCACCGCGTGAGCAACCTCACCGTCACCCGCCGCCACGGCCGCCACGGGCGCAACCGCATCAGCATCGAGGAGGTCGAGGAGGCGCGGTACACCACCTACACCTCCCGTCGCAGCGAGCGCTCCGGCGTCATCCGCGGGCTTAGTGAGATCGACGACTGCCGGGACTCGTCGTATCTGAGCGCGTACTTCCGAAGCTCCCACGGCAGCTCGTATGACTCTCACGGGAGCAGTTCGTACGATAGCAGCTCGCAGTCGTACACAAATACGAGGAGCGGCGAGAGCGAAGAGATCATGGCGGAGAGGATCAGGGAGTGGGAGAGGAGGTCCCTGGGGCGGAGCAGGAGAAAGAGGGACGGGCATCATCATCGCCATCACCACCACCATCATGGACGAAAGCACAGCCACCACCGCAAGAATCGGAAAAAGTGAGAAGAGCAGTCGCGAGGAAGGAAAAAGAAAGAGTGAAGTTTGTTATACCCCTTTATTAGTTGACGCATAGTTGTAATGATTGGATGGCACCTGCGGGCGTTGGTAATTCCCATTGCACATAACGATAATGACCAAGACATACCTCGGAAACGGTTCATGAGCATAGAATGAGTTCGGACAGAAAGAATAGAACATCAAACTTCATTAGCATCGACACCTTCTTATTGCCGGCGGTCTATGAGTATCTAACGCGTTGACAGAGTGAGAGTCCAAGGGGAAGCCTCCTCGGTTGAGAGGAGCCGCGCTCGCGCTCGTTCCCATAGAACCCTCGCTCCATCTAATGCTCAACGCAGAATCTCTCTCTTGGGAATACATTGGTCTTTTGGCTTTTGTTTGTAATCTTACAAGATTAGACTCCCCCCAAGCACCAATGCAAGTTGAGCATGCACACGCCCTCTCTTTCGAATCTCTTCCACGTATAGCACCCGGATAATGATGATTCCGGGTGATGAGTAGTAAGGGTATCGGATGCGTGATCAGAGGAAGTAGTCGGGTGTGCGTCTCGAGACCATCGGTTCACCGGCTCTCGGGCAAGGATCGAATTGGAGGCTTTACGTGGTCAGCTTGCATCCTACTAAAATCCTGGCACCATTGGTACTTACAAAGTGTACTTGAGATGTTCATCAATCTCCATGATCGCGGCCTGATTGCCGCATCTGTAGCAGTAGTTGGGTGCTGCGCGCGCGTCAGTTGCCGTGCCTCAAAACAAGATCTGGCGAAGCTTACCCGAGAAGATAGTCACCACGTTCCTATCCTGCGACCAGTTGTAACCCTCCATAACAAGCTGATGAGCACGGGCAATAAGCGTGAGGCCGTTGTTGTGGTTGAAGGCCTCGGAAATGTCTTGGCCAAAGGTGTAGCCAGCGCCACGGGGAGAGATTCCCCAGCCGCAGCGGTCATCGGGGTCGGACCAAAGCAAGTCGCACATGGGACCCTCGTGGGGAACCTCCTGAATTCTGTCAAGAGCTCTGATGTTGTCCAGGGTGTCGATACTGGGCGACAGACCACCGTGAAGGCAGAAGATTTGGTTGTCGATGAGGGCAGTAAGGGGGAGGTAGTCGAAGAGGTCGGTAAAGTACTTCCACACGTTGGCATTGCCGTATTTCCGAAGGCACTCATCGTAGAAGCCGTAGACTTGGGTGATCTGGCGGGACTCGTGGTTGCCACGGAGGATGGTGATGCGCTGAGGGTATCGGATCTTGAGGGCGACGAGCAGAGTCACGGTCTCGACAGAGTAGTAGCCTCGGTCGACGTAGTCACCTATCGAATAGCGTAAGCAACTGCTCGCGGCATGACGAGCGTCTTGTCAGGCCCAACGCACCCATGAAAAGGTAGTTAGTGTCGGGGTTAGGACCGCCAATCTTGAACAACTCCATAAGATCGTGAAATTGGCCGTGGATATCACCGCACACTGTGACTGGGCATTTCTGAAGGATGGGTCAGTTCGAATCGCCCATGTCCAAGGGGGCGAGGGGGACGTACGACTGGTTGCACGTTGGACTCGTCCTGCAAGACTTCCCGCGCCTGTTGATGAATGTCAGAAATTTGTCGCTGCGAGGTCACGCGAGGGGCGATTCGGAGATGAGGGGAGGGCACAAAGGCTTAGTCGCAGGCAGCTATGACGACAGCTGGTGCAGAGGCGCATTGCGGCTGTCCATCATCAGCGAGGATAGTGACTGACCTTCTCGCAAAGCCTCTGAACGTCGGCCTCGACGAGCTGCTTGCAGTTCATGAGGCTCTCAATCCAGCCATCTAGGGTCGGGATCGTGGTGGGCTCGAGGTTCTGGGTAGAGGGCAGATCGGCGGGGACACGCCCAACATCCTCCATGTTCGTATCCATGCTGAAAGTCGTCTAAGGTATAGCAAAAGTCGTCACTAAATTGTTTTGATCGGTCGCGAGAAGCAGAATGGCGGGCAAAGCGAGGGCGGTCGGGTCGTGGTCGTTCGTGTCGAGGGGAGAATGACGTTGTTTTCAGCAACAGGTCGCGGTCTTTCAGATTAGCACAGCACCTCAATCCAGTAGCGTGGGGCTGGCGGCGGCGAATCGTCGAAGGCGGTCAGAGCTTCGTCTGAGGCCAGATAGGGAGGGCCAAAATGGAGTTCGGCGCAGGGGAGGAGGGACGGGGGATGTTGTCGCGCAGGGCGGGGCGGGAGCGGGATTCTAATTCTCTGATGGGAGTTTGATGAGGAGGGCGTCGATGTTGGGTTGGGCGGCGCCTGGGGATTTTTGCGAGGTGGGAGACGGGCTGGGAAGTGGTGCTGCTCCTGCTTGTGCTCGTGCTGGTGCAGGTGCAGACGAGGAAGGCAGGCGGGAGCGGGTACGGTACGGATGCTGGTGCGTGGGCTTGGGATCTGTTATTGGGGGGTACGCAGCATCGGATGTACCTTACCTAGGACGTTGCGCGTAGGTGTACCTTACCTACGAATACTGTGTCGTGCTGCGCTGCGCTGTCACGGCTGCTGGTTACAGCATGAGGAAATTGCCTGCCTCTTCGCTTAAATCCGATGCAGAGGCAAGTAAGCCTCAAGCCATTTGACGGCTATTTTTCTTGAGCCTCCGCGAGAGGCCTCATGCGATAATCACACACAGTATATACCCATGGTCGATTATTGCTTAAATTGTAATGCGAATACTTGCCAACCTTGCGATCCTTGACGGTTCAATTCACTTTTACAAGTTATCCATCCCGAAAGTCGCAAACGCCGTCGCAGGTAAACACAGCGACCCGAGCCAGGGGATCCGAGTCAGCCCCAAGCTTGGTCTGGAACCTTGACATATGCCAGTGATTGCGGCATCTTCGTCATAGTCCGTAACTCCAATGTCTTGCACTCATTTACATGCTTCCTCCATAAACAAACACCCGTCTCAATTTCCACTGTGAGGCAATCGCCATAAATCAAGGCAATGCCAGCCATCACCAGGCTCAACGGCACGCTTTGCCGTCACTTCGACCAGGGCGCTCATTGTCAAATTAGGTACTTAGGACAAACCGAGCCCGACGGGACTAGCCACCCCAGACGCGTGGTCTACCAAATCTTTGCCAACCAGGTTGCGGAAGTCGAGCTGCACTTCGCTGAGCATCTTGGCATGCTCCTGTGCTCGTTCCATGCACTGGTTCCACGCCTCCCCGCCCCGCTCTGTGCTGCTGAGTTGCCTTCCGAGGATGGCGTTGAACGACTCAACCTCTTCCTTGGCCCACTTGACACAGGCACTCATCATAGGCGGTGGGAAGCATGAGTGGAAGCAGCTCACCGTATTGCGGATGAGCGAAAAGTAGACGAACGAGACCTCCCAAATGTATTGATGCAAGTCTCCTTGGAATATCGTTTGTCTGTCAAGGGTCAGATTGTGTTTGGAAACCGTTGATATTCCTGCTTACCTGATTCGTTTCTGGATGGTCTCGTGCCTGGCTACCAGATAGGCCTCACGAGCGCGGTCCTCGTACCCTAGCCTGGCCAGCCAGGTAACGTTGCGCTTGTTCTTCGTCGGAGCATTGTGCGTTGTTTCCAGTTCGCGAATGATCATGCCCGCCAGCTTGGAGCATCGCTCTTCAACCTTGAAGCTGATGAAGTCCTGCGCCACCGTGTTGTTCTTCAGGCTTCGAGCGAGGCTCTTGAGCTTCTCGACACGGCTTACAGCAGGCTCAAAGTTCTGCAGTGCAATATCGATATCCAGCTCGTCCATTTGGCTTTCAACCCACCGGAGGTTTTGCTGCTTTCCGTCCACGTCGATGAGCATGTCCTTGATATCGGAGAGTGTCTCCAACAGCTCCGTCTTCTGGAGCAAACCGGGGTCTCGAGATGCGAAATAGTTGATCGTCTCCTTGGCTTTGTTGTTGGCCTCCAATTCTGATTGTCGCTCCTTTCGCAGGTTCTCCACTGCCTTGCGGATGTTCAGGAGTAGACCGTTCTTCTCCGTGTCCTCAGGCTTCTCTGTCCGGTAAATGACCGACTCTTGACCAACACCCCTGACCATGATGGCATCTGCTAGCTTGTTGCGAGTGGTCGAAGAATCACTCGAACCCGCCATGTCCACCACTTCAACGTCTAGCAGGGGCCAACACCTATCGGCCACGAGCTTCACAAGTGGGCCAGTTGCCTCACGAGGAGGCACATCTGCCTTTCTCTTCTTGCGACTAGCAATCAGCAGGTGGTCGTTGAGGAGGAAAATCTGCATCGCGCGACGAGACTTGTAGGTTGCGTTGTCCAGCTCGATCCAAGCTCCAGCATTCTGGATGACGTGACGAGTGGAAGAGTTGGGCAAAAACTTTTGCGATCCCTCAACGTTCTTGTAAAGCGCCTGCATCTGTGAGTTCCAAAGCGCACTTCGGTCTGCGACAGAGCTGCGTTTGTCTCTCTTGCTCAAACCCGTGGAAAGCTCGCCGTTGAGGCCCGACGACTCGTTATTACTATTATTATTGTTGCTGGATGCTTGGCGCAGCGCTGTTGTGTTAACCTTGAGGTCTGTCATGAGGTTCTTCAGCGCTCGCATCTCGCCCTTGAGCTTTTCGGCTTCCTTGCTGATTTTGATGAACTGGGTGCGATTTTGCATGACATTTTGTTGGAGGTCTGCGCCGGCTCGACTCTTGAGACCTCGGAGGTTGTCTTCGAACTCGCGGATTTGGTCCTCGGAGGCTTCGCTGAGCAACCTGGCGACATCTACAGGATACCAAGTCAGCAACCTCGAGTGGAATACACCGAACACGAAGACATACATTGATCGGGAGCCAGATTAGGGTCACGTAGGGCCTTGACGTCGACAATAGGAGCGGGAGCCGTATCGCCCCCTCGGCTGGGGGGTGGTCGCGCCATTCGCTGGCGGGTTTCGTACTTGTCTAGGGATGGCATCGCCGGCACCGGGGGGTTATGCACGTCGAAGTCATTCGGGAGGTTGTTAAATCTCGTAGAGTATCGTCGCTTCACCAAGTCGGAGGTCTGGACATCCTCGAGTTAGCTCCTACATCTTGCTATCGAGTCGCATCGCATGCTTCCACCTGACCGTGGAAGACAGCTCGGCGCTTGGCTGTCTTGCTTACCTTTGAGCCGCCAGCCTGCGGCGGGGGACGAGGTCGCGGCTGCGCCGGAGGAGGACCAGCGTCGGCCATCGGCCTCGAGCCGGGCTGCCGCACCGGACCAGATCCATCTTGCAGAATGGGTTCCGAGATCTGACGCGGAGCACTAATCTGGGGGCGGCCTTTCCTCTTGTTGCCGCTTCTCAGCGAGATCTTGCTCCTCTCCCGATCTTCCGACATGTTGGGTGACTGCTTTGTTCAGTTTCGTACGGGCAGCAGCCGATTCCAGCGACGTCTGCCGTGCGTCGAAGAATTGTAGGTGTTCAAGGGCACAGAAGCCCCCCTCGTGAGGATGAAGGTCGGGTCGTTGTTGTTTCATGCACCTCTCAAGGAATGGGTAGCTGCCGTGCCGGTACTGTGGCCGTTTGAGAGGCGGCACCCCTGCTCATTTGGATGGACGGGATAGTGGACTTGGGCCGCTGGCAGCACCCATCCCGCTACGTAACCACTCAGCAGCCCCAGCACCATTGGATCTCTCAGTGGAAGTGCGGGCAAGCTGTCGTCTTGATACGTACACCTGGTCCGTGCCTCCCTACCCACCACCCACAGCGGCTCTTGGCAAGGAACGCGACCTCTGGCAAACGATGGCGCAGAGGCTAAAAAAATTGGTAGCGGAAGCTCCATCGATTCCCGGTAGAGCTTCTCTCTTTCGATATTCACTCCGCCAACGAAAGGAACCCTCGCCAACCTCTCCGGTCCTGCGAATCATCCAACAAAACCGCTGAGCGCAGCATCGACTTTCGAGCCGCCTCTCGCATACACTCTACCCCTCTTCGGCACCCGCCCGCTGCATCACCCTGCCTTCTTTGTTTGTCCCGCCTTCGGAGTATCCCAAAATGTCCCAGACGTCGACGATAGTGACGGCATCGGTCGCCGCCGCGGTTACCGGCCTGTTTGGTGAGTTGGCCTCCAGCTCCGCGCGCCAGCCAGACTACCATTATTGGATATCTTGATGGCATACGAGGGGTCGTGGATAGACGAGGACCAAGCTGTTGTGCTGACTGTTGCCAAACAGCCTACGCCGTTTACTTCGACTACAACCGCCGCAACAAGGCCGAATTCCGCAGAGAGCTGCGCCGAAACGAGCGCAGACAGCACAAGGCCGAGAAGGAGGAGGCCCAGCTGGAGACCGTCCGCCAGCGTCAAGCGATCAAGCAATCCGTCGATGACGCCAAGGCCGAGGGCTTCCCCGACGACGTTGAGTCCAGAGAAGCATTTTTCTTGCAGCAGGTTTCCGAGGGAGAGACCCTTTCCGCAGACCGTTAGTTCACCCCTCCACAGATCTCCCGTCTTCGAGGAAGAGCGCAAACCCTCTAGAGTATTTCAAATGGACTTGGGTGCTGACATGTTAAATCAATAGCCACCCGCGCCGTTGAGGCTGCGCTGGCGTTCTACAAGGGCCTGAAGGTCTACCCCACGCCTGGTGACCTGATTGGTATCTACGACAAGACCGTCCCCAAGGTAAGGAAACACGCCGACTTTCAAAGACTTGACATGGAACTAACCCATTGACAGCCTGTTCTGGACGTACTTGCCGAGATGATCGCCTACGACTCGACCCTCAACATCGGCCAGTACACCGGTGGTGTCAACGCCAACCTCTCTGACATGCCCGCCGTTGGCCTGGACTAAAGAGGTTCCGTCCTTTACGGCACCCAGATTAATCCCCTCCACTCTCTCACTCCTCCCGGCTACCGACGGGCACACCTCATAACCCACCAAAAGGACAGCAAGATCACTCTGCGCATGGCGTGATACTGTCCAATCATTCCCCGAATCTCACTCCTAATCCCCCGACTACCATCATATCGCAAAGAGAAAAAGAGGATTCACGACTTTTTCAATGTACAATACTCTGGCCGGCTGGGCTGTTTTGATAGAAGGTTTTGTAAGAGGAAACCACATGTATATTGATGACGACCCTGGCAGGAAGAACAAGCAAGAAGTTAACGAATTTCGCAATCTCGTAATGCTTGTCAATCCGCTGCTGTCGATGGGCAGAAAAGCCATTTGACCGTTGTTTTAAACGTTCATGTACGTTGGACTGGGGCTTTCACCACTGTCATGACCATGGCTATGACGCAATGGCGCCCGGTTCACAAAATTTCTCCAAGTTCAAGACGGCCCACAACTGGGTTTGTGAAGATAATGTTGTGCCCTTGCGGATGCAGTCGTCTTTTTCATTACTACTAAGAACCCTACGCCTCGATTTTCCTGCCCTTCCTGTCAACTCTCTCATCTCGGGGATCAAATCCGCCATTGCCCCAAGTCGCCCACTCTGGCGTCGCCTCACCCATGTAATCTTCTGGCTTCCAGTCCCCATCGGCCCCGCGCTCCTCAAGCAGCTCAAAGAACCTCTGGTAGTCAATCCTCGGGTGCCACTTGCCGTCTTTGTAGAATCTGTCGCTCGCAAGCAGCACGCAGCAGCTGTGCGCATGCTCCGCCGCGATGCCATACTTAAGCCCCTTCTCATTGAGCCTCTTCTCCAGGGCCGTCACGAATTCCGCAACTTCCCAGTAGAACGGCACGTTGGACATGCTCAGGCCGGCGTTGGATGCCGTGGAGGTGCCGCAGTACGTGACGCCCTTGATCTCCACGAAGCACGGCAGCCCCTTCTCGACGAGCTGCGCGTACCCCTCAACCTCGTCGTCGACGTTGAAGCCCTTGACGAGCGTAAGGCGGAAGACGGTGCGATGCTTGAAGCGCTTCTCGCGTAAGATGTCCAGACACCGCTGGAACCGCTCCCAGAAGTCGCGGTGCAGCGGGCGGTCGATCTTCCGCAGCGACTCCTTGTTCGAGGCATCGATGGAAACGTACAGCTGCGTGACGGCCTTGAGGGCGGCGAGCTGGTCCGGGTGCTGGGCGTTGCAGACGAGGAAGGACGAGATGCGCTCGGCGTGGAGCATGCCAAGGAACTCGTTGATGTATGGGTAGAAGATGGGCTCGCCGACGAGGGAGAGGGCGCAGTGGCGGATGCGCATGGCCTCGGCGAACCTCTCGGCCCGGACGCCGGGAACGCCGCGGAGCATCTTGATCTTGTTGTAGTGGTTGGCCTTGACGCCGTCAAAGATGAGCTCGGGCGGGTCGACGACCCAGCGCCACGTAGTGCCGACGGGGTTCGTGCCGTGGCGCCAGCAAAAGACGCACTTGTTGGAGCAAGACAGGGAGGGCGTCGTCTCCATGCACTGATGAGAGTTGATACCGTAGAAGGAGTACTTGTAGCAGGAGCCGCGACCGCGCAGGGCGGACTTTGTCCAGCGGCAGATCTTGACGCCCGAGTGGGAGCCGACGATGGAATAGCCCTGTTTTGTGAGCGAGGCGTAGGTGGGGGAGTTCTTGGGGACCATCTCCTTTGCGGCATTGGTCGGGGTCTTCTTGGGGGCAGAGGCGGACTTTCCGTAGGTCGTGAAGTCAACGGCAATAGGGGCAGCGGCGGGTTTCGTGTCGGCGTCGGGGTTGGAGCTCTTCATGATGCGACCAAGATCCTCGACATCGTCAATGTTCTTGCGGCTCTTGAGCTTCTCAGGCTTTGCGTCTTCCTCGATGAGAACCTCGTCATCATCTTCCGCCGCGGACTCGTCATCGCTTTCTTCGGGTGCGCCGCTTCCCGGCAGACCTTCACCTAGGCTACCAGTCTTGGCTAGCATACCGAGAACATCCACGACACCCTCAGACCATTCAGATAACCTCTCGACGTAGTCCCGCTTCGTATCGCCCATGCCCACAGGGAAAGCTCTCTTGCGGCCGGTAAGCTTAGCCATCCACTTGTCGACCTCCTTGGCCTGGAAGCAGAAGCCTTCGTCTTCCGTAGGCCAGCCTTCGCGGTCGCCAAAACCAAAGACGGAGTAACCAAGTAGCGGGGACAAAGGGGCGGTGTCGATGCGGAAATCATGGTGCGTCTCTTGCAGGTGCTCCAAGAAGGTGTCGTTGATCGTGTCAATGTTGTAACTTGGCAGGAGGAACATGTAGAACAGCTCGACGGGGTCCTCGGACTTGGGCGGGGTGATGAAGTAGTCGTCAAAGTCGATTTCAGCCAGATCCAGAACCTCGGGGGTATTAAATGAGCAGTCAGTATCCGCGGTAACCTTTTCCAGCTGCTTTTCCAAGCGCTCGGCATAGTCCTTCGCAATCTTGGGGGTGTTCGCGGTGATGCTCGAAAAGAAGATCAGAGGTCGCACCGTCCTTGTCGAAGCCTCTCCATTCTTGAGCTCCTCAGAGGGCCGCTTGACGAGACCACCCTTTATCCTCTTCGGGCCGTTCGACTTGGGCGCCTTCGTCTCGACAACCGGAGTCGGCTTCGCATCCTTCTTCTCGTCGACGGGCTTCGGCAGCGGCTTCGACTCAGGCTTTTCCCTGTTCAAGGCTTTGGGGAATGCTTTCAATTCGTCCTTCTCCTCGACACTGTGAAGATAGAACCGGAGTACAAGCAGGCCGAAAGCAGTAAACAGAATGACGGGTATGCGGATTTCTTGCCATACATCGTGGAAGTCTACGCACAAAGAATCAGAAAAGTTAGCGCAAATGCGCACGGGTAGCGACGCGACTGCGACCGATGCTTACTGTTCAACACGGACAAGATGCCCGGCCGGTCAAGAGGGGAAGCCATCTTGACCCTTGAGAATCGTCGAAGAGCAGCGGTGCTCAAGTTTGAGCCTTGAAACTGCTGCTGCCGTCACAATTCTTGGGCGGTGCGAGGGTTGCAGTGGCGGGGTGTGGGTTTGGCGAGGGGACCATGCAGCCAGTGGGCGCAACCGCAATGGCAATTCTTATTCAGAGTTTCGGCGCCTGGACTTTTGGACCTGAGTGTGGTTGGTGCCCCCGCAAGAGAATTTTGGCGGGTGCTGCACCTCATCAACCCCGCCATTAGCGTTTTTTTTTTTTGGAGAAACCCCTGCCATCTGCCAACCCCAAATGGGCTGTCAGAAAGCTTCTTCCTCAGAAACACAGGATGGAGCTGAGCTTTGAGAGCTTGACGTATTGCTTTAACGAAGTCCAAATAAAGTTTATGAAACAGTCTCGAATCCGATTCCATGCATCTATGCTTGAACTTTTATCTAGACATTATTTGTCAGTGAGTCTACTATCGTTGTCTCTACCTCGTCGCGGGCCCCGTCTCTATCCACGTCTACATCTATGAACGGCGCTCTGTCTTTCACGTTCACGTTGCAATTCATACTCTGCGGTCTGATCCTGCCTGGGCCTGTTTGTCTCTCAGGTCTTTCAAGCAGGGAGCGAAGAAGATCTCCCCAGATATGGCTTGGTGCAGCGTTCTGACTGCTACTAACAGCCATAGGAGACAGACGGAAAGTGAGAAAATCTAGACACGTTGTTGTTAGTAACTTCACTTCTTGGGATTGAGAAACGGTGCATACCATGGTCATGACTCTGAAGAACGTGCTATCCAAGTCCTGCGCCAGCATGCCGGTACAGGTTGCCATCACACCCAACGGAAACGTGAAACCCCACCAGCCCATGTTGAACGGGAACTTTTGCATCGTCACGATGCTGATGAGAGCAAAAGATAACCAGACCAGCGCGAAGCCCCACATAATCAAGGCGAGGAAAATGCCCAGGAAGTAGAGAATCTCCCCGCCGTGTACGGCACCGGGCGCCGCAGTGGTAAAAGCTGTTGACTGGGGAAGGAGTTTGAGGGACACTTTGCCCAGTTGCTGGATGCCAAAGCCGCCTTGGCCCAATGGACCGATTGGCAGAAACACCGAGACGATGGCTTCTTTGGGAGGAAGACTATGAATAGTCAAGCGATGGAAGTAAAGTGCCAACACCATGCTGGAGAAGCAGATCCCTATCCCCCATAGGATGTAAGAGGCGATAAGTGTGATAAATGCATGATCTGGGTTGGACAAAGCCTCAGCTACGATACCACCCGTTGAAGACGCAACTACTACTGGAACGATTGGCAAAAGACTGGCTGCTGTGACTGCTTGTAGCCCCGGACGGTGTTGATGGATCCTAGGGTTCGGCTATTAGAATAGGCCAAAGAAGGTGAGGCAAGTTTGAAAGGCCTCCAGTCACACCCGACCCTGAGCAATGATTACCGAGGGTGGTTAGGATTGTGACCTGCCCCAAATTTGGACTTACATGACGAACGGTACAGTGATGCAAGTTGCCAGGGATAGAGCAGCGTCAAGCCACCAGAAGCCCCAAGCCCATGAAACAACCCACTTGCCCCAGGCTGGAGCGCAGACGAATATCATCATGTTGATGATAGCTAAGTGCAGGCGTTAGTGGCTAGTGTTTCCCCGATTTTATGTAAAGGTCATTTACTTGCAAATCCCATCGGGAAACAGCCAAGGAACATTGACTGGGCTGGATGGATAACCATCGCCTTCCAAATTTCGGGATAAAGTGCATAACGCAAGACGGTAATGCCCGTAAATATTGTGAAAAGACCAACGTTGAGAATAAAGAACGCGACAGCGAGGCCGTGAGAAATCCAAGTTGCGTTGTAAGGCAGGTTATGGAGGAGGATTGACACGATGCCCGTGCCCATTGTAACCGCGAACCATCTGTACCAGTGTCAGACACTCTTGCCGGAAATGCTTCCGCTGTGACGTACGATGGGGTGAAGTTTCTGACTATCTTTCGCCAGCCAACATCCTCCTTGCAGGGCGTGCAGGGAGTCGTATCGCCCGCTGTCGTACCGTCTGTTCCCGATTTCGGGCAGGCCTGCTGAGGTTTCGACTGAATAGTCGCAGTTGTGCTGATAGTTGCCATTCTGGGTAGTGAAGTTCGGAAGGGGCGCAATACTACAATGAAACCGCACGCAACTTTGAATTTTAAATTGAGTCAACATTAGATGAATACTACCTTCTGAACGAAAGAAAGAAACTCTATGAGAAAATCTTGAGATCAGTAGCGGTCGTCTGGAAAGTACCTAGGTATGCTCGCTGAGCAATCCTAGTGTGAGTAATACGGGCGAGCCCGTTATGGTCAGGCGCCCCACCACGCCCAGCTCAGTCGGCGATTGAGAGCGTAGCGGCTGTCGGTCAGCACCCTGAACACCGGTACCGAACACAGAACCCCATTGGCATTGAGTAAACATAACGCAACCCCATAGTTGTCAATCAGCTCCAAAGCAGCACGCGCGTATTAGATACGTCGTCTCTACGGTTTGCAATTGACTAGACCTGACCGCCGCGAAACTCTAACCAGACCCATTTCGTCTTATGTGAGGCCATCTGACCACCATGTACATTGGGGGCCGCCCACCGCCTATCGCCGGCTTTGCAAGGATCCCACGACAAAGCCTCCTTTGGTTATCTCAACCAACCAGAAACCTCCATTTTTGGGGGAATTCGTCTACCCAACGACATAGCATTCGCCGACCAAACTGTGCACGCAGCGCCGGCAACGTGTTCAGACTACCCTGTCTCTGTCTCAGAGAAGAGATAGGGTCTGATGGGCGTCCCGACCCACCGTCCGAGGTCGGAATAACCAGTCGCTCCGCGAGTTTCGCCCATTTCCATCAGGTAATGAGGTGCGAGCCTGTCCCGGTGACCGACCGGTGCAATCGTATCACCAGAGAGCGACAAGACTCAAAACCCCGCACGTTGAGCATACCGAAAGACAATCGTCCATCCCAAACATCGACCAGTACCATAGACCAGCCATCCCATTCGTAGCCATGGCCCTCGAAATCCTGACCAAGATCACCTCTGCCTTCGGGCACGAACTGAAGGGCGACAGCAACCGGTTCGATGAGCTCGTGTTGGCGTTGAAGGAGGCCCTGGGCCCGTCGTCGGGGTTGGACTCGGCTGACGTCGACGTCAAGGAGTTGATGGAGCTGATGGAACAATACAACTCAAGGGAGAGCGAATGGATCCAATTTGCATTCGCCGAGAAGAGCATGGGATACACAAGAAACCTCGTCGACGAGGGTAATGGCAAGAGCAATCTCGTGAGTGGACATCGCCACAGCTTTGTGGTTGACGTCGATGCTAATGCAAACACAGCTTGTGCTTGTCTGGTCTCCGGGCAAGGGCAGTCCAATCCACGACCACGGCAACGCCCATTGCCTCATGAAAATCCTCAAGGGCAACCTGACTGAGATCCGATATGCCTTCCCCGAGGGCGAGGAAGAACAACCGATGAAAGTGATGTCTGAGAGAACACATAAGGAGAATGCGGTGGCATACATGGCAGACGAACTTGGCGTCCACCGGGTCTGCAACAGGGGCAGCGACTTCGCCGTATCCCTTCACCGTGGGTTTTGCTTCACCGTCTTCGCCGAAACAACTTTGCTGACCGGCTCCGTAGTGTACACCCCGCCCAATGTCGCTAAGGGAGGATGCAACATCTTCAATGAGAAGACTAGTAAGAGCAGTCATGTAGCCAAGTGCGGCTACTACTCGGCGTACGGCCGCCGACTGCCGAAGCAGTAAGAGGAGGAGCCCGGATAATGTTCGAATTCGTGTTTGGCGTTTGCGTATTATTTCTTTCATGCATTCCGATGATGGCTCGGGCCTCGGGTCGTCCTGTTTGATATAGAAGCGAGCATGCCGACAGCCGAAAGGCGCTTGTCGGTAGACTGATGACTGATGATGGCATGAAGGGCTCTATCCACCTGATAGTGGATAGACACCGACGAGGAGTTCAACCTGCCGCGTTTCCCTTTGGTTTTTGGGTACCAGAAGATTGCAAATTCAACAGGAGACTGCCTGAAACGAGAAAAATGAAGTCGACTGAGGTTGTGAAGGGTGTAAGAGCCGCAAGAGGTCGCCGTTGGCCAGAGACCACCCATAACGGGCCCCCGAGGCGGGTCACGTGAAATGTCGTGATTTTGCACTCGGTGGTGATTGGCTCGGTTCTTCCTCCCCCACGATGGCGTGCTTGATGTTCCAGCCACAGACCGGGGCCCGTTTTCTGGCTGACTTCCATGACTTGCGCACGAGCCGTGCTCGGGCAAGAGCAAACGGATCCCTGCGTCGATCCTGCAGTGGGTGGACGCCCAGCGAGATACGCGAGACGCGTCGGCCGCGTTGGGAGCTTCGCCGTGAAAGGTTCCGTCATTCTGGGATTCCTGATTTGGTCCTTTTGGAGTTTTCGGTACCGACCGTTGAATCTGACCACATCTGACGACTTTCCCGTTTCGGTCCATCGTTGCACGAACCAAGTCCAATCAGGTCGCCCATCAATAGGTACCGGGCCGCACGCGGACAGCAAAGATGCCGCCCAAGAAGCGTGGCCTCGATGTCATCGACCTCATTAGCAGCGAGGGCGAGAACTCATCAGCGCCGCCACCAAGCAAAAGGCCGGCCGTAAACCGGGGCCCGTCTTTGGGACAATCCTCCGGGGCCCGTGTTGCGGGCAGCCAGCCGTATAACACCCAACGCACGGCTAGCTCTAGTTCTTTCGCCGGCCCTTCTTCACAGAATGTGTATTACAACCGGGACGATGCTGACCTAATCGACCTCACACAAGCTCCCGATGGTCCAGCCCGAGAGCTTTATGGAAATCTCGGTAGGGATTTTGGCCCCTGTTTAGTGTATTATGTGATCTAACGCCGTGTTTTAGATACCAAGATCGTCGGAGTGCGGTACTACAACGGCTACGCCTCGCAGGGAGAGGTTGTCGTCTGTCTGCGGGAACCCACCAACCCAGTATGGTGTTTCTTATTCGTGGCCTTGCAATCATACTAACGTGCACAGTACGATTCCAATGCCATTCGGGTCTGCAATGTCATGGGCATCCAGATTGGCCACATCCCGCGCAAGGTGGCCGAGAAGCTGGCGCCGTACGTTGTAAGTGGCCCATTCCACTGACTCAGTGCCATGCTCATCCTTCTTAGGACAATGATGATGTTGCTTTGGAAGGAACACTCACAGGCGAGAAGGGCGTGTTCGACTGCCCCGTTCGCCTGCACCTTTTCGGAACCGGCGATCGTGAGCAGCGTCTGCAATTGGAAGACAGGCTAAAGAAGGATAAGCTCATCAAAGCCACCGAGCTCAAGAAGACCAGGGCTGAGGCTGAAGCCCAGAGAAAGGCACTCGGCATCAAGAATTCACAGTCGACGATCGGCTTGGGCGGCAGTGCCTCAGCGGCCCCAGAACCGGAAGTGTCACTGGAGCAGCTCACGCAAGCCAGTCAAGCTTTGCAAACCCACAGTCGCGGTGATGCAGTCAAATCCCTTATTATCGACGAAGATACTCTGGCCGCCATGCCCATGGCGGAGCAGCCGGCAGTACTAGAAGCTCAGCTTTTGCCGTATCAGTTGCAGGTACGACGCGTTTTCCTGCATCGACATATCGACATGGCAATGCTGACTTTGCTTGTGCACAGGGTCTGGCCTGGATGACGTCTAAGGAGAGCCCCCAGTTTCCACCGAAGGGCACCACAGAAAGTATTCAGCTTTGGCAACGGATCCCAAAGAATGACAAGGTAATGAGCAACATGGCGACCAATTTCGTGATGAACGAACCCAAACTGCTCTCTGGCGGCATTCTTGCTGATGACATGGGTCTTGGCAAAACTCTCCAAGTTATCAGTCTCATTTTGACGGGCGGTCCCGGCACTACCCTTATCGTCGCTCCATTGAGTGTCATGAGCAATTGGGAGCAGCAAATGCGCAGACATGTCAAGAAGGAACACCTTCCATCCATTTACACGTACCATGGATCCAACAAGGTGGGTAAGGATGAGCTGACAAAGTACCAAGTTGTCATCACCAGCTACAATACGCTTGCCATGGAGGGACCAAAGAAGTCTGAAGATTCCGTTCCCAAAACATCGCCCCTGATGCAGATGAAATGGAGGCGAGTCGTGCTTGACGAGGGCCATACCATCCGCAACGCCAAAACCAAAGCAGCCATCGCCGCAACCAAGCTCACTGCTCAATCCAGATGGGCGCTTACCGGAACTCCAATGTAAGCACGCTAAAGCCTCTTGCAGTTGACCATAGCTAATCATCGGAAAGCATCAACAACATCAAGGATTTTCAGTCCCTACTCCAGTTCCTCCATATCACTGGTGGTGTCGAACAACCAGTCATTTTCAACACAGTTATCGCCCGGCCACTCGCTCAAGGGCATCAACGAGCCGAGACACTCTTGCAGCTTCTTATGAGAGACCTTTGCTTGAGGCGCAAGAAGGACATGAAGTTTGTCGATTTGAAGTTACCGCCCAAGACGGAGTACGTACATCGCATCCAGTTTAGACCGGATGAGAAGAACAAGTACGAGGCTTTGTTGTGAGTAGCCCAGGTCGAATGACGATTTGCCTGTCTGACTCTTAAACTCAGGAACGAAGCCAAGGGGGCACTCGAAGATTATCGTAATCAAACCAAAGCAGGAAAGGGCCAGTTTCAGAGCGTCCTGGAACGACTTCTGCGTTTACGACAAGTGTAAGAACACCTGCTGCGAACCATAAAGGAGATGCTGATGTTTCACCAGTTGCAATCACTGGACGCTCTGTCGCAAGAGAATCGACGATCTCTTGAAGGTCCTCGAAGGCCAATCTGTGGTCTCCCTTAACCCTGAGAACGTGAAGATCCTCCAAGAAGCCCTCCGCCTTTACATTGAAACGCAAGAGGACTGTGCGGTCTGTCTCGATACCCTGGATAGCCCAGTCATCACCCACTGCAAGCACGTTTTCTGCCGTGGCTGCATTACCAAGGTCATCCAGACGCAGCATAAATGCCCAATGTGTCGCAACCAGCTCGAAGAAGATTCTCTTCTCGAACCAGCCCCCGAAGGTGGTGAGGAGGCCGCAGACGATGGCTTCGATTCGGATGGAAAGAGCTCCAAGACGGAGGCCCTCGTTAAGATTGTCCAGGCCACGACGAAGGACCCAAAGTCCAAGATTGTCATCTTCTCACAATGGACTTCGTTCCTTAACATTATCCAAGCCCAAATCGCGGAGGCAGGAATCAAGTTCTGCCGCATCGACGGCTCAATGACAGCTGCGAAACGTGACGCAGCCATTGATGCTCTCGACCACGACCCCAATACGCGGGTGATGCTCGCTAGTTTGGCCGTCTGCAGTGTAGGTCTCAACCTCGTATCGGCAGACACGGTCATTCTCGCGGACAGCTGGTGGGCGCCGGCCATTGAAGACCAGGCCGTCGATCGTGTGCATCGTCTGGGCCAGAAGCGGCCCACTACCGTCTGGCGACTTGCCATGGAGGGCACCGTCGAGGAGCGCGTGCTGGATATTCAACATGAGAAACGAACGCTTGTTGGCAAAGCTTTCCAGGAAAAGAACAAGGGCAAGAAGACCCAGGAGACCCGGATGGCAGATATCCAGAAGCTGCTTGGATGAATACAATTAAAAATTGGAGCAAATCCTTGCAGTTATTGGAAGGGCAGAGAAAAGTTTCGATTAAGGGGTTAGATGTGCCAGACGCATGCCCTGCATTTCTTGTTTCGCCCGTGTTTGATAGATAGCATGTACAAATAGAGGGTTAAAGGGCTCATTTCATATCGCGAAACAGCATGTTCGTTCGCTCTGTGGCCGTGATGCTTGACCGCCTCTCCCACGGGGTAGTATTCATTCTTTTGAAACTATGCTATCCATGCTTTAATTTTCCAATGTCTCAGCCCAAAGGTCAGTTGATAGATACTTCAGACCTGAATCACAGATCATGATTGCAATCGTCTTCCCTTTCATTGACCCCTTCAGCAATTCGATGGCTGCGCTTACGTTTGCGCCACTGGAGAAACCCCCGAAAATCCCCTCCTTTTTCGCTAAAAGCCGGGCGCCTTGCTTTGCTTGATCGCCAGTGACCTGGATGTAGCTATCAACAGGTACATCCTTCAAGTAGACCAGATCAGGCATCACGTAGCCTCCTCCCTGAATGGGATGTTCTGCTTGTGAGACCGGCTGCTTAGCCAAGACAGCTGCCCCCTGAGGCTCGACGATGAAGCATTTGCTTGATGGGTTTAATGCCTTTAGCCGTTTTGTCACACCAGCATACGTGCCTCCCGAGCCGACGTAGTCAACGAATCCATCAAGATTGCCGTTGGTCTGTTCCCATAGCTCCGTGCCAGTCCCGTCGTAGTGGGTCAGCCAGTTTCCATCGCGTGTGAACTGGTCAGCACGGAAGGCCCCGAGCTCGTTTTCGATCTGCTTCGCTTTCTCTTCGACAAGTCTTAGGTCCGGGCCTGAAACCTGTCCCGGTATCGAACCAGGCATTTGGTCAACGAGAACGACCTCAGCGCCCAAAGCCGCCATCATGCGAGCACGTTCGATGGAGTTCCCCTTAGACATGACGGCGATGAATCTGTAGCCTTTGATTGCGCAGACGATCGAGAGGCCAGTTCCTGTGTTGCCACTCGTGAGCTCGACGACCGCTTGCTCGGGCTTGAGTGTGCCCAGTCTCTCTGCTTCTTCGATGATGCCGAACGCGACACGGTCTTTTTTCGATCCTCCGGGATTTAGGTAGTCGAGCTTGGCAACGATAGTTCCGTCGAGTCCGAGAGAGGACGTGATGCGATCTAGACGCACGAGAGGTGTGCAGCCGATGGCATCTGCCGCTGAGTTGAGAAGTGGCCGCATCGCAGGTTGCAATCGTGGCGAAGAGTAATTCAAAGACAAGTCGCTCGAAAAAAGGGTATGTAGCGTAAATGCTCTGATGCAAGCAGCTACATTGCAAGGGCATGTACTTCGAGTGAGCTTTAAGTGTATATAAGCAAGTTGTTTTACCAAGAAGCTTTGACGTGGAGCATTCAGTTCATAGACTGTCGTACGAAGGGCGTAGCTGACAGCCAAGATCTCATTAATCCTGGGCTGCAGTACATCCACACCTAGTTTTCTCCAAAGTCCATTAGCCATAAGGTTTCTCGTTAGCCAGTCAAGCGCATAGATGTTTTTCTGATTGGCTATAACTCCCCATGTTACGCACTTGCTGTAGTCCACTCGCACATCCGGTGCATGGGATACAGTCATCGTTTTGTTAGTCATGAAACCCACAGGGCGCAGGTCGACCTTGTTGTAGCGAAGCTAGCTCAAGTTCCTCTCATACGCACATTCGGGACCCCGCATCACCGAAGTAAAGTATGCCTATGCTAAAATGATGAAGGTCCCACGTATTCATAAATGTGACGCCATAGATCGATTAATACTTGCGCTGATTTTTCCTTGAGCAAGGTATCCTTGATAGACTCCTCGATCCTCTGATCATTAACACACTGAGCTCTTCGTTTTGAGTCAAATTAGGTCTTTGGAATATCGATTTTCGTCTTCTATCAATTGAACTGTTAACCATGGGACGAAAATGTTTGCCGTCCGGGGCAATGGATAACTCTGACTACACGAGCGGATACAAAAGACATAGATAACCAATATAACAGAAATCATAACGAGGACAACAACCAGGCCAAAAGCAGGGAAGATGGCTAGGTTCAATGGGCAGAGGCTATTCATAGACGGATAAGTTGGAGACTAGTAGAGCGGCATTCAAAAAGTAAAGGCGGCAGGTGTCCAAAGCCAAAGATCAAGACACATCATCAAACGTTTCAAGGTCGATCGTATTGCTGCCGAAACATCCTACAAGTGAAGAAGTATCTCGGTGGTATTGATACGTGCTATAAAATGGTAATCTCTCCCCATGGAACATCAATGTCATCAAACCAAGACCCCAGCGTAGGCTCATAAACATCGTACCGGAGTTTGCCGATTCTTTTGTAACTGTTCCCAGACTTTTCAAGAACCAAACCATAGTAATTTCCGCGAATACGACTTTCATCAGCCCTATTCTCCTTGTCTTCTTCGACTTGAATAGGCACGAACAGAACCGGACTGCAACGCTCGTCCTCAACGGTGTCGAACCTCATCAAGTACCCAGCCCATTTCTCCCGCTGGTGATGAATTCTAATTCCTTCAATAGTCTCGAGCTTTTCAGCACCAATTTGTCCCTCTCGAGGCTCCTTAGCAAGTATAGCTCTGAGCAACCGGCATTTGAGGGTTAAGCTACCGCCTTGTAGTTGGCCGGTATCGTCCGATGTCAGAGGAGTCGTTGTAGCCTCAATGACAGACACCAATACCCTATGACGCTTTGGGAACCACGAATAACCCTCATGGGACGTGAACCAAGATGCATTATCAACGGACGCCCAGGACCAAGACGGTGCTCGATACCGATCCGGTCGTTTTGCCGGATTGGAAACCTGCCAAAGCAAGTTGCGCGGCATCCTCGATCTCCAGAGACCGCCGAGATAGACTGATGACTCGCCTAGATGGCTAAGATGCTTTTTCATGTCTTTTGCAATAGCCGATATTGCCACAAGCTTGTCGTCACTCTTAGTGAGATGACAGTCGTTATAATAATCAAGAATGTGGTACCATTCGATGAAGATGCAGTCGATTGGGTTCTCGAAGCTCGGCGGCTCGTATCCAATAGTGGTCTTCCACACAGTCCGGCGCTTGTAATTGGGTCTGATATCGGGATGAGCGAGAAGAACATGAACACTCTTCCACTTGTCAAACTTTGGCTGAGCCTCAGAGGAGACGGACGTATTGCACTCCCACAACACCTGGCTCTTCCCAAAGTGAAGAACTCGAGGTGCCAGTATCCTTTCTTGAAGAACCCAACCACGCGTAGACAGCACAGCAGATTGAGAGTCTGTGTTTCTGATGTAGGACATGGCCATCTCTCCAGCATGAGGCACGGGCTTGTTTGACTCGCCGATAGGTATATTGACCACTGGAATCCTGAAGGCGAGCGGATCACGAGAGAAGAACAGCCCCCCGTCATCATCTTCCGCGCCCAATGCTGAGATACAAATGATGCAGCTTGTATAGACGTTATGCATTTCTGATGCCTCTGCAAGCCAGTCCTCCTCAGAGTCTTGGAAGATGCAGAAGCGGTCGATCCAGAGGTACTCGAGCTGAAGCCTCTCCAGTACGACAAAGGCCTCTCGAAACGTCTTTGGTAGATTGGTTATGGGTTGTGAGGTCGACAAGGTCGTTAGATTGGCTTGATTCAATATCAGGTTCCTATCCCAGGGCTTAGTTCCCCAGCAATGACTGAGCGTCGCATAGCTGGCTCGCGTCGCAATCTCTTGCCTTGTAACCAAGCGAAAAGTTCTTTGTTGGCCGACCATTTCGAGCTTTAGGAGTCGAGAAGGTAGTTCTCGTCGATGCGTTTCCAAAGTATCTCTTGAAGACTCTGTTGCGAACTCTTGCTGGACTATTCCGTCTGGCAACGACCTAGAGTTGCAGTTGGGGTGATTTTCAACACAATTCCTGATCCAATCTTCAACAACGCGCCAAGTTGCTTCGTCGTTTGTGGACTGTCCAATCAAATCATTGAAGGGACTAGCCTGGTGCTCTATCGGCTCAAACGTCAACATCAATATAATGCTGCCGATTGTTCAGTCTTACCGTCTACACAAGATTTCCAGCGGGTTGAACTCGATTGTGCGCCTTGCCATACTACCATGATAAAAGTGTCCCCTTCATCATGTCTTGCTCTTTCCAATTTGACGACGAAGGTAGTAAAGAAGTCAGGCTTTGAGAAAGTTGAACCGTGGTCGTCATCATCAGCAGTATCTCCAACCTGCTCATCGCAGTCGATCTTCCTGCAAATCTCACAATCTTCAGACTTTGCTTGTAACCATGACGTCTTAGTAGGATGATGCGCGAACGCGTACATCTCGATTTCAGAGCTCAAGTGATACAGCTTCATTCCGTTATACGTAGATCTTGTCACGTTGACCCGGGGAGAGGCAACTGCTTTCGCTATCTCATCTTGGTCTGACGTGAGCACAGGAGTTTCATTTTCGTCGCTGTATCCGACTCTTTTGACCTTTGAAGGGTCTCGAAAGCCTTCAAGGCCATTTAAACAGACTTGGCATAACATAGTCTCAGTACCTATAGTTAGAAGAGGATCCGGTGCGTGATCAGTATTGAACAGAAGATGTTTGCTCGGCTGATTTCTTTGCTGACGTAGTATACAGAAAGGTCGTTTCCAGGCAGGCAAGTCCTCGAAAAATAACGCATCTCTGTGCCGCACGACTGCAACCAATGAGCACAGAGCTGCACGCGCTGATGGTACTACCGTTCATGATACTTGCATAACCAATCAAATGAATTCACAGATGTGCATCAGACTTTGGGCTAACCCGTCTGTCCGCTAGCGCAAGTCATGACTTTAGCCGAGGAATCTAAAAGTTCAAGCATGAACCGCGTGATGAGCATTCTGTATGGCTGTATCTACATAGAAAATCATCTCCTGGGTACTCTACTGCCCTCCTCGTGGGACCCTGTCGAAGCTAGCTGACATACCAGGGTCAACACCGGAGCTCCCCTGCCTCCAATTCTGATCAGATGAAGCCATCTCCGCCAAACCACCTCGGCTTGGAGTCAAATGACCCGCGGGCCCCCGACGAAGATCAGGTTGGTTCGACATCACGTACATGTCTTTAATGTCCTGTTCAAACCTCTGAGAGTCTTCCCCTTGCTGCTGGGAAAACCTCTGATTTCGTTGATTGTCGAATTGACTCTACGCCTCAGAACCTTGAAATGAGTTGCCCGGACTTCTTCCTAGACCACTGGTGACTTGACCTCCCTGCGCTGGCATTTGAGTCTGGCTAGGCGGAGTGCTGGGATACTGAGAAGGGTGCCCTTGTGTTGACGTTCTGTAAGGATCAGGCTGTGGAGGCCCTTGATGTTGGGGCTGCGAGTAGCCTTGAGGCGGCCCTTGATAGATAGGCTGGACGTGATAGCTTGACTGAGGATAGCCTTGCGAATGCTGATTGCTCGGGCTCTCTGGCTGGCGGCGACCGCCCATCTGAAACGGGCTTTGAGATTGACGGTACGCTTCCTTCCTATCAACTCGGCCGCCTGCACGCGTATCGCTGACGACATTGTCATTCTCATCAATCAAGATGGCTCGTAGTTTGCCCTCTTTGGCTTTCCTAGCAGCATTGGTTCCGTAAATCTTATTCATGTACTCAGCGAATTTGAGATACGCGTCGCGCACTGTCTCAAAGTGTTCGACAGCCAGATTTATGACGGCATCCGGCTTCATAATGGCATCGTGTCTGCCTCCTTGTGCCTGGTATTCGGCCAATGCCAATGCAGTTTGGCAGGCATTCCGGATCTGGCGACCGTTCCAGCGTGCGCTAGGGTGATTGATGTAATGCTGAGTGGCAAAAGCACCAATGTCCATTTCCTTGATGATGATTTGTCGCTTCTTCAACGCGAAGCGCTCCCGGATCAAATCCATATTGATCTTGAACACCCTGCGAGTTTTCTCTTCGCTCAGTTCAGGGTAGTAGAGACTCATGTGGATGCGTGACGTGAAAGCCTCGTCAAAGTCACCAACTCTGTTTGTCGTCAAGAAAAGAATGCCGGAATAATACTCAAGCACTCGAAGGAAGACTGAGAGGGTTGTCAGAATAGAAGTGTCAGACAGAATACTCGAACGTACCAGCCACAAGTCCGTTTCTTACGAAGTCCTCCTTTGTCCTCTCGGCAAGGAAAACGTCTGCCTCGTCCAAAAGTAAAATGCATCCCCATCTGTTAGCCAAAGCAAAGTTACTTTCAAGAGTCTTTTCAACCTCCTTTGCCGTAGTTCCTAAGTCACCTGTCACAGTAAGTAACGTCGTCGGCGCTGAATCTTAGAAAACATACCACACGTTATTTGAAAAAGTGGTTTTCCAAACATCTCTGCGACACCCTCTGTGAAATGGTTAGAATAAATCTGGCTTAGAAGGACATCTATGGACCCACCCGCAGTTGATGTTTTTCCTACCCCAGGAGCTCCGTGAAGTAGCAGGATCAGTCCCTTCCCTTTGCGTAACATATAGTTAGTAACGGATGCAAGATAATCCGGTTGGGGACTTCTCACCTTTCCCTTTCACAACATCAACTTGGTCTTGAGGGCCTCCTTTAGACTCCTTGTCCCGAAAGTGTTGAGATATCAAAGATTCGATCATGGACTTATGCCCATCTTCCAGCACGAGTCGGTCGAAAGCCGTTCTTCTGTTGTTGCTTCTATTGCTTCCGATGACCGGAAGACTTTCTCCACACTTTGCAGTTTCTTCCGTAGAAGCCATGCTAGACAAGGAAATGACGTCCAGTTGAGCTTGGCTCAAATCGATAAAGGTGTCATCTACCACCCGATCATCCAGGCAGCAAGTTGCCTCGCAATTTTCGACATAAGCGTAATCGTCGAGGTTCATGCTAGGCAGTGCTTCGATTTGAGGCCTCTCGGAAGCCAAAGTCTCTTCAGTGAACGCTGCCTCAAAGTCTACAACAACCTGCCCTTCGATGTCTTCGTGGGTATCCAATGTTGAACCTGCGTAGAACATGTGCTTGGTTGCTATAGCATCGAGAAACTTTCTTCCGCGTAGAATGAGCTCTCGTCGGAGCAGAGACGTTTCTGGATTGTATGAAGTATCCTTTCGCTCCACTTCATTGAAGTTATCTCGACGTTCTGAGTAGAGTCGCAATGGGAATACCTCAAAAGATGTAATTTCTTTTTCCCCCTCGTAAGGTTTGAATTCGAAGGTTCGAGCAACCGGTCCGATTTTCTTTCCGTCGAAGTCGAGATAGATACACGTGAGACCGAAGTCTGGCCGTGGTTTCTTGTCCTCCTCGCCTTGAGCTTTTGTCCACTTCTGGAAGGTCGAGATCGTACGGTGTTTGGCGGTGGTGACGTGAATGACTCGATAGGCTTGTTTTCCATTATTGTGAATGACTTCAAGACCAGGCCGGAAAAGATGCCAAAGATCTGAGAAGAAAACCTTATGGCATTGATCCCCATTCAGATACTCACGCCTGATCAATATTTGAGACTTTGCGACTTGAAGGAAGAAGCGGAGCTCTTCAAGAGAACTCGAAGACTTTGCAATGTCTTCGAAGTCCCCCATATCCGGGTGAGTCTCTTCGTCATCTTCTTCTTTAGAGTCGTCCAAGTCCGCTTGCGTTATTGTCTTATCGATGTTGCTGACACGCCCTTGAGAAGTGTCTCTCTTTTCTGGAGAGTGAATACTGGCGGAAATCTGAACAGGTGATCGCATCTCATTGTCAGCGACTGCTTTTGTCGTAGCAACTTCGCCTACTGGGGCAGAATCCGTCGCATCAGCCACCTCCAAAGCCTGAGAATCCTGCTCATCGATACTATGAGGTATATCAGCATGCTCATTCAACTTTATCGACTGCCATCTAGCTCTTTTCTCCATCGCAAGCAACCAACTGTCGAGACCTGGCTTACAGTGGCTGAGCGTCTTGAATGGGCGAGTGAATACGATGGGCTTTTCCGATTCTGCCATTTTGTTATCTCCATCAAATTTTAGAATTTTGTCGAGAACGCTGAGAACAAGAGTTGAATGCACTCGAATTCTTTCTGGTAGCTGGGTTTGGTTGGAAAGACTTGGTGCATGTTTGCCTTTCTTGTCGGCGCGCTGACCAGGCCTCCGTGATCGGAACCAATCCCCTGCAAACGCCCAGTCGTCGAATACCACTGGGTCGCCGATGAGAATGTCCACGGCACAAAAGTTCATCTCTTGGGGGGCATTTCCCAATTGTTTGAACGCGTGCCAATCCACCGATCTCACCGCATGCTGGTTCGCAGCATCAGCGTTCATGGCACTATCCCCCGAACTGCCCCCGGCATTCCTGCGTTTCGAGGCTTGCTTCTCGGCCTCTTCCAGTCTTTTTCGTCTGCGTATTTCGGTTTCTTCGGATAACCAAAGCCGGTCCAGTTCCCACTCATACACCTTCCGTAAACGATTGCGACGCACGCCATAGTCTACAACATGGTCATGTTCGTCCATTGTGTCGTCTGTTCTGTCTGCTTGAGTTGCCTCTGGGCATTTATGTGAAGGATTGAAGGGATCTGGTCGCTTATATTCATTCCGTCTGTAGCTTGGGCGCCATTCGAATCTCCAAGGGCCATACATCGAGTGTCGTCCCTCGTCCCACAAACTGCTAGGGAGTTCTTCAATACCGCAATCATCCGCTTGAATAGTGGCTTCCCATTCCTTTCTGTGACTATATAAGCACTTGGTCATTCGTTGGTATTGTCTCATTTCCTCAATTTGTTGGGGCGAATGCTGCGACTCCGTGATATTCGTGGATTCCTTCTGGCCCAGGGTTTCCAACTCTAGAATCTTTGCTTTCAGAGCACGGAGCTCTTCGACAATGCCAGATCCAGAGGGGACAGCATCGTTTCCACCTTCAGGCGCAACACCGGCCAGCTTTGGGGTGGGTTGACTAGCGTTGTTCTCCTCACCCAAGTCAGGTTCAGCCATCGTCGGCTCTGGTAGATGGTCGTCATTGTAGACTGCACCGGGGAGGTGTCCCCATAGCTCCCGATCGTCTCTATAAGACTGCTAGCGAAGTAACGTATCGACAAATATAGATCATTCAAAAAGAGGTCTTAATGGCTCTAGAATGATACCATGGTGCGTAGACGTTCAGAGGTCGGAAACGAAGTCGTAGAAGAGAGAGACAGAGAGGACAGAAACTTGGGGGCAAGGTTCCCCCAAGAAATCCGTATTAAGACCGGTTCCAAATCAGGCTGTCACTGGGGACTCGAGCAATGACACACTGCCTAAACGCTGTTTAATCATTCGCTGGCCTTCTCCTCCCACACTGGTTTAAATTCCCTCATATCCTGCACATCCTGATGGCCAAGCTCCAACATGAGAGGCTAGGCTGGTCGCATATGTCGGTGCAGGGCGCAACTGCATGTAAGCTGCACCGCTTACAAGACCATCGCTTATCGTAAGACAGACTTGCATGGGCTGGAGCCAGCTGTCAGCTTCACTGTGATTGGTTATTCATACAGAATTGATTTGCTAATAGTTTGACGCATTTCTGCGTTCGCACAGATCCTGTTCATTTCATCAAAGCCGAATCTGGAGCGAGTAGCAACTAAAGTCGCTTATGTGAAGACATGTTTGTCCTCCCTCTTGGGCCTCTTGTTCCTATGAAGTTCTATATCAGACAATCTCTTATACTCCAATCGGACGCAATTTTCTTTTCAACCATTAATCATGTCAATTAACGCCCCCCACATACCTCAGTCAGCAAAAAAGCCAGCCTCTGTCTACTTCATTGACCGCGAGATGCAACATCATCATCAGGCCTTTTCCAACACTCAGATCCATTACGATTCTAGACTAGGTTGCTATGAGCCCAACACTAAAATCTCATTACCCCATTCGGGGAACGCATCTACTTTGCCTGAAGATTTACCTTCTACAGAAAGCCTTGAGTCTCGTCATCAGGCTATAACGGCCAGGCCAGAATGGACAGAAATCAAGGCAATGGAGCGGTGGAACGAGTTGTTTCTCGAGGCAATGACTACATTCAAACACACTTTCCCTGCGCCGAAGGGGCGCTCGGAGGTATACAGCATCCGAACTGAGCCCGACTGGGAAGCAATTTACGAAAAGCTTGAGAAGGCGCAAGAGAAGTACCAGAGTGATGGGGGACGAGTCGGCTGGTTCCGCAAGAAGCGCAGAAGCGCAGCAGACAACGCTTCGGTGGTGTCAGAAGTCGTGGGGAATGTATCGGCACTAGTACCAGATACGGTGTTCTCGACTCCGGTTTTTGGAGTTGTGCAACTTCTTCTAGACGTAAGACATCAGTGTGAGTCAAAGAGCAAATACCATTACTAACTTACGGAGGCTGTCATTAAAGGAGCAGAAGTTCGCGCCCAGGCCTCCGAGGGTCTTGATGGCCTCATTCCCATCCTATCCGATGTTGAATTGCTTCTGGCGGTCTATCCGGGTGATAAGAACATACAGAAAGCTTCTTTGAACCTCGCAATTTCGACATTGGAAGCCATCGAGCGATTGATTGGGTTCTTTCTCAGCAAATCAAGCAAGTTACCTCACTGAAGAACCTGATAAATGTCTTGAATGTTAATTTTCACTTGCTAACCTTACTTATGTTCTATCATGAATAGTTGTGCGATTCGGCAAGACCTTAGGCCAAGGAAGCTACTATGGATCAGAACTAGTACAAAGTCTGCAAACCATCAACCAAAAAGCGGAAAAGGTCGTAGCCGAAGCTACGAAGTCTTACCAATTTGAGACGCGCCTCTGTAAGAATCTTTTGCCAATTTTGTGTTCGGGATAAGATCGGGAACTAGGTTTTGCTCTCAGGGCAAAGGAAAAGTCCCTCTTGTTCCTTTAGTGTTTATGGCCCATTCTACCTCATACTGCTGCTATCCGTTTCGGCAGTCCTGTGATTCTTATTAGCCGAGACTAACAGCTCAAAGATTCCCAAGAGACGATGAGATTAGTACAGAAGGTCCATTACGACATCCAGAAAACAAACTTCGAAGTGCAAACAAAGATGGCTTCGATGTATACAAACGTTATGGTTCTTCTTGATGGCCATACACAGAAGAGAGACAGTATGTGAACGCTCGTTTGGTTGTCATAATTGAGATTAGTCAATTACCCTGCCTTGTATATCAAGTGGAACTCATCTAACACGATGGAATATCTAGGAGAGCTAGAGGAGGAAAGAGAAAGAGGTAGACGTAAGTTAGTTCAGACTTGATAAAGAACGCGACTTTTTTGACATTGTGAAACCAGGTCTTGCTGTAGAAGTGGCTTCTCTGCGTGTGGAAAACACGTTTCTGCGAAGTACCTCACCAGGGCTGCAGCACACCTGGGGGCCATACACGCCTCCGCGGCCACAAAATCAACCAGCCTTGGAATGGGTTGTCACCAAGGAAATGCTCCTAGAAACGCTACGAGGCCACAATGCCGACATTGATGAATGTTTCGCGTTGAGCAAGGCGTCAGACTTCCCGTCTCGGGAGCGCGCTCATGCACAGCAAATTGTCGGCAACCGATTGTTCCAGGATTGGATAGCCTCACCGCATTCAACCAAGCTTCTGGTACATTGGGATGGGCGACCCCCGAGAACGATCGCTGATCTGTCACCCCTGTCTCTGTTCTGTACATCCATGTCACAGATGTTACGTGGCCATCCACGCTTCATACCTCTCATCTGGCTTTGTGGCCTTCATCTTGATCCAGACGAGAGCTCAGGGGGTGGTAACTCCATGCTCTGTAGCCTCATTGACCAGCTTTTGCGTCGACATGAATTTGACTTGAGTTCGATGACAACAACTGGAGCAGTCGATCTCAATCTCTTGCAGTCTGGCGACGACAAAGAGTTGTTGCGCTTACTGTATTTCCTGGTTCTTCAGATTCCGGCCACTATCACCCTCGTTCTTCTCATAGACAACGTTGTGCTTTACGAACGAGAGGAGATGTATGCTTTCGATGCTTTGGTTGGTCTATTAGGACTGGTCAGTGAAAGGTTGCCAGCAGCTGTTAAGCTTCTCTTCACCAGCACACCAGGGACCACTGAACTGAGGGGAGCATTTGAAGATGAGGGTCTGATTTTGAATGTTGATACGTTGCCGTCCCTTGTTTGGGCTCCCAGCGATGAACGCGTTGCGAGAGAGCTGGAAGATGCGGTTCAAGATTGATGGCCTGCGTACTCCCAATTTTCTCCTTCAGAGTGTTTTTTGATAGTTATCATTACTCTCATTAGCTTTTACTTCAATATCTGACCGCACAATGCACCGCTATTCCATACGGATTTCCTGAACTTCCCACGTCCTCTCAACCACAATTCCAAACTCCCCAAGGAAATTTGCAGCACCCTCGGACATTGGCATCTCCTTCTTTCTCCGAAATGACGTGATGTTGACTTTTGTCGAGCCCTTATTGTTCAGCGTCAAGTCCGTCTGGTCGTCCTGAGCACCCAAAGCCGACGGCGGCAGCCCCTTCTTCTTGCCAAATAATTTGAAATTGCTGTCCAGAGAACCGCTCGTTCCCGTCCGATTAACCCCAATCAGATCCACCTCGCTTCCGGATCGTTGATGGGAGAACTGTTGTGCGGGGTTCTGTGACATGACTCCTTCCGTAAAAGAATCTCGTCGGTTTGTTGGCAGACTTCGCGACAATAAGGAGTTTACTCGGCGGTCTCGGAGATGACGAATCGTTGCAAGAGATGCCGTGGTGACGCCGATGCCAATCTCTGCGATAGTCCAGCACGATGTGCTCATGTAGCCTTTCGGGGGCGCGTGTCCCAGACTCCAGATACGGCCGGCAGAAATAATGGGAACGCTGGCGACATGTCAGTCGTGACAAGGCAGGAGAGTTGGAACTCGAATGAAACTTACATTGCGCCAATCCCGAAGACGCCGAACACAGCCCAAATCTGGCGTCCGCGAAGTTTTAAACTCCAGAGAGTCGGAAAGGGCAGGAACAGCACGATGACATCCGTCACCATAGTTCCTGTAGCGTTGATATACGTCGAAACGAACGTTGGTAGACACACGACTCCCTCGACGTCCAGACTCCAGTTGGCCTGGATAGGAACGCAGACCAACACGGCCAGGAGGATCTGGGTGATGCTCCAAGCTCCAACAACGAAGATCGCCACCATGTAGACGATTCTCATGACACGAACGTTCCTGAAGATCTGATAGAATTGGAACAAGAACGTCATCTTGAGCGAGGCCATGGCCAAGTTGTAAGCAATTGCGGTTGCGTATGGGATCTATTGATTAGGTTAGGCCATGGCTCGGTCATGGAGAGATAATCCATACCCTGGAGCCTGCATTATTCGAAATCATGGATGTCATCTCAGGCAGATAACGCATGGTGAAGACACTTTGCATGACGTTGACGGCAATGACACACAGCTGAAATCTTGTCAATAAACCTGGTGCGACCCATCGAGAGATCAATAGTCATCGTACCAATGCAAGCAATGCCCAAGCGTCGTCTACCCGAACCCTTCGAATAACGAATTTGTGTGTGTAAAGTCGGGCGATGACGGATACCGTGGTGATGATTGTCACAATAGCGCCAAATGCGACGGTTGCGCGGGCTTGGCTTGCGCTGTAGACGAAGTCTTCCTGAACGGGAGGCCCGCCGTTCGGCGGTGGTGACGCCGACGGCCCAGCCGCAGCGGAGGATGATAGAGGCTCGGCCATCTTGTCATGAAGAGACAAGACGGTTGCCGCTCAACGGACCCAGAGGCGAACCCATGGAGTTTTTGAGCAAAGACTCTCGCACTCTGCAGACCAACGAGAGTGGAGGAAACAAGCTTGTCTTAAGGAGGCAGGTGAAGACTGGGGCAACACTTTAGTGAAACAAGGGGCCGGCACAGGTAACATGCTTGCAAAGGATTCGCTTTAAACGGATCTGACGAGCCGTGCAATATAGACTATATTGCGGGTCATACGGAAATCTTTCCTCATTTGGGCTCTGAATATCCGTTGGGCAAACCAATTTGCGAAGTACGAAAAGCGGTTCCATCACCCCGTATCCTCACGTTCGTCTTTTGTCGAGGGTCCCCCCCACTCTCAATGGGACCAGCACTGACAAGTGACACCACGTTTAACCAATCCCACGCCGATCTTCCGAAGTTCGGTTGGGCATGTTCTTCAACTCCTGGTTGCAACGGTTGCAATCGGAGTTGGTGCGCTTCCCATGACACACGAAGGTGGGCGGGCTATCATCCACCCTGCCTGGCCTGCCATCCAAAACATCGTCGAAAATCGAAGCCATCAAAAAGATCAAAAACATACAACAACAGGCATTCGCCGGTCGTCACCGACCCGACTACTACTCTGTCCCTCACCGGCTTATCTATGGGAGAGCGGACGGGATCCCGAGTTCTCCGGTGGGTATGGTCGTATGTGATGGATATGCGATCATGAGTTGCTTATATCGCAAAGCCCTCCACACCACACCACGAAATCAGCAACTTTGGTCCTTGATCTGCAACGCAACGAAACATTGAAAGAGGCATGCTGACGCAAGCTGATCATGTTTCTCTTGGTTGAAGTGGACTGAAGTTTCTCTGGGCATTGTTGGCTTGGCTTCTTGTCAGGTTTGAAGTCCCTCGAGCGACTCAGTCTTAGCCCCCCGCACGTCACCAGCCTGACTGGAATTCACAATCTTCATTGCCGCATTTGCCTCCCAAAACCCGAGTCATGCTGCATCAGCAGTCTGCCCACCAATTGTAACCTGTCCAAACATTTAGCAACCTCCATTTAATTGCCTCAGATCTTCGAAATGGGGGCTTTGCCCGAACGTTCAATCGCACCAATTCTGCAATGGAACCGTGCCTTGAACCATCGTCAGCCCTGGAGAATTGTGTCACCGCAAATCAAGGTCACAATCGCTTCGATCTCCATGGCAGCGGGATTGTGGGGGGCCACGCGAGTTGAGGAGCTTTCGCCTGCCCGCTTTCCGCCACACCCATCCATTTTGCATACCCAGTCAAGATTTTGGGGGCAAGTCCACAATTCATTCGCACATCCTCGAGGAAGACTCGTACGTTGATTTCTCTTAGTACACGCTAAGTTTCCCGCCCATCTTAGACTGTCTCGGGACTTGGGGTGGAAACAGCTAGTTCAACCGTCCCCCGATGCTGGAGCAGAACCACACGGGCCCATGGAGATCGGCATGGTAATACACAGACTCTTCATCTGCGATATATCCGAAGCCGCCGCGCAGCCTGATCGTTGCTCCGCAGAGCAATCCGATTATCTGATTCTGAAAAGACTGGGTATTTGACATCGGTATCCGCCTCGTCGATCTTCGAAGACTTCGATCTCCTTTCTCATGCCGAGGCATCGCAATACACGAACGCAATGGAGCAAATGAAAACTGGACTGCAGACGTCAAGTGGTGCTAATATTATACAAGCTTTAAGGCTGATCGGTGTCAATTAAACCATCCCAAATTGACGGACTGTCTAACCGGATTTTCTCCTTCTCCATCCGGCATAACCCCGAAACAACGACAGCGGGATTCCCAAACGAGAAGGACAGCAATTACGTTCTGAATCAAGAAAATCATCAGAATTCATGCCTTTTGGCAAGCCAGACAACAGGTGGGAACGCGGCACCCGATGCGTTCGGAATCGTCATCGCTAGTGTCGGTTTCTGGGATGAATGCTGCATTAGCCTCAATGTGAAGTAGGTGCGTTTCCACATCGCTCGCGTGGCCCGTCTGGTTATTGAAGGGTTGGTGGAAACTGGGTATCTGACTTGGTCTAGAACCCGTCGGGTAATGCCATGGAGTCCAAAAGTTAAAACACCTAGGGTACTTGACGGTCCTTGCCCCTGAGCCATCGAGGACCAATGCCTCACACCAAAGTGTTGAAGTTCAACCGCCCTCTGCATCGCGGTCGACGGATTCACTCTCGCACAGATCGCTTCTCGAGGTTGACCTCATTGGACGACGCATGTGTTGAGTCACGCTCCCAATGCCGACCCCTCTCCAAATGGGATTGCCGACGCAGAGCTGATCACACTGGTGGACTACGACGATGATTGATACGAAAAAGTGTGACGAGATGTTATCCCTATCGAGCACGGTCGGACTTCAAACTCAAGGTGTGACGCGCGGGGGCTCCAGTCAATCAACAAAGATCGACGCTTTTTTAGCCCTTTTGGATTCATGTAGTTGAGAGAATTCGGGAAAAAAGCGGAAAATTGTGTGCAGATCTCTTATCCTGCAGTCCACCTACATGCAATGGGATAAGGCTGCGACTGAGGGATTAAGTTTCAAGCTGGTCGAATGACGAATCTGGACCAAAGTCTGCGTGAAGATGGTTCACCGTCCAAATTTGGCAGATGACCTACAGAATCTCCGGTGGGATCTCAAGAAATGTCACTCATAGATTCCTTCTGATTGGCCATGTTGACTCGAAATTGCAACAAAGCGTCAAGATCCCCTGGGACAATGAAGATCACGGAGAGTAAACAACAACCCGAGTGAGATTGTTCACTAGGTGTCCCTGCCCCGTTGCATGAAGAGATCGATCATGTTTTAGACGCATCGTGCCCTCGGGTTTCTAGGTCCCCATTTAGCTAATTGAAACATGCCAAAACTACAACAGAAGAGTCTGAACGGAAGCCTTCGCTGCAAATTACATTCAACATTCCTGAAGTACTCAACCAAATCACTCTCCCACGTGGCCTGAGACGTTCAGCCCTGTGTCTTTTCACCAACTCCGTCATCTCGATGAGCCCGGATGACAAAGAATTCCATGTTTGAGTCAAACGCAGCTCCTTCTCGGACAACCTTGAACCCCTTTTGCCGTAGCAAATCTTCGATCTTCTGTCTATCCCCAGAACTCTCCGTGGTCTCTAGCACAACATTCCGTATCAATTTCCAGTGCTCGTCATCCACACCCTGTAATACCCCGAGTTCAGAACCCTCAACATCCACCTTCAACAAGTCAATCCTCTCAACCCCGTCCAAGAACCGAGAGAGCCTTTCAATTTTGATGTCTACAAAATGCGGGTTTCCGAAGTTTGTGTCCACAAACTCCTGTCCAAATCTCTCAGTAATAGCTTCGTAAGTCGACTTCTTTGTTTCAGGCCTGAGAGTCGAGTTACCGGGAAAGGTGGGATAGAACGTCAACTTCTCTGCGCTGGCTGTCGGGCCGAGACCGCACTGATGAGCCTCAACTCCTGAGATGGCATTCAGCTCAAAATTGCGGTGTAAGGTTGCGAAGGATTCGGGCGCTGGCTCGAAGGCGATGATCTTTGCGGTAGGGTATTTCTTCTTCATGTAGATGGAGAAGAGCCCGATGTTGGCACCGGCGTCTACGATGACGGGATTCTCGGACAACTCCGGCCCATCGTAGCAATGTTCTTCCCAAATCTCGTTATAGATGAAGCGGGCTTCCGTCTCCCCACTAGTGTAACAGGATAATCCGTTGGCCAAGTTGATGAGTTCCGCCGTCATGCCTGATGTGACAGCGCTTCTATCGCAAATGGTAATCAGAAGTTGTAGCGTATCAATGAGACGTGAAGTCTATTGTCATTGACCTAGCAGAGAATGTGAGAATGCTTTGGCAAAAAAGCCGGAAATACGGCTGTGCTTGGGTATTTAATACCAAACCAAACGACCACGGGTCTTCCGGAAATATCATAGAGAAAACACGTTGCAATCAACGCCCGATAATGGGCTGACATGAGGAGCCTGAGTATGCACCAACAGGCGAGGAACGAGATCCATGCTAACCCCTCAATACTACAGGGAAAAGGAGAACTCTGCGTACTTATCAAATCATAACCAACGGCATAAATGGTGCATTAGTGCTGACAACGGATCATAGACCCCGCGCCATTGACGGAAAACACGACTTCGGGTCATTGCATCGGCTTGAAGGTCTTCACTTTCCCACGCGATGCTTTCAAGCTTTTTGGCATCTTGCGCGATGGTTCTGAGCACGTGTCGTGTTCCATATCTAATTGACCTCCTGAAATCAACAAGTGCGAAGAAGCTTTTTCAATACATATATCAAATGAAATGTCGTATCGTGTGAAAGAATGTCAGATTACTTATTGACTATGACGCTAATGAAGTTATCCATTGTGGAGGATATGTGCGGATACGGATGTCACGACAAGAACGACAGACGACAGCCGAAATGACAAGGACGAATGAGGTAACGGAATGGAGTTTTAATAAACATGAGTAGATTTGCAATATATCGCCCGGTTAGCTAGAAGCATCTGCCCAGATAAGAACGAAAATGACTCCAAAACTTCAATCAGAGAGAGCCAATTTGAGACTGGACTGTTTCTATCCCAACTTAGGTAGATGGCCGTTCTGTACGCGTCGACACAGCTTTCAATTGGTTGACGATGAGCAACAGGACATTCTACCTCCTAGCGGGTCTCTGGGTGTTCGATTTCTAGCGTCTTTCATTTTCCCACATGAACCTTGCCGAGGCGACATGGACGACAATGTCCTAGGCATAGACAGCCGAGAAGGTCCGATAAGCAGTCAGCGGTTCTGTCTTTGCGAAGTAAGTTTCCAGTTCAAGTGTTGCGATCATATCCTAAATCGAAAATCGTACCACAATTCCTTTTGAAATTGGCCACACCCAGAAGCGTTCCAATAGGCACCATGCGGTTCACAACCGTATGCAGGCACTATAAAAGATTTACAAATTGAGTGACGCTTTGATTGCGACACCTAAACTACATGCGTCTCGAGATATGCCATCAATTGTATCAAAACGAAATGGTTAACATTCATTCGCCAGTTGTTCGAGCCGTATTGACGGCGAGCTGCCACAGTTTCTTAATGGCGATGAACCACGAACTCGGCAATTATGCAAATACTCATGAACGGTGCATCCGCGCCAACCATTTGTTGCTTTAAGCGACCACATCTCTCGGTAGCCCAGTCTATGTTAATCATTATGGGAGTTCCGTGTGGTCACACGAATATGAGTTGACCCTGTTCCCTCTTGACAGAACCAATCTTAAACACTCTTTGCACAACGACAAGCGTTCACCTTCGACCCAATCCCAATCATCGTTACCGCAACCATGAGGATTCCAATTTTGCACCTATCCTTATGGCTTCCGCTAAGCACTTTCATCGGCACCATTCTTGGACAGGATGACCTCGGCACCAACAATGGTTTCGGGGATATCGAGACATCCAACTTCAAGGCTCGAATTGTGCGAGACGCTCAAATTTTAGCGTCTCTGAAACCCAAGGGGGATGATTTCGACTTCCTCCCTTTCGACATCTTAGGAAACCGTTCTCGTAACGGACAATACCACTGGGGAGATGTTACCTACAGATATCGAACTGAAGGCGACAACAGCTGGATCGACGGAAATTCTGCCCAGACCCGCAAGCCTGTCGTTACTCTATCCCCAAATGATGGGGTTCTTGCGGCCGCAGACCTTTCCTCTACGCTTCCCTCCGGGCCGCTCAATGTGACTCGAGAATGGCTAAGTGTCGACGGCGATCTGGCCCTGCGCTTCATCTTCAGCAACACTGGGAACTCCAGCATTGAGATCGGTAGTCTTGGCTTTCCCGCTGAGTTCAACAGCATTTTTACACACCACCACCCGGCAGACGCAACAGCGGCCTGTTCTCTTTCCGAACCGTATATCGGCATGGACGCTGGTCAAATTCGCGTTACCCCTATCAAAGGCACAGGACCCGCACTCGTTGTCACGGCCCTCCAAGGAACCAAATCACCCCTGGAAGCCTACCGAAACCTATGGGAAATGGGCTACGAAGGACTTCCTATTCAAGCCAGACGTTCGAGGGTTTCTACGAATGGCAAGTGCTGACAAAAGCATGGGCGGAGAACGAATGGGCCGTCCAGGGGGCACACGCTTGGAATCCTCCTTCTTCCCGAAAACTGGAGCCTGGATCAAACCTTCAATTTGGAGTGAGATTCACAATCGCCCCTGAGGGCGTCCGAGGATATGACAAGGCGGTCCGAAAAGTTGGCCAGCCGACCGCGCTCAGCGTCCCAGGCTACATTCTTCCACGAGATCTACCGGGAAAGCTGTTCCTGCAGTCCAATGCTCCCGTGACTAGCATCACCATTAACCCCCAGGGATCGCTCTCCGTGGACCAGACCGGCGATTCTGCTTATTCAGTCACACCTACAGATCACGCTTTCGGATGAGCGAGGCTCACTATTACGTATGACGATGGGAAGATTCAGACAATTCACTATTACATCACCAAACCTGCCACCGAAGCTCTTCAGGACATGGGCCATTTTCTCACGACGAAAGCATACTTTACGAATGCGTCCGATCCTTTTGGTCGTGCACCGTCTGTCATGACCTACGATTGCGAGAGCGATTCGGTAGTGACGCAAGATCTTAGGACCTGGGTAGCCGGGCTGAGTGACGAGGGTGGAGCTGGAGCTTACATTGCGGCTGTCGTCAAGCAAGCTGTGCATCCCGATGCGGACGAAGTTGCAAAACTCGACACGTTTGTGAACAAGGTGGTTTGGGGTAACATCCAACAAGAAGATTACGCCGTACGGAACTCCTTCTTCTTCTACGAGCCAGCTGAGGTGCCCGGGTTTGTGTACGAGAACTATGACTGGAGCTCTTGGATGTCTTGGAACAAAGGCCGGGCGCTTGCCACCGACAGAGGCTACAACTACGTCCATCCCTCTGCAGCATACTGGTCCCTCTATAGAGTCGCAAGAGCCTACCCAGAGCTTGTCAGTCAGGACTGGAGCTGGTATCTTGACAAGGCTTATCGAACGGCTCTCCGCATCTCGGGTGGTGGTGTTGCTTGGGTGGAGATGGGACTTATGGGCGAAACTGTTTGGGGTATGATCATAACTGATCTCGTGCGTGAAGGTTTCGAAAGCGAGGCCGCCACTCTTGCGGCACTTATGAAATCTCGCGCCGAACACTGGAATTCCATCGATGCCCCTTTTGGGAGTGAGATGGCATGGGACTCTACTGGGCAGGAAGGCGTCTTCTATTGGGCTAGGTGAGTGCGATGATAATCCCCGAGGAATCTCACCGACTCACCGTTATTTCTCAGGCACTTCGGCTTCACGGACTTGGCTAAACGAGCAGTTGATACCGTACTTGGTTTCACGCCTAATGTGCCGCACTGGGGCTGGAACGGCAATTCGCATCGATACTGGGACTTTGAGTAAGTAATGCCAACCTCACATCGGTCCATTTGAACGTTTAAGAAACGAGACATTCTAACTAATATACGCCAGTCTCGCTGGGAAGCTACGACGACTTGAGCGCCAGATTCACCACTACGGATCCGCTCTGAACTCCCAAGTCCTACTCTCGGCTTTCCGCGACGATCCCTCCGACACTTATCTCCTGCGTACCGGTCACGGGGGAAGCTTTGCACCACTTTCGAACATCAACGAGGCCGGTTGCCCGAGCGCTGGGTTTCATTCGTTCCCCGAGACCTTGAAGTGGGATGGCTTTACCGGCGACTACGGCCCGGGCTTTCTCGGCATGGTCTTGAACACGGGAACATACGTAGCTGAGGATGAGCAAATCGGCCTTGTGGCCTACGGCGGGGAAATTTCGACCGATGGTAATAAGGTGACGGTTGTTCCGCGTGATCCTGTCAGAAAGAGGGTATTCACCGGTCCTCTGGCAGTCATGATCACTGTGGATGTGGGCGTCATTGAGCAATTTTCTTATGACGTCGAAGCCAGGATCATCTCCATGACCTTGTCGCAGCTTGCGGGCGTCCCGAAGGCCATGAATGCAACTGTGTGGACGGAGTCAATGCAATCGCCTTGGGAAGTCACTGGTGATCAGGTCGAGACGGCCCGCGGCGGATGGAGAGTTCCTCTAGTCGAAGATAAGGTTACCGTTACCTTGTCCTTATAATCGACTTGAGGGGCCAGGCATTTGGTGTGAATTGTCGTTCTTAAGGGGAGTTTGTTCGTATTAGTCTGCTTGTGGTTTGAAGTAAATACTCAATACAAACGGACTGATTGAAGTCGCCTGAATGCGTTATCCCGATAACCTCAGTGCTCCCTCTGCCTGCACATCTGTTTGGCACTCATCCAGAGCGTCCAGCTGAGGTCCTGGTGATACGCACATAGAACTGAGGAGATCAACTGAGCTATTAAACTTTTATTGAAATAAATCCTTAACATAAACATTAACCCTAAGATGCTCGCTGATGTGCGCAATGTCTAAGTCTAAATGCGCCAAGTGATGACTGAATTATTCCTTTGAAATCCAAACCCCATTCCTTGCCATGCCGTTATATTGCTCCGACATCATGATTACTGTGCAATAATGCGACGTATGTCTTCGTGGACATCTCACTGCATGTCTGTAACACCCAGTCGCCTGTTCGTAGTGAAGCTTTCAAATCAGCACTTGTGACGTCCCAACCACTGGAACTCGGTAATGCACTTCGAGCGCACGAGACCACCACCCAGGCTGTTCTTGTTGTCGGCGCATCCACAGCCCAATTGCGGGCACCACTTTGCGCAGCGCCCATTAGGATCTTTCGAAAGTTAGCAGAGACTTCGGATGTCAGCCGGGAGGTTAACGTACAGTAGCATTGAATCGCGCTGGCAGGGCAGGTACGGGCAAGGACCGGCGGCGCAGCCAGCAAAAGGGCAAAAAAGGCGGCAGCGTTGATTTGCATCGTGACGATTGACGTTGATATTGGATGTCAGTGAAGTTGTTTTCTGACGCCGTTGATGAGTGATTGGGGCTGAAGATAAAGAAAACGGGATCAGAAACGGAAGACCCTCTTATAAGATTCGAGTTATTGATGTTCCCACAATTTGGGAAATAGTGCTTTATGGCACTATATATCTAGCTTTGATGGTGTTGTGTAGCGCGGGATGGGCTGCCGAGATATGGGTCACTCGCGGTCAAAACATTTCCTCTCGTCGCCATCGTCGCCATGAGAGACATCACGATCTAGTGAACTTCGGGACGCGTCGACGTCTTTCTCCACGTCAATCATCATCCACATACCGCGCGTAGTTCTATTCGCAGTAATGCCACGAAATTGCCGGGCAGAATTTCGACGCGCTTCAGCAAAACAGTCCACCACACGTGCAGTATATTGATATGATAGACGAATACTTGACCAAAACCATTTAGAGTATTGAGATCCCGAGGCTGCCGTTTAATGGCGAGATGGTGATGATCTTCGATAGATGGACCCGGACGGGAGATCCACACTCACGACATTCACGAGTCAGCATGTTGGTGTTTACGCCACCAAGTGGTACCGGCAAGCCCGTGGGATTCGGGAAACCATTCTTTCTCCTTATTAAGTGACAAAGGGTAGTCCTGTCAGACGTTGAGCGCAGTGCGCGGTCCCCGATGGGAAGTTGGGGAATAGCAACGTGTTCCCTGTCTGGGAAACGGACTGAGCGAAGCCGGCGTTGACGACAAAAATATCCCAATGGGAAATGTGCGCGGCCAACTTCTGTGCCGCTTTGTATGGGAGATTTCCTCAAGGGGCAAAAGTTCTCCATCGGCGGGCAATTCTCCCATCTTTGCCTACAATATCAGAAAGATTATCACGCTGATGGAGAGCCGATTCGCTTGAAACCGGTGTGATGTTTCATCTCCCCGCTATTTGCTTGTCTTGTAATCAGAGTCTCTGTCGAAAACAGATCCTGAATTGGCTTTGCGTAAGATTGTGAGCAGGTCAGTTGCGTACCTAATGTTGAACTCGCCATAAATATATCTGCATCCATTATTTAAGACAAGGTTAGTATTCGCACCTGCCAAACCCTCCATTTAGTAGGCAAATAATAAGAAGCTCGAGATCGTGTTCCTCCGCAACGTGCTCTGGGCACATGCACAGACTAATCTCATAAAGTGTGATGAGGTCGAGACTGCTCTTGAGTCTATGGTCGCACTTTTTCTTAGACGCCGAGACCGAGACTCTCCATTTACCAATTTCGCGTATATATTGGCTGGACCGAGCTTTCCTCAGTTGATCGGTTTTGCTCCATAGGCCCTTTCAAGGTTGATTAATGTTGTGCCAATGGCCGCCTTGCCGGGAACGAACCTTGGTGGGGACGTTGGTCAGTGCTATGTTCTTGACTCGACGTCCATCCTCCATGACATGTAACTATTCAACACGGATAGCCCGGAACAGAGTAATTTAAAGCAGTCTCATGGCAAAAATCACCAAACCTTGCTCCCTTCACGCACTACAAGTCCTGCGCCTCAGCCCTATAAAAAGGCCACAAAGACAGGATCGTCCCATCTGTTGGGACAAGCCGACGTAGCACGAGCATGTTCGACGTAACCTTGCCTGTGTGCCTGGACCTCTCTGTCTGAAAGCTGACTCGGTTACTTGACTGTCCGACAGTGTCGGATGAACGCCAACTGGCAACTGCACATGGCCCTGGCTGAGCATGAGACGATCGCCTTAGGAACATTCCGTTGTGTGATTTATCTGCAACTAGTTAACACTCACCCGGCATTGGGTTGATTAAACCCACTCTCGCATGAACTTTAAATCCTTACACAGAGCAACTATTCGTGTATTTCTTGCCCAGAACTGAATATATAAACCCTACATGCCGGTGGGATGCGCGGTAAAGAAGGGACTTGTGCAAGTTAAGCCATTCCAACCCCATTCGTCACTTCCGATCTAGATCAATTACACTTCGAAATAAGCTTAGCACCATGCATTTCACATCGACAACCTTCTTCCTCGCCGCAGCCGTCATCCTGCAAGGCGCTACAGCTCAATTTTGCACGGGACCCCCTGCAGATTGCAACTTCGAGGATGTGAGGATTACATTGGTTGTTTCACTACTTTCGTACTACAGAAATGCTGACTACTTTACTTTTAGTGCCGAATCAACTACGCTGATCCGTGGGCAGCCTGCAAAACAAAGGTATGAGATCGCTCAACTCTTAATAAACTACAAAATGTGAGTCCAAATCGGATGCTAACCCAGGGTTTTCAAGTGCACCCCCAACTCGGGCAGAGATGCTGCTGTATCCTGCTGCTCTGGGGCTCTGTACTGTCCCGCTTAGTTTTATGGAGAGCCAATCACGTTCAACAACAGAGAGTTGCGACTGAGGACACTCTACTTCATAGACTGTTCATATCTATTTAAATTATTGATTTTCTAAATCCGAAATGTTCAATTCTGTGACGTGGTTTCTCACCGCCCAAATGACTGTCGAGTGTTGACTCTGTCAATGTCATATGGATTACCATCATAAGACTTGCGGCGTGAAGACACGGCTGTACCACCACTCATAGTCCGAGGCCGATTTGTGTTCAAAGCTGTGTATGTGGGCCCATCCGATGTCTCTTCGGTGTCAACCGCAACCTCCGCTGAACTCGTTTGCTCGGGTTCCTTTTCCTCCGAGCCAGATGAGTCTTCTTGGCGAAGCCGCGCCATGAAAGCTTCGGACTCCGCAGCAAACTTGCAGCGAGATCTAATCGCAGCTCCGTACTTATAAAATAGGAATGGAAACGGCACACACGCAAGTGCCAGGAAAGCTGGGATCGAGGACGCCCAGTTGGTACCAAGGTCCGCGTACATGTATGACGTAAAGAGAGGAAACGCAGCGCCAAAACAGCTACGAATGACTGAGTTGGCGGCAAGAACGGACGCCGCAAAGATCGTGTAGGCGTCGATGAGGTAGTTCATGATACTCAAGAAGAGTAGAACCATTCCGAAACCAAATGGAATGCCGGCTGCGATGCTAACGGCCCAGTGAATCGAGGTTTGGTTTGTCCAAGCAAACCAGAATAAACCAATAGGGACAGCGACGCATCCGACCATCGCTGGTGGAAGTCGGGCTTCCGGTGGCGCATAACCATTGTTCTCTTCTTGAACTCGGTTATAGCGACCATTTGCCGGGATAGTATAGATGATGGCGAAAATCATACCCACCATTACGCCTAAAAATGCTAAGCCGCCGATTCCTTGAGACCAACCCCGTTCTTGTTGATATACAATAGGGAAGGCGGCGAAAAGCATGTAGAGCGTTCCGTAGATGATGGCCATGTAAAGACTGAGCAGGAAGACAATGGGCTCCCGGAACAGCAAAATCCAAGGACGCAGCAACGCGTTTCTGAAAGACTCTGCAAGCTTGACTTTGCCCTGATCGTGCTCCATCTTGCTCATATAACACTTTCCTGTCATCTTGGACAGTTTCGCCGCCCTTTGTCGAAGCAAGTACGGAGCATACGTCTCAGGCACAAGAGCAGTCCCTACAAGCCAAAGAGTCCCAGAGAAGGCCGCCAAGAACCCGAGAACCCAGCGCCAGCCAGCGGCAGCTCCGAGAAAACCACCTGCAATAGGACCGATGACGGGACCGAGGAAGGGCGCGGCTGCAAAGAGCGCCATCGCCAGACCTCTCTCGGCTGCCGGAAACATGTCTGCGATGACGCCGCCCGAGTTCGCGAGAGGTGATGAGCCGAAAGCCCCGGCGAAGAAGCGTAGAATGATCAAAGTCCTAGCGCTATCCGCTCCGGCACAGCCAGCGTTGAACGCTGTCAACACCATATAAGTGCCGAAGAAAAGATATTGTCTGCCGAACAGTTCACTCAACGGAGCCCACATCAGGGGTCCGATAGCAAAACCGAGCACGAAGAGTGAGACGCCAAGGGTAGCGACGATTTGCGATATTCCGAACTCTTCAATAATCTCGCGGATGCCTCCAGTATATGCCGAGGAAAGCAACGCCACTGCCAGTGTTGTAAGCGATACCATCATTGTGATGAACCACTTTTTTGGTTTGCTCCAGCCCATGGGGTTTCGAGGGTCGTTGGGGATCCATTGGACCAGATATGGGTCTTGTTCGGTGCCAGAGCCGGCATACTGGTGGTTGAGGACCTCTGGTGTGATTCCAGCTTGGTCGGCAACCAAGCGCCAATAGGGAATTCTTGTCGGGGCAACGACCTCGCCGCCATCTTTATCCTTCATCCTGGGGTTGTTCTCGAGTCGTCGGTCAGGTTGGGGAGCAGATGCGCGGGGCAGGCAGCTGTAGGCTCGAGTCGTGATGTTGCCAAGGAGTGGCGGAAGAGGTAAGATGTTGCTCAGAAAATCTTGCAGATGCTTGCATTCATGGGAGGGATGCTGTACTTGAAGGGTCCAACGTTATGACCAGGGGGAGCAGCCCGATACGGCGACTGCATGTAAATCGGCATACGGATGGGAAAGAGCGCCGGAATCCCGCATTGAGCAGAGCGTCATATAGCACGAGACTTGCTCATAGCCTCTTCATAATTACTCAAGCGAAATCATATCTAAGTCGCCTGCACGGAAGGGAGCGGACAAGATCGGTCTTAAATCCGGGCGTGGTGCCCTCGGATCGTGCATACCTAGCACTCGCCTGAGTTATTACCTGATGCAGGTTTTAGATCCCCCATCTGCAGCGCCTTAGGTGACGACACCATTCCGCTGACTCTGTTTTTGTCATTTGTTGCCGGTCAAGGTGGTGTTGGTGGAGCCCGGCAGACAATGATTCACCTCCGCCGGTCTTAAGTCCGGACCCTAGCGCCCTTCTAGGTGGTCCGGAAGGATAACTCCCGATTATCGTGCATAATGTGCTTATCCAGTGCATTATTCGACACATTCCCCAGTTTTCTCACTAATGTTGGCAATGGAACTTGGCTCTTCCGGTGCATAACCATTCATAAAATACCGCCGGCTTTCATTAGCTCCCATGCTTGCCGTCATTCTCAACATTCTCTCCTTCTATTATAAATGCGAACCGGCTTTCTGGAATCATTTGAGATCTGAAGCCCGCTCTACATCATGAGATCTCTAGTGCGACCCTAAGGTTCACCAATAAAGCTTGACCATGTTGCCCAGGTCCCACGTGTCGTAGAGAAATGTCCGCACCACCACTCGGAGCCGATGTTTGTGGTCGTTCATCCGGTCACTTGCCTGTTCCCATCTCATCTCACACTTGTCTCCGTAAACTTTCCTTCCTCGTCATACAGATCCCTACTGTCGGAGACATCGTTACGCTGTTCTGGACTTAGACTGATGCTGCAAGACGGAGTTCGGCAACCGTCTGGTCAAGTGTAGTGTCGGGGCAATTAACCAAATCACTGCTCTTGTTTGTCCAAACAGCTGTTTGTGCTCCGCCACGTATACTTCATTTCCGTCGTGCCGCCCCCTATTTTCATATTGTTGATATGTTGCCCCACTTCTGTTATTGCAAAGTCTTTGAGACTCCTTTTCTGGCCATCCTGAACAGCGCCCCCCGCAAGGCAAGTAAACTTGTCAAGTTCAATCAATCAATCAATCAGTTATGAAGCCATCGCGATGTGGCAATCAAGTCAAGTTTGGGCCTCAAACTTGATTGATTGCCTTGCAGGGGGCGCTGATCCTGAAATGAGTCTTAAGACAACATCCGATGATTATGGTTTATCTTTTAGAAGCTGGCTCTCGGTATAGACTTGGATGTGCAGCACTGCAGTTTGGCATTAGCAATAGACTCAATAAGGCAGCTTGCTGTACTCGATCCACAACGTCGTCCATCGTTAGGCTAAGATTCAAATAGGTGCCATTTCGAGAATCATCGTCCATGTCCCAACAATATCCTGCTAGGGTGAGGTCTAATAAGTTTTCTCTGGTTTTAATAGTAGCTGACTCTCGTGCGAATGACAGCTAGAATAAGATGAGTGCGCACCATGGCATCAAAGCTACCAGACACTCAATATTCGATTCACTTATCAACTTCGAATCCATTGACATCCCTCATTGCTAAGGAACCATTTCCAGGGGGCTTTTACTGGGTCTTAATCAATGGCTTGAGCCTCATCGAATATTATTATTCTAAGTATTCACGACAGTACTCCCGCATTTCAAACTGATTCGGACCAAATGGACGTCGCTAGGCCATTCGATCTGTTGCTGTCGTCGCTGTTGTGAGTTTACTCGTGCATCGAACGACTTCATTTTGTTTGCAGTCTGTTTATGGACTATCACATGACTATCGCATGATAAACCACAGAACATTATATCAGCAGTCTCACTGGCAGAACTTGGCTAAGCATCAAAGGGACTTTGGAATGGGACTTTGGGTTTTCTGACATTCTGTTTCCTTTCGCGGCCGTCGACAGGAGCCGATGAAACCGTAAGTGGATCCGGCACGCCCCGAGACCGAATCGGGTGCCGCGGCACGCGCTGTGCCTCTCTTGTGCATTGTTAGTGCTCACCAAAGACCAACCTTCATACGAATACGTAGGCGAGTCTTGCCGGCAGGAAAGTTCATCCGAACGCTGTCAGATATCCTCCTGGCGGCCATATATCCGTCACTCGTGAAATCCAACATGTTTGAAAGTGCCCTTCTCTAGTGATCTGTAGATTCAAACCCAGTCCAGCAAGACCTTGCCCGCGGCTACAGATCGACAAAAGCGAATTGTCAAGGAGATGGCAGGATTCGCCACAGTCGCAGCGGTCCTAGCAGCGGTCGCTGTGTTCATTCGCATCATCTATCTTCGACTCTTGCCCAAACCGATACCCGGTCTGCCATGCCATCAAGACTCCACGAATCGAATCCTCGGCGATGCTCCCTATTTCATTGAGATTGATAATGCGGGCGGGTTCTGGCTCAAGTTCTTCACTGATTTGCTTTCAAAAACCAAGACGCCAATCGCACAATTCTTTCCTGGTCCCTTCGACAGGACGCATGTCGTGATTGCCGATTACCGAGAAGCCCGGGACCTGCTCTCGAAGAGGAGCAAGGATCTCAGTCGGGGGTACACGAACAACATGATTTGGCAGGGTGTCATACCAGAGCACTTCATCGCGATGGAAGATGCTCATCCGTCTTTCAAAGATGCCAAGTTCCTTACCAAAGATTTGATGACGCCGAGCTTCTTACACGGGGTAGGGCATCCTGGTCTTTTGGGTCTTAATCACGTTCCATGAAGCAGTTCTGACATACCTATAGGTATCAGCGCCGGCTTCGTATAAGACGGTCCGGAAATTCATCGAACTGTGGAAAAGCAAAGCTGCTGCTACTGACGGCTTGCCTTTTGAGGCAGACGAAGATTTGGAGGCCTTTACTTACGACATCATGAACACTGCCGCCTTTGGTGTACCAGTGGAAGAAAGCTATATCGCGGAACGGCTGCGATCTATGAAACGGGGTCCATCTCTTGAGATACCCAGAGAAGCTGGTTCTGATGAGAAGGTTAAGAAAGAACCCCTCAAAGTCGCCACGTTTCTCCCTGTTGAACGGCCAGAACTTCTCTTCGCTCTTGATACCCTGAACAAGAGAGTCACGGGTGCCTTCCGAGCAATGATACCGAGCATCTTCTTCATTTTCGACAACCTGCGACCAACTATACAACGGGCCTTCCGCTTGAAGAGGTCCATTCTTCAGTCGCATATCGACCTTTCAGTAGAGAAGCTCTCACGAAGCGATGGAGAAGAGAACTTCGCCTCGGCTGTAGACTACGTCGTTTCTCGCGAGAAGTTGGCTGCGGAGAACTCAGGGCGAAAGCCTGCTTTCGACTCGCTTCGGATGAGCGACATGCTTTGGGGATACCTAGTGGGCGGGCAAGACTCGACTCATAGCACGCTATGTTTCACGGCCAAGTACCTCGGATCAAACCAGGACGTTCAGTCCAAGCTGCGCGAGAATCTACGGGCTGCCTACCTCGAAGCGGTAGCCGAGAAACGTGAGCCGACCATTGACGAAATCGTCAAAACCCACGTTCCGTACCTGGACGCGTTCATCGAAGAGACTCTACGCCTGAGCAGTCCTGCTGGAGCTATCATGAAAGATACGCTTCGAGATATGGATATTGTCGGTTACCACGTTCCTAAGGGAACCCCGATAATGTTTCTGTTGACTGGACCTACAATCGCAGAAGCTGGGGCAGTCGTCGAGGAAAAGAAACGAAGTGAGACTTCACAGAAGCTCAACAACGAAGGCGTGGAAGACTGGGGCCGGAGCCGCTTTCCTGCGGAGTCATTTCTCCCAGAACGATGGTTACAGCCTGGCGAGAATGGTGAAGTCAAATTCAATGGTCAAGCTGGTCCATTCATGAGTTTCAGCCTTGGTCCAAGGGGTTGCTGGGGGAAGAGATTGGCCTATCTTGAGTTGAAGTTGATCATAACTTTATTGGTCTGGAACTTGGACTTTGACAGGTTGCCCACCGAGATGGAAGATGATGGTCTGGTGGAGGGATTGTTCACGAAACCCAAATCATGTCTGGTTAAGTTGAAGGCTGTAAAGATTACGTAGTGAATTTGCTCCCAGAGAAGGAACATCTCCCAGTCTATGTACCTATTAGTGTTTTTAGTGGTCCTGAAACATACCTCCGCCATTCCGCCCGGCGGGATACCGATGAAATCCCACAACGGTCGGAGAGAAAGAGCGCATGGTAGTACTTTTTCAGTTCTCAGATCTTCACATGTCTGCAACGTATGTTCTAGTACGGCCTCAAAAGTAGTCCGTCCGGAGCCGAGCGACGAGCGGATAAGAGTTTTGCAGATCTGGGGTTCAATCCCTGACGCAGAACCCGGATACGACAGACAGGGAAAAAATCGTCCAATACTTGGCACTCGACGCACACACCAGTTCTTGGGAGGTTCGGGTGACATTCATGACGGCCGCCGATCTAGCTCCGTGGCCGCACCGGTTTGCCGGTGGGATCGTGCATCTTAGTGATGTTCGGGCCAAGGATTCGCACGACGCGACCCAAAAGAACTTGGTGACGTGACTAAAAGAATCGAATTTTGAGATGTTCATCGATCAGGGAATTCGCCAATCGGATCTTGATCATTTCCCGTTCGCCGAAGCTCACCCCTCAGATCTCTGGGGTTGGCGAGGACGTGGCTTTGCATCTCGTGTGCCGGGCCTTTCAATAACTTCACGGACACCATTTTCCGATTTACCAGCCCATTTATCAGCTATGGTGACTGAAGTATCCTGGCAAGTGGAAAATGGACCGCTGAATCAGCGGCATCGATCAGATAGCTCGCCATACATATGTCGTTCCCTTCGAAGCTCAAAGCCACATGTTCCAAGCATCAGACGCTGCCCACAATATTTGCACTTCTTGCATCCAATCTTCACTTCAAAGGTTTTAGAGGGTAGATCTTCCGATAATCAATCATGAGTTCGTCCGACGCCGCGTTGCCCCTGAACGCTGTCGTCGGAACTCTGCTCGCGACTTCTCTTCTTACTATCACCTTTGCGTTCCTGTCTTCAAGTAGCAGTCTGTCGAGTTTCCCGCTAGTGGGAAAGGAAGCTGGCGGTTATGAGAAGCGACGTAAGATGTACTTTGCAATGGCCACTAAACTTTATGAAGAAGGCTATCAGAAGGTTTCTATCCACGCAAGAGTCTTTAGAAATCATTCGACTAACCTCAATCTCTGAAGTTCAAGTCGTCAATCTGGCGTATTACAGGTGCTGATGGTAAGAAGCAAGCAACTTCTCGACGGCCAACACCAGCTGACACCATTACAGGCGACATCGTCATGATCCCGCTTCACCATTGCGACGATCTCCGAAAAATGCCCGACGACACCGTCAACAACGTTCCTCTTTTGGAAGCCGTTAGTAGAGCCGCCCGGACATTCTGTTGCACAACTGGTGCTGATTCTTCTCCAGCTTTGCGAGACGAGATGGACAGACTATCACCCAATCAACCCCCTTTTACTCAACGTCATCAAGTCGAACCTCACTCCAAGCCTGGCCAAAGTCGCCGTCACACTATCAGGTCACATCCAACGTACGGTCTTGGACTCGCTCGGTTTTTGCACCGAATGGACGGAAGTGGTGCTGTACGACAAACTGCTGAACATGGTAGCCATCATCTCCGGCCGCATCTTCATCGGCCCCGAGCTTTGCCACAAGGAAGAGTACCTAGAGGCCAGTACAATGTTTGTCATCGACCTCTTCACGGCAGCAGCCAAAATCAAGAGATGGCCAAAGTTCTTGCGCTTTATCGGCAAGCATTATGTCCCCGAGATCAAGAAACTGGCCGAACACAGACATCGTGCAGCTCAAGTCCTGGTCCCAGTCATTGAAGAACGCAAGAGGCTGAACACCGAAGGTACCGAGGCACCGGAGGATATGCTGCAATGGTTCATCGCCAAATCTAGCAAGTTCGGCATGGACAGCAATGAGCAACTCGCCGAGACGCAGCTTAGCTTGAACGTCGTCGCCATTCATACCACGACAATGGCAGCCACGCACACGTAAGACTCTTCACTAGCACCGTCAAGAACGTAACATATATCATGAGACTGACTGGATCAAAGCTTGTATGACATCGCAGCACGCTGTCCTGATATTATCCCCGTCCTCCGGAACGAGATCAAGTCCGTACTCGCCGCGAATGAAAACGAATGGACAACCAGCGCCCTCTTCCAGATGAAGCTCCTTGATTCCGTCATGCGAGAGTCCCAAAGATTCAATCCCGCCAGCTTAATCAGCTTCCTACGAACCATCACGAAACCAGTGACCCTCAAAGACGGCACTACCCTCCCCACCGGCACCAACATCGCGGTGCCCATGGTCGGTCCTCTACAGGATGATTCTCACTACACCGATCCAAACCTATTCGACCCCTACCGCTTCGTATCGATCCGCGACGAGATGCGCAGCGATCCGTTGCAGTACGCCAATAAGGAACAGTATCAATTCGTGTCTTCGACCAAGGAAAACATGGCCTTTGGCTTCGGTCGCCACGCGTGTCCTGGACGATTCTTTGCTGCCACCGAGATCAAGATGCTCCTCGCGAGACTTCTACTCGAGTACGATATCCGAATGCCAGACGGGGTACAACACCGCTACGAGAATATTGTAAGAGGTGATATGATTGAACCGGATCATACGAAGACAATGTTGGTGAGGAAAGCCACTGTACTGAAAGAGTGAGGTAAGCTCCTCGGGGACGGGTCTGCGTGGTGCATGGCAGGGCTTTTTTTGGGGGTGAGCATCAGGTCGTGTGGTCATGGCGACAAGGTCACATCGCGCGGGCGTCTAGGACATGGCACACATTATTTAAACTTCTTGCCGGTGATGTTGTGGCTGTACTAAGCGACGATGGGCAGTTAGCTATCTTTGAGTAACGGACCAGTGTCTACGACGACCAGGTACTATTGAAGACCACCGTGCCTCACATGATTCCTCGCAATAAAATGGGATATACCGTCATGACAGCGACAGATTCAAAGCTGTGATCCCATGAACTGCCACAGAGCAGGGTTCTGACTTGGCGGAATACCCATCTGTCTTAAGTCGACAAGAACCGGATCATCCTTCCGAGTGTCTGGATGCAGCTGAATTCCGGCGTTGACCTCAGCTGTGCCGTACCTCAAAGCTTCAACGATCCCTTCAAGATCCAATTGCTGTTCGGCTAGGTCGCCTGATTTGCCAGGGTCCTCATTGGGTGCACCAGCATTCTGTTGGATGGTTTGAACAGCGTCTTCTCCTTCCGTTTGCTTTCGAGTGCCCAAGCATCTGTTGAAGAGTCCCATCACTGGAACGAGACTGTGTGTAGCTGTCGCTGGCTCCGTACGACGTGACGTAAATGATTTCCATGGGAGAGCGAACATCTTCCAAGTTGTGGTCAGGAGCCAATCAGGTATGAGACGGACTAGCATGCCGACAGGAATGGTGAGAACACCAAACATAAGAGACCAGCCCCACTGAGCTCCCGTGAGGAGCAACTTGGAATGCTTCTCCACCCAGAAAGATGATTATGACTTGTCCAGCAAGCGTCACAGCCTGCACAAACATAAACCAAGGATTCTGAAGGATACCCTCCAAAATGTTGAATTGGTTGTCGATCCGTCGGGAACTAAAAACCCATTAGTCAAAGAGATACCAAGTTTCTCCGCCAAGGTTGACTCACTTGATTTGATTGAAGAACTGCATCCACACATAAATGTTAAAGGTCATGGTTTGTAGTTGTCGCTGCTGTTGCTCCGTGTGGTATTGGAAGATGCTCTCCCCTGCGTAGTGGAACGTGAAGATGACCGCAAGCTGGTAGATGGACTGCCCTAGAATCATCTTCCACATCGTAACGTTGAGGACTGCAACTCCTCTCGGCTCGGGCTTCCGCTTCAGCAGATCGGGAGTTGGGAAGTCGGTACCGAGAGCCAGCGCAGCGAACGTATCCATGATCAGGTTGATCCACAACAATTGGACAACACTGAAGACAGATGCGCCCGTGCCACCAACGAGTGCAGATATGACAGTAAGAAGGCCGGCCGTAACGTTGATGGTAAACTGAAACTGTTTCGATTTGTTAATGTCAGAAACACCAGGAAGACTATGTCACCAACCTGCAGAAACTTTTTGGCGGCATCGTTGACGGCTCTGCCCCAGGAGATTGCCTTGGCAATCGATGCAAAGTTGTCGTCCATTAGAACAATTGCGGATGCTTCCTTGGCGACTTCGGTTCCAGATATGCCCATGGAGAAACCCACATCTGCAGCCTTCAATGCGAGGGCATCGTTCGTGCCGTCTCCGGTCACAGCCACGACCTCGTCAAGACTCTTCAAATGAGTTACTAGGCGTACTTTATCGTCGGGGCTGGATCGAGTGAGGACTTGGAGACGTGGAGCTACGAGATCGAGCTGTCTCGACGTCAACCTCCGGAAGGTCGGTCCATCCATGGCTATTCCGCCAGCCGTGTAAATTCCGCATTCTTCGGCGATAGCTGTGCCCGTGAAGAAGTTATCACCCGTTACCATTCGAACAAAAACACCAGCGGACTGGCATTGTCGGACAGCCTCAATAACCTCAGGCCGTAGGGGGTCGCGGATGCCAAAAGCACCGATGAAAACCAAGTCGGAGAGACTGATCGTTGTATTTGAAGCCGCCGGGGGCCACTGATCAAAGTCCCTGTATGCCACGGAAACGACTCGCAGAGACCGCTGGGCGAAGCCAAGAATGATGGCCTTCAGTCTTTGTATGCTGTTAGGAGTCATCTTCATAACGTCGGAGCCAGAGGCGGGATCGCTCAAAATGTCGACGCATCTGTCCAGAATGACTTCTGCAGCACCCTTGACCAGCATTCGGTAGCGACCATCGCCCAGCCTTATAACAACAGCCATCCACTTCTTTGAGGCATCGAAGGGAATAACCTGCACAATGTTTCCGTTGGTCCTCTCTTCACTGACACTTCCCATGCCGAGATGCTCAACAGAAAACTTGAGAAGTGCAGTTTCGGTGCTCGAACCAACGAAATTGTTGCAGTCAGTCGTTTCGATTGCGGTCGAGTTGAGGGAAAAGCTCGTCTTAATCAGTTCCCGGATAGTGTTTGGCAGGGATGCGATGAATTCGTTGGTTAAAGGGATGTCGTGGTCGTGCCCGTATGGAAAACCAACGTCTCGAAACAATGCTGCCGGTCCGAGAATACCTGCAACGACGCTCATCTTATTCTGGGTTAGGGTACCCGTCTTGTCGGAACAGACCGTTGTGGCGTTGCCCATGATTTCGCAAGATCGAAGGAGCCGTACGAGGTTGTTGTCCTTGAGCATTCTTGTTGTAGCAAAAGCCAAAGCCAGGGTGACAGTCAGTGGGAGACCCTCGGGTACGGCAATGACGATAATCGTGATGGACAAAATCAGAACGTCCAAAAAGGCATGCCCCTTCTCTTTGGGCCCACCTTGGATGTGTTTCAGATCGACGAGGAACCGGATGAACATGATTGCAAAGAAAATACCACCCGCCATCAAACCGAATCTGATGATGTACTTAGCCAACACTCCAAGCTTCTGTTGCAGAGGAGTCTCTTCAACGTCGTCGTGGAGCGACATCATGATTCTGCCGTACGACGAGTCGGCACCAACAGCCAATACGAGATATGTTCCGACTCCAGTGGTTGCTTTTGTCCCGCCGAGGATGAAAGGATCGTTGTCGTTCTCGATTGATGCGGAGGCTGGAGTCTTGACCAGCAAATCTGACTCGCCAGTCAAAGCGGACTCGTCGCATTGGATGTCAAATCCTTGAATCAAAATGCTGTCAGCAGGAACAACGTCGCCGGCCTCGATGTGCAATACATCGCCGACGAGTACGTCAAAGATGGAGATAGACTGATGTTTGCCAGACCGAACAACGGTAACCATGCGTTCTTCCTTCTTCTGGTTCAACTTCTGAAACTTGTAGTTCTTCTGATAGTCGTTGACGGCAGTCGCAACCACAATGACCACGACAGCAACCAAGATACTCACCCCCTCAACCCATTCAATCCTTGCTCCTTGTTCGTCGCTTCCGACGGATTGGTAAATGCCGAGGGCTAGAGAGATGACTGCAGAGGCGGTAAGAAGGAACATGAGCTTGTCGTTGAAGGCCATCCAAAGAAGTTGCAGAAATGTCTTGGGCTTTCTCCTGGGTACACGATTCTCGCCGTATGTTGCACGGCGATCGGTGAAGTTGCCAGGAGTTTGCCCTGGGGCTTCTGTTCCCTTTTGGTCTGCCTTCGTTTGTGCACCGGCGCTCTTGGAATTTGCAATCGTTTCTGCGCTGATGGAGTGTTCATCGAGGATATCTTCGTCGACTCCAAGGCCTGCGTTGACATCGGTTCGCAAGCCCAATGCAAGACCCTGCAAGCCACCAAAGGCGAGTGGAGATTTCGGATTGCGGTTCTCGATCAACCGGTGGAGTTGCGATGGGGAGAAGGCGAACTTGCTTCCAGGAGCATTATCCTCGTCGTCGAGGTTCTCGATGGCCGCCGATGCCGCGATGGTGGTCTTTCGACCATCAGGCATCGAGCCGATAGGGGGCAATGAGGTAATTTCGTCCTCCATAGCCGTCATTGTATCAGGATGGGATAGAGACAAAAGTTTGCAGATGGTTGGATTTTGGACAATTGGCAACAAAGGAGCGTTTGAGGCTGTAAAAGACGGACTGATGGCTCTTGGAGATATCTCTCCGGTTGAGCAACTGACGTGCGTTACATATCAACAAATGTCTCTTAGCAATAATATGAGGCAGGAGATAGCCTAGGAAAGAGGCTCTCTGGTCGGACTTGCCAAGCAGTCGTGTGTGGAATGGCTTGCCAAGACCAGACGGCGGAGTGTGCCGTGATGTACATAGAAATGTAAAAAGCCAAGATAATAATCAGCAAGTGGGTAGCCGCCGAATAAAGAAAAGGGTACGTATGCACCACAACAAGACTTTGTTTCCGTTTACCCCTGCTACTGCTGGGATGGACACCTTAATCAGTGTATCGCATTTGCTACATTCACCGCACACCTCTCCACACCCAATCGCTACGTTGTGTACAAACATTGGCCATCAGTCTCCAGACCCCAATAGTGCGCCGTACTGCCACTCGCTTGCTTCGAAGCGGACCCTTGCTGCAAACGCGACAGGCACGTACAGTCCTTAAAGCCAGCCCGCTGCACTGCCCTGGTGGATCGCAAAGCTCTGGGAACCAACCACCACCACCACCTCACCACTTACACCGACGAAAACAACGCAAACTGCGAGACGCCCGCAGCAAGACTAAGAGAGCCATCGCACGCCCATGGCTAGACGCTACCCTCTCCCGAGGCATTGGAGGGTAAGATCCGGGATCGATCACCTTTTGCAAGCTGGCTTCAACTTATTGCGAGATTGCAGGCTCGCATGCCCAACGGCCAGCCCCCTCCTCGTGTCATTGTCGTGAAACAGGAACACCCAGGCGCGGATTCATCTTCATCCCAGCACAATTCCCGAAAGAAGGGTAACCGCGATGAATCTGCCAATTCAGGCTGGAAAGAAACTTTCTTCAAGGTTGTCGAAGGAAGTGCGACTGCGTTTGGCTCAATCGCTGTGCTTGGTTTGGCAGGATATTCCTACCATACCTACTACAAGTATCTCGTGCTACAAAAGATGGAGAACGCATTTAGTGCAGGATTCTCTACTCCTGAGCTCATCGCGCTTGCGCGACATGCAGTCCCTTCCAAACTCCAATTGGAAGCAGCTTTACACGAAAATGAACTGGGCCACCACGAATGGATTCCGAGAACCGAACAGCCTCTCGTCGATGCAATCTTAGATGGCAGTCTCCAGGGGCGGTACCACCTCATCACCGGGGAAAGGGGCTCTGGAAAAACATCCATGATACTAAAAGCAATGAGGCGAGTTCACGGCGACGGGATCGCCATGCTCGAAGCCCACGGTGATCCAGAAATCTTCCGTCTCCGCCTCGGCAAAGCCCTCGACTATGAATTCCACGAGGACTACGTCGGAAGCCTGTTCAACTTCAAGGGCCCCCGTGACTCAACAGCCACTCTTGATATTGAAAGAGCGTTCAACAAAATGGAAAAAGTCGCTTTGACCCGGCGAGCGCGTACCGGCAAGCCTCTCATCCTCGTCATCAACCGCGTTCATTTGTTGCGGGAAGACGACCACGGCCGCAATTTGCTCGAGCTTATCCAGCAGCGAGCTGAGCTCTGGGCCGCCAGCCGCCTCGTGACAGTGGTACTTACGAGCGATGATCACAGCATTACAGAGCGCCTCAGGTGGCAAGCAACGCGCTTGAGCGTAGCAGACATCCACGACATCCCCCGCGGACCCGCCCTGGCCTCCCTCAAAGACTTCCGAGCAAAGGTCTTCAAGGAGGCTGTGCCGCAGAACATCCTAGACCATGTCTACAACAAAATCGGCGGGCGTGTCGGTTTCCTCGACCATGTGGCCCGGTCCGAGGACATGCTCCACGCCTGCGACCTAATCTGCGAGCGGGAAAAGCGCTGGCTCCTCGGGCAGTGCTGGATCCTGGGCGGTGACATTGACGACAACGCCGAGGACCAGCAGGACTTTTCGGCCGCTGCGATGGTGCTGGCCAAAGCTCTTGTCGAGAAGGAGAAGAACATGGTCCGGGAGGGCATCACCGACGGCCGGCTGCCAGAGATACCCCTCCATGAGGTGAGACAGATCATGACCAGGCCGGACCTGATTCAGCGGCACGATCATGTCAACATCTTCTCCATTGACTCCAACTCAATCGTCCGGGCCGACTCGGTGCCCATGCAAAATGCATTCCGTGAGATCTGCGCGCAAGAGGGCTTTGAGGAGCACCTTCAAGCAACTTTGGACCGGTTGGATGAATTGGAGAGTTTAGGAAGGACGAGGGAGATTAAGATGAAAGACCTTGTCAATGACGGAGAGTTTCAAGCACTAGTTCGCTCGGCTAGGGGCAACGGGGAGCCTCTGATGGTCACTGTAAAGGCAACGTCTGCAGAAAAGGGCGGCGAGTGATTACTATCGAGGATCGTCTCTAAATATGATAAGCCGAGGCACGACATTTAAAACCCATGTATGCATGTTTCAACGATCAGAGTGGCGGAGCAAGCTTGGCCCAACGGGTGTGGATGTCTGCTCGATGATAATTTGACGATCCCCTCTCAACATTACGACTTCTTCTTTCCAGCACCCCCTTTCAGCCCCCACCCTAGTAGCACAAACAAAGTTGATAGGCCGTTTAGAGAGAACTCGGTTTCGCTTTTCATCCCTTATTCTTTACTGCTCAGCCCTACGCCCTGTACTCCCTTTCCCACTATTGTCGTCTCCGCGGGCACCGGACGATCCGTGTAACTCCGCCGTGTAAAGCCTGATGATGATGGTGCCTACCTTCGGACAGCGTCGGAAAGCGAGACGCTCAACCAATGGAAACTAAGTCTCAAAGCCTCTTTTCGTTGTAACACATAGCGAACGAGACACGGACAGTTTCGCAACTCCCTCGTACGTCCTGTCCTAAAGCGTAGTTCTGGAGTTTGATATGGCAATGTTCCCTCAAGCACGGACGTAAAACCAACATGAGGGTAACGGCGTCAAAGTGTGTTTTTCTCCGTATCCTCTAAAACAGAACTTTACCAAGACCACTACCACCTTCTACTGCTAAAAGTCGAGTTCTCGGCGTCAAGTGGATGAACGAGCCAGCTTCTAACTTCTAAATCCCCATGGCAACGAACCTCAAATCCCTTGAGGCTTTACTTTGGACACCAACATCAGGTGTCATTCTCCGAAACCGCAAAGAATCACCAACTGAACCGTCATGCGCAAGAAGAGATCTAATGACCAATGTGACTTCACAGAAGCTAGGACACAACGTTGCACAAAGATTATAAATTGCGATCATTCTATCTTGTAAACACCTCTAAATCCGCGCGATAAAAGCGACCGCAAACAGGGGGAATCAATCTGAGTTTTGGGGTATCAGTGCGACAAACGGACGACGCAACCCATCCTGTGCCCCCGATTCAACCTTTAGCCGCATTCCGGTGATACGCCAATAATGATGTAGTGGTAGTAGTTTGATAATGTCCCCCGACAGTCTAGACGATTAAACAAGTAAAGGACGGCGCTGCGCGCTCTAGAGTCTTTACAAAAGGAAATACGGCCCTGTCTCAGGCGGGGCCAGACCATGTCCATACTCGACGATCTGCTGAAGCTTACTAAGCTTCAACCATCAACTGCTCACCCTCCTCCAACAACTCCGTCACCTTCCTCAAGTTGCCAATGAGACTCTTTCCGAGACCGACCAGGAGCAGCTTCTCGGCATTGGCTGGCAGGCCGAGATACGTAGGTGGCTCGCGCTCAGGCAACTTGTGGATCCACGCCATAAAGTCCGGCAGAGACGTGCCCGATGGAACCTCAAGACTGGTTTCCTGGCCCTCTGCACTTTCGACAAGCTTATGTCCAACATCGTAGGCGGACGGCGTCAGGAACGAGTGGACGAGCTGGTTCAATTGCTTGAAGTCGCCCTCATTGTCAATCTTGCCACCGTAGGTTTCCGTGACGAGGTACCGGATCATCTCCCAGGGAATGCTCTGAGGGGCAATGTTTGTGCGGTTGCCAGCAGCGTTCTCGATCCAGGTGTCAATGATGAATGCGGAGCATTCGTACTGAGGCATGTTAGCATTATCCTAGAAAATTCAGTGTTCAACAAAACTTACGTCACTGTCATTGAACTCCCAGAAACCCTTCCAACCCAAATTAGGTGCGTAACGAAGACGCTCCTGAACAACTGCGTGCAAGAAGGCGAGCAGCAGGTAGAGCCTGGTGCGTTCGACGGGGGCCTTGGCAGACCTGGTTGAGAGAGAGGACATGGAGTCCTTCATGTTGGCACGGACACCAGCAGGTTGCTCGTACATGAGAACTCTCGACGCGCGAAGCAGATTGACGGGAATCTTGGGACTCGACTCCATGGAAAGGAAGAGACGGAAGTCGGAGTGAGGGTTGAGTGATTCCATGCGCTTCTCGAGACTCTGCAGCCAAGTAGGTGCAAGATGGACGTTCTTGACCAAGACCCAGTTGCCGAGCTGTGCGGCATTGTTGACGGCCTTGTCGGCGGTTGCCAGACCTTCGTTGGAACCCATGGCAATGTTGGTGCACTTGACTCGCATCCTCTCAACGAGGTTGTCGACCTTGTAACTGGCGTCGAAACCAGGGCTGGAGACCAAAGAAATAGGTCGGGTTGCAGGCACCTGGGTGACAGTTTCCTTGAGATCTTCGACAATATCGAAGATATCGGCACCAAAGACAAGGGCGGCAAAGCGCTCTGCAGCAGGCACGAACCTGTCGAGGCGGAAGAGCTTGACAAGAAGCAGAGACTGCAAGGCCTGATCGAAAGGCTCGACATTGTCGTCCCAGATCTTGGGTACGAAGTTCTCGGCCAGTTCCTCAGAAAAGAACTTCTCCCACTGCTCGTTTGTGATGTGCTCTAGCTTATCCTTGAGCACGCTCATGCGGCCAGCTCGGGCACAAGCTTCCTCTCTCGCCTCCTTGTCGGTTGAGAGATCCTTGCCCTCCACGCGATCATCAAGGATGACGTCAATTAAGGTCTTGTCCATCTTGTAAGGCGACGCCTGGGCAAGCAGCATGGCCAGCGTGATTCGGTCCTTCTGAAGCAGGCCGAGCGCAGTCCGCTTGAACGTGGTGACGAAAAGATCCTTGACGATGATGTCTCGCCGAATGTTGTGGTTGGTCTCGTTGGCGAGGTTCTTGTTACCATGAAGAACGGAGTGGAAAATGTCGAGGAAGTACTGGAGCGAGAACTGGTAAAAGTGGTTGAGGTAGTGCAGCTGCTCCAGCACGGCGAACACAGTACTGCAGGACCTGGCAATGATGCCGTACTGCTGAGTGATTTCCTCAACCTCGGCCATGACACCCTCGGTATTGCTCATCTTGTCGGAAATCTCTGCTGCTTCTGTCTTCAGAGTCTCCAAGGTCTCAATGACGTTGTCGTCGTCGAGAATGTTGCCGCGAGACTCGTTGAGGGCTTGCAGAAGACGCTTCTCCAACTGCCTGAGATGAATCTTGAACTCACCCTGCAGTTTGATGAGGTTAGATCGGCGCTCATCGACATCAGGTCTCTCCGACTTGAGCACATCGTTAAGTGACTGGGTCTGGAGAGAGCTCTGCGTGACGGTAAAGTTGACGAAGGTGGTACGAGAGCAAATGTCAGGAGGGAAGGTGGCGGAGGGGTCGCGAGTCGACAGGTAGATCTTGAACGAAGGCGAGAAATCAATTTGCTGCTTGCCAAGCTGGATAAGAACACGCCCGCCAGTCTTTTGGTACTCCTTGTTCAAGACCTGGTTGAGGATGGGATCCAGGTATTCAGCATCTTGAATGAGAATTGGGTTGCCGAAACGCAGCGAACTCTCCAGTTGCTTGGTGAAGGAATCATCCAGGAAACTGGTGACAGTGAGGCGGCGGTCCTTGCTCTCCTTCTGCAGGAACTCGGTGACTCGGCCAGAAGGATCGATGATGAGAGGGTAACGGTTGAACCTCTTAAGAATGATGGCATTCTCCGTACACAAATCGTCCACAGGCAAGCTGTTCTCCTGCCAGGTCAAGCGCTCATCAGCGGTCGATAGGTACTCAGTGACCGGATTGTGCGGCTTGAACTGAACGCCTGAGAGTTGAAGCTGGTGAAGCCAGTCATCCATCATCGACTTGCGGAAAGTCTGGTCGTAGAGACCGCTGTAAGCCAAGAAGGCGGCGGCAACAAGGACATCGCCAACGAGGGTGCTGATTTGAGTCTCGAAAGACTTGCTTCCCTCCTCCCAACGAACTCTTTCCGAAGACAGACTGTCGAGCAACTTGACACTTCTGTCGACCTTGAACTGAACCTTGGACATCTCCGACTTGATGGCCTGCGTCTCGCTAATGAGTGCGGCGTACTCCGTCTTATACTGGGCGATACTGGACTCGAGGGTGTTGATGGTGTTCTCAACAGCCTTGGCCTCTGCCTTGGTTTGCAGAGCCTGCTCCTCAAGCTGATCGACCTCTTCTCTGAGAGGGCCGACACGGTCCAAAATGTCGGAGTACGAAACCTGTGCTTCAACCCACTGCACGAGGGGACCGCAGGCCTTGGAGGCACGGTTGACTTTGTCGAAAGTGAACTCGGGGTTGGACAAGAAATCCTTGCGCATCTTGAGACGAAGAGGCTTCGTCATGTTCTTCTCGTTGTCAAAGTTGACGATGCTGGCAATGAAATCGTCGCGACGGATAACACCCTGAATCATTTTCCAGTCGTTGACCTTGTGACCAAGCAGGGCACAGACAGACTCCAGTGCGAGTCTGACACCCTGAGGAGGGTTGCCCATGGATCGAACTTCGGTAAGGTGCTGACGCTTGATGTTGCTAACACTAGCTCTTGCCTCCTCGACAGCGGGTTCGGCTCTTGCGAGATCGTCCAAGACGACCTTCTTGCGCGTTGCAACCTCGGCCTCTTGCTTCTCCAAAGCGACCTGAATCTCCAAGGAAGTGTTCTTCCTCTGCTCGGCCTCTCTCTGATCGGCAACCATGCGCTGCAGCTTCTCGTTCGCCTCAGCGTCCTTCTTCTCGAGTTGAGTCTTCTTCTCGGCAAGGCTGACCCTGAGGTCGCGAACCTTGTCGACAGTGTCTCTGAGCTTCTCGAGACCGACGTTGAGATGGCGCTGCTGCTCTTCCAAGTCCTCACGCTTCTCATTGTACAGCTTGACGTACTGGGCGACGAAGTCCAGGAAATGTCTGGGCGTGAGGAAAGTGACCTTGCCTTGCTGCTTGAGTAACTTGGCGTTGAAGCGTTGGAGGGAGTAATGGATGTAGACCATGGAGTTGACAATGGTCTCGCGGTGCGTAGGAGGCAGCTGAAGGGCGCGGTAGGCCACCGGAATGGTGTCCGGCGCCTGGAAGTTGGGACGGTCCAGATCCATGGAGGTGGTGAGCTCATGGCCGACCTGGAAGAGGGCCTGGTCTGACCAGTCACCGAACCAGTTGAGCACACAACGGTTGAACAAGGCAGGACTGGTTGCGGCCTTGGAGCCGAGGCCACCCTCTGGCGGGTTCATGGTGAACACAACGTGCAAGTTCTTGACAATCTGTTGAGTGAACCACTTGTAGAGTTCTTCGGGCGAGTCAAGGTGCAGGTTCTGTCGCTGAGCGCCCTCCTTGCAAGCTGTCATTAGGGCAGCGAACTCGTCGCCCTCAAAGAGACCAGGAACCTCGGCGTTGGCAAGCAAGGTGTTCATTCTCTCAAGGAAACCGGAGTCAAGAACGTTGGCTTCGTCCATGATGAAGCAAATCTTTTCGCCCTTGCAACCGCAACGTCGGAGAACATCACGGAGGTCGTCGTCGAAGTCCTCACCAGAGTACTTGCCATGCACCTTGATCTGGAAGACCTTCAGACCATTCATCCAAGCCACGAAACGAGAAAGAGTAGTCTTTCCACTTCCACTGACACCGATGAGGATAAGATGACCCTGGGGCTGTCTGAAGACACGATCGATGCGGAGGACGTGCTCCAAAACGTCGTTGAACAGGATAAGAGGCACGTCAACCTCTTCTTCGCAGAAGGTCTTGAGTCTGGCCTTGACAAAGTCACGAAGTTGCTCTCGGTCAACAGGGACGTAGTTCTTCGAGAGCCAGTTGGAGAAGAGGATGGGCCCACCAAGAGCCTTCTGGTCGTCAACGGTAGGGAACAGATCAAGAGCGATACGTCGCACAGCGTCGTCGGTCCACTGGCGCTCGTCCTCGGCAACGAGACGATCCTGGAACAGGCGAAGAGCCTCGTGTGCCCAGATGCGGACGAGACCTTCGATGGACAGTGTCTCCAAAGGCCGAATTGCCTCGTAAATACCTCTGACCCATCTTGTCAACTCACGAGGACTGTACACGTAGTGAGGTTGGATCTTTGGTGTAAAGCGTTTCTGAGATTCCAGGTAGAATTTGACCATGGCTTGCGTGAGTGGCTCAGAGTAGCCGCGAAGCGCCGGGATGATCTTGAGGACGGCAGAATTGAAAGTGCCGTAGATTTGAAGCAGTGAAAGCTCTCCGGGATAGTCGACCATGATAAGAGGGGCGTGGCGGAGGAATCTGGCGCCAAGGGGAGTACGACCGGCGTCGGTGGGAGGGTTACAGGCACCGACGAACTGGATGCGGTCAAGCGTGACCCAGGACTTGTCCGATGTCCTCCAAAAGCCGTTGTGCTCAACGAGCTGGCGGAGGAAGGAGATGGCCCTCTGAGTTCCGTACTTGTCGGCAGCGGGCAAGTTGATTTCATCGCAGAAGATGACGAGCCATCTGCCAATTTGAGTGGGCGAGAGCATAACTCCGTTCAAGGTCTTCTTGTACTCGCAGTATTGCTCGAAGGTCTTGATCAAGAGATCGGGGGTGGTGGCGCTGGAGAAGTTGAGGCCGACAACCTCCATGTTGGGAAGCTTGCGAAGAGCGCTGAACAGCGTCATAGTCTTACCCGAACCGGGAGGACCGCAAAGCAGTAACGGCTTGTGCTCAGCCAGCCAAGAGTAGAGGACATCCTCGTGACGAACTGTGTCGAGCGTGGGAATGACGACGTCAGTCTGGGTGATGGAGTGGGTGTTGACCTCAATAGTCGGCACTTGGTTCTGCCAAGGGGACCATTCCGCTTGAGGCAGGGTGACGTCGAAGTCGATGAGCGAGCTGGAGCCATCCAGAGGAGGGTTGCCGAAGTTGGCGAGACCACCGACAACATCTCCAAATGACTTCCTGTCGTTAAGAGGGCAGTCACCAGTCAGAGCCCAGACGAGGGCAAGAAGAAGCTTCTTGGCGATGAAGGCCTCGACCTGCTCGGGGTCCAAGGGGAAGTCGGAGTGTTGCGCGTTGTACTCAATCATGTCACGAACAGCCTTGTTCAACAGAGAGAACAGCGTGTTCAGAACACGAGCAACAGTGAAGTCCATAATGTGGTTGAAACTCTCGGCTTCCTTGAGCGCCTGGACGAGGAAGTCCTCCCCGCCGAGGTAAGCCTTGAGTAGATCGGCAACCTGTTCTTGGACAGCCAGAGCCTTTGCGGGGCTTTGCCCGGCGCCGACACTGTCTTCGTCGAGGTCCTCGAAAGGCTTGGAGCGCAATGTCTCGAGGTAATGGTCGAGCATCATGACGGGCGACACGGTATCCTCGCTGAACCAAACCATACCGCAACGAGAGACAGTGGCAAGAGTGGCGTACTTGAGAGTCTCGACCTCGAACATGATGCGGACGTTGGCAGGCAGGTTGAGACGTTCACCATTGGGAAGCGTAAGAAGCTTGTTGTCGTCCAGAACACTGTTCAAGTTCTCAACCCACTCGGGGTCGACGTCACCGTCAAAGACAATCCAGTGACGCTTGGAGTCCTCGCCTCTGAGGTTGTCGACGATCTTTCGGAGGATACTGGTGAAGAGACCGTCTGTCCACTCGCGCGTGGTAGAGTCGAGGTTACCGTACAGAGCCTCCTTGGACATGACCTTGGAATCAATGACATGCTGCACGCCCTCAACACCCTCGACCTTCTGGAGCGCGTCGAGCAGAAGAGTCCAGGCAGCAGATTTACCCGTACCAGAGTTGCCCACCATCATTACACCGTGGTGGATCTTCTGGATCTGGTAGAGTTGAAGGACCTTGGTCATCCAGGTATCGTTGACAACCAGCTGTCTCTCGGCAGCGAGAGTTCGGATGGCCTCCTCCAGTTTCTCCAAGTTGGCGGGAACATACTTGACGCCAGGGAAACAAGTCTCCTCAACCTCGGTGAGGATCTCGACATCACTCTTGATCAACTTTGGAGCAATGGTTTCCCGAATACTCTGTACGATGATCTCTGGTTCAACAACCTCTTCAGCGCCGATGCTGCCGTCACTAGCTGCCAGTCGCGCACGCTTCAAGCCACCAGAGCTAACGAGAACACTCTTCAAGGCACGGAGACCGAAATCGTAATGAGCCTGCTTCGACAGTCTAGCAGAGCACTGGTCGAAGAACGGCACAGTCTGCTTGGACAGCTGCTTAGCCTGGTTGAAACCCTGAGAGTACAGCATGACTTCGGAAATGAGTTCTTTGTCGGGCTTGGACATGGCGACGCTGCGGAAGAGCTTCTTCAAGTTGTCGGGGAGGTTGGAACGACCGGCGTAGCCAGGGTTCATGGTGATGAAGATACCAGTGTTGGCGTTGACGTGGAGCTGACGTCCGACCAGCTCGATCTGAGCCTTGTCGTCTTCGGCGCCCTGCTTCAGACCAAGCTGAATGTTCTGGATCTGCTGCGAAACAGCGGACAAGATTCTCTCCTCAAGACGGTTAAACTCGTCGAAACAACCCCAGGCACCGACTTGGCAAATACCGAGGAAAATACGACCCATGGCCTGGAAATCAAAGGTGTCGTCACAGCAGAAGACCAATGTGAAGCGACCCAGTTGAAGACCGAGAGCCTTGACTGATTCCGTTTTACCGGTACCGGCAGGTCCGTAGGGAGATCCACCGAGACGTTGGCAGAGAGCTTGGGTGAGGGTGAGGAAGCAGCGGTCGGTGAGGGGTGTTCTGACCAGGCGATCGGGAACTCCAAGATATTCGAAACCGTAGCTGAGCTTGGCGTTGGCCATCTTGATCTGCAGACGCTGCTGGAAGTCACCATCAGGAGAGTAGTGGTAACGCATCTGGAGCAGCCAGAAGTAATGAGTCGGCGCCGTTGCGTTGAGGTTGATGAGCTTCTCAATGGCGTCACGCTGGTGAACGCACTCAGTGATAAGCTGCTCACACTTCTTGCGCTGGATGACGTCAAGATCGCCGAGGACTGTGTCGGCCAGCAGACGAAGCACTTGTACTTCACGCTCATAGAGTGACTGCAGCGTTTTGCCGCCGTCTGCGAGTGATTTCTCCACAACGGTGGTCCAGACGGCTTGGGTGGCCAAAACAACGATTTGACTGGGGAAAGCCTCCATGAATTCGTTCATCGCAGACATCTCGATCTTCTCAGATTCGAAAATAGGAGTGTAGTGCTCGACAGCTTCCGCCAGGAGCTCTGCGAGAGTGTTCTTCATACCGCTTTCCAGGAGAGCCAGCCAGTCGTTGATCTTGGGCGTTTTGGCCAGAGAGATCTCCTTCTTGAGCCGCACCGCCTCGCCCTCCTTGGACGTGAAGCCAGAGATGATAGTCTCGTCGTCCATGATCAGTCCCGAGAGACCAGCGAACATCTTCTTGAAATGCTTAGCAATACGGAGAGTGTCATTGCTGTTACCAATCATTTCCAAGAGGTCCTCGTCACCAACGAAGTAGAATCTGGGGAAGGAGACACGCTCCTTCTCGAGATACTCACCAAGAGCCTTCTGGATCTTGTTGAGCAACTCTGCAAGTCTCTCAAGAGACTTCTGGACGTTGGGGATTTGAAGGACGTCGAGGACGTACGGCTGCTTGTAGACCTTCTTCATAACGGCAGAGAATTCGCTGTTGATGTTCTGGAATCTGGAAGACTCCACAGGCAACAGGTGCTTGATATCGGCGTTGCCAGTGAAGACTCCCTCCAGGTACACCCACTGTCTTTGAACGTCAATCCAAACGTCAAAGAGGACGTGGACTCTGTTGAGCTTGTCTTCCCAGGAGCTTGCCTCCTCCTCGAATTCCTTGTAGTAGGGAGAGTGCTTCATAGCCTGGAGCGAGTTCAAGTTCTCACTGCACTTTGCGAACAGATCATCCCAGCCACGGATGAGACGGCACTTGTTCTGGTAGTTGACAAGCTCCAGTCCATAGTTGGACCATGTCTCGCGAACTTGCTTCAGGAACTCCTCCAACGCCATTTCACCCTGAGCCTGGGTAATGATGTCCCTGACAATAACCTCTGTGGCGACCAGGTTGAGGTCCCAGACATCACCGAGGGTCATAGAAACGGGCGAGTATCGCTTGCCAGGCTTGATTTGCTTGTAAATCTTCGTCCAATGGCGGTCCCGGATAGCTTCAGACTTGAGATCTGAAAGCAGAGAGTTGACCTTGAGGAGGCCGCGAAGGATGGTCTGAACGTGTTCGAAGGCAGCGTACTGACGCATGCGACTGGGCATCTCCTTGGTGCTCTTAATGAGGTCGTCGATCTTGGAGCGAATCTTTCTGGGCTGGACAGCCGTCCATAAGATCTCTCTCGTCTCATTCAGACTGGCCCAAATAGTGGACAGGTTAGACCAGACGGACTGGAAATCCTGGACCTCCTCCAGGATGGTACCTAAAGAGGTATCGGCGCTGGCAGGGATGTCGAGAGCCTCCTTAGCCTTAGCAACCATCTCGAAGTCGGTCTGCAACTTGGAGATCTTGCTCTCGAAAGTGGTGAGGGTGGCAGACGCAATGTCAGGCTGGATGGTTCCAGACACTGGCTTCTCGTCGTTCCATTGCACGGCGATCTCGGCAATCCTGTCGTTCACAATCTTGTCCTCCGCAATGATCTTGGATCTGAGGGCATCGGTCTGGTCCTGGACAATCTTGGACTTCTTGTCCAAGATCTCAGTCAAGGATTCCCAAGAACTATCAATCTGCTCGATGTGGAGCCAGTCATTGGGGAACTGGTAGCGTTGTCGCACAAGTGTCGACTGTCCTTGCCTGAACATATCAATCTCGGGTGCCCAGAGCTTAACATTGCGCCTGCAGGCCTGCACGACAGTGATGAATTGGACGGCTGTAGCCGTGGATGAGGCATCAAGACCCTGGCCCTCGAGGTCGCGGCGGGCCTTCTCGATATCAGCGTGGACCTCACGCATGCGATTGCCGAGCCTGCTGGCGAACTTCATCAAGATCTCGTGCTGCCACTGATCGTACTTGGCGTTGACCTTGGTTTGCACCTGGTCGTAGTCAATCGTCGTGTGGCCAAACTGCCTGCTGACCTCTTGGGTGTCGAAAGTCTGGCGGGTCTTGCGAATTTCCTGAAGGAGTTGCAGCCATCGAGCGAGCTGGTCGCCAAGGGCCTCGTACACCTGCTCAGATTGAAGATCCCATAGGGACTGGAACTGAAGCCACTTGTCGACATATGTGCTGATTTCTTGAATCTTCTTCTCCACAGAAACGTAGACGCGGCTGAGCAAATCGGTGCACTCGCCAGGCAGGTCATCGAAACGAGGCTCGTCCAGTGTTGTAGTGGTAAGGGTCATCTGGTAACGCGTAGCCTTGATCTTCTTCAGGTTGCAAACAATTCCCAGCCATTCGTGCAACTGTACGAACCAGCTCGAGCGGGCATACTCCAGCGGAGGATCCAAGTAGATCACCTGGTTCCGCATGGACAACTCATGAACCAGGCGCTTGATCGTTGGACCTTGGGGAGGTGGCGCCTCGCCATTGTCCATGACCTGCTTCCGGCGGCCGTCGTCAAGATACTCGTCCTCGAAGGCTTGGATCCAGGTAAGAATGGCGTCTTGAAGACGAGCCAGGAGCACATCCTTGAGCTTCTGGTTCATGTTCTCAACCCAGTAGGGGAGGTTGACATATTGCTCCAGGTTCAGCTGGTCAACAGCTGTCTGAATGGTCTCCAGGCGCGAGGTAAAGGCGTCCGCTTCGTAGGGGCAGGTGTTGAGTTCAAGAAGAGCCTTCTCCACGGTGGCGTGAATCGAGGCCAGAGAGGCAGTCTTAGCCTGGAGCAAAGACACGGCCGCAGCAAACTCGCGGATGAACAGACTGTGCTTGCTTTCTGATGGCTTTGACAAACCGAACTCAGAGACAGACGGCAGATTGGCATTATTCTTGGTAGAGAAGAAAATCTCATGCGAGTTGACGAAGGACTCCCATCTGAGGGGAACACCCCGGGCCACCAGGGCGTAGACGTCGTTCCTGTATCCAAAGACGAGAACCGCTTCCTCGCCCATCTCGGAAATCTGACGCATAGTTTGCGAGAAGGTGCGAACACTCTCCATAAGGCTGACGGCGAAGGGGTATACGCGCTTGGCATCTTTGGACACATTGTTGATGGAGTGAGGCACAGCATAGTTCTGCCACATTAGGTTTCGCGTCTCCTTGAACAGAGTGATGACCTGGGGATCGAAGTTGACAAGAAGCTCATAGTTGCCACCGTTCGCTCTCATGCGGCGAATGTCGAAGAGAAAGCCGGAGATGGAGATTTGCCGGCGCTGGACGTCGTCAAGCCATGCCTTGTAAATGGTCTGAGTGTCGAGCTTCTTGCGGAACAAGTTGCTCTCGCTCTGAAGCTTCTGACCTTCGGCGTGGATGGCCCATTCAACACCAAGAACGTCTTCGACCTTCTTCATGTAGTTGTCCAGCTGGTGCTCGATCTGTCGAGCCCAAATGATAGCTCCAGAAACAGGTGGCAGATCACGCAATTGAGCCATGGCGTGGGCTTCGGAGTGGCCATACTGCTGCTTGAAGCGCTCGTGAAGACCATGAATGGCTTGCTTGACGTGCTCCATGAGCTGGTTCTGGTACTCAGCAATGGCACCACGAATCTTGGGTCGCACGAAAAGAGCGTTGAACTTGGAGAAGACGCGAAACATTTCGTTGGCGTTTTTCGCAGTCGCCAGACGGTCTCGGAGACGCGCAATGATGGAGTTCTCGACGCGAGAAGTCCGTTCATTGTACATGTTCTCGGCCTTGGCCCATCTCTCCGTACCCTCGGCGGAGACGTCCAGAAGGTCGACGTTCTTCAACGCTTCCCACGCCTGTTTCACTTCCTCGACGGCATCCACGTCGCCCATCTCCTCCACGACAACGACGCCATTAGTGCCGGTCGTTTCGGTCAGGCCGCTCACGGTGGCCTTGGGGCCGAGCACATTGACAATGGTGCGCTGCAGTTGCTCATGGTTGTCACGGAAAGTGCTGACGTACTTGAGACGTCCTTGAAGCTCGCCATGCTTGGGGTTGACCTTAATGGGGATGAACTTCTCGTTTCTGCGACGCGTAACTTCACGGGCGACGTTGGTAAACTCTTTGATGCTCTCATCCCAGGTAGTAAAGATGTCGTCGCAAGACTTCATGATACCCTTGAACTCGGAGTAATCAAGGTTGACGAGCTCGGTCCCCGGTAGCAATCGATGGAGAACCTCGTCCAAATCGCCAGAGATGGCCTCCACCAAAGGCAATGCCCTACGAATGGGGTAAGGGCAGATTCTCAGCTTCCTGTTCAGGTGGCCAAAGATTTGCACGATAGCGTCCTTCACCTTGGACATGGATGTGGCAGAAAGCAGCTCATCAAGCGGGAAATCTCTCATGAGCTGGTTGTACTTCTGGACCTTTTCCATAGCTTCCTTCAGACCCGTGTCGGCCGTGAAACTGACAGTCGCCTGGAAACGCTTCGCGTGCTTGAGAATCTCCAACGTCAGAAGAACTCCCTCGCTGCGAAGCTGTCCTTCGATTCCCTCCAGAGCGGACTCCATCGACAACCAAAAGTTGACCTCTTGGCTAGCAGTGAACTTGAAATCCTTGGCGCTGTCGGCGGGGTCCCTGGTCATTCTCGTAATGACCTGGATCGACTTGATCCAGCTGTTCACGTTGTTCTGGAGACTGTTGAGAAAGGTGCTGTCGGAGAGGACGGCGCCCGGGATGAGATCGAGGGTTGGCTTAGAGTGTCGAGATTCGGCCTCCTCCAGCGCGTTCTGCACCATCGTGTGGAACATGAGGGAGACCTCAGGGATCTCGACATTCTGCTGCAGATGCAACAAGCTCAGCTCGAGATCGTTCCACCTCTTCTTCGTGACGGGAATTCCAGTCTTGGAGTCGACGTCAGCCCTTCCCCTGGTGCCATTGGTGATTTGGCTCCGGGTGTTGGCATCGAAATACGGCGCCAGCGCATTGTGAACGTAAGAGTGGAGAATCTCGAAAGGCGAGGTCGAAGGACCCTGCTCGCCGGCGGTGGCGTTCAGAGTAGCAGGACCTGGGAGATTAGTGAGGAGAATCTGGGAGGTAAGAGGGAGCACGGGATCGATGGGGCCAGGCCGTTGCTTGAGCAGGACGAGGACAGACGCGGTTGTCGGGGACGAGGAGATCTCGGTGGTCAGAGAGTACGTGTAGGACGGAGGCTCTGCGTGAACTCGGTTAGCAACATTGGCCACGACGGATGAGCTCGTGGCAGCGGGCGACGAACTTGAGTCCTCTCCATTCTGTATCGCAGAGGCCGGCAGGATATCCTTCTGAATGTACAAGGTGTTGGGGGTATCGGTTGCGAAGCGGGCGCAGCGCTGGAGGGTGTCGGAGTAGCGATGCTTGTGAAGCAAGCTGCCGGGACTCTCGAGGTCCTCCTGGTTTGCGCCGAGAGCTATCTGGCATGCGAGAGCTATGTGGTCGACGACGCGGACGGGATCGATCGAGGGGTCGGACGTGGGCGAGGCGACGCCGTTCGCGCCAGGGATCGAGGGAGAAGCCACCTCCATGGCGGCAGACGTGTATTCGGACGGAAGAAGACGGTATTTACAGAGACGAGGTCGGCATCATCGTAGGTGTGACGGTTGGGCGAGAGGTTGTGGTGGACAGCTAGGTCTGTCGAGTCAGAGGCAACCTCAGGGGCGAGAGCGTTGCCAGCCGCAGTGTTAAACGCGGTGTAGATAGAAGGAAAGAAGAGAAACGAAGACAAGATGCTAAAGGAGCGTGCTTGTTGTTATGAATCCTCGTGGATTCTCAGGGTATCGTCTAGTCGAGAGAGCTTCGCGATGTTCTTTTGGTGGTGGTGGGTGGTTGTTAGTAAGTTGGGTCAATTATTCGCGGCTCGGTCGATGCTGCGCCAAAAGTTGTCTCCGGGAAGGTCCACGTCTTCCCGCCTGCAGCAGTGTTGACTTTCTACTCTAAACCGTCGCAGTAAACCTCTGGAGCCCCGGAAAGTCGACCTGTCCCCCGGCCCACTTTCACGTTGCCTTTAGTTTATTACAGAACCCTTCGGTCCAAAAAGTCAGGGGCATGGAAGGCACGCAAAGCTGCACCTCAGTGATTCATGTACCTCATGGGTGTTTTGCAGCGACTCCAGCGTGGGAGACTGCGAAAACGGTACCTTCTCTTTTTTCCTTCCCAATGGACGCGACCAGGACGGATCCTTGTCGCGACAGCATGTGTCAGGAGGCGTTGGCCACTAAAGGCGTGTGGTGTCCCACTGAGGATTGCGGGGCTTATTTGATTGGCTGCCTTGCATCCGTTTTTTTTCTGAATGCTTGTGGAGGAAGCTCAGACACGCTGTCCTTGGCCCCTCACATGGCGCGGCCAGGCATAAATAATTCTGCATCAAGCCCGGTCTCTAGTGCAAGCCTATATGCACGCCTTAGGTAGTCTCTGTGGTTTCGCTGCCGACTGTGCCAAAATGTGCCAACGCAGAGCAGAGGGCCCTTGACGACTTAGGTAATAATCGACAACAACATCCCTCTCATCTCAACAATGCCCACGGCGCATTCGCTCCTCGTGCTTCTCGGTCCTCATCGTAGCGTTACGATCAGACGCAAAGATCGGTGGGAAATGCACCGTCTGCGGTCGCAACGCGATGTCCAATCTGCTACCAACGCCCACTCCCGCTATCCTTGAGCCCCAAAATTACTATTAATCGTCTTTCTATTAGCAGCGGCCCCTGGTAAGGTAAGGTAGCTTGAGCTGCAGCATCCCGCCAGCCCGCGCGCCCTCGCCCCACTAATCGACTTGGACTGGCCCGGACACCTGCTAGGAACCTACCGGTTTGGCAGTCCATCTTGCCTGACATCACCTCACTTTCCGTAGCCTCGTCTAGCCTCACCTTACATATCAAATGTCAGTCAGCTGTGCAGACCGCAGTATCTCACTGTTGCTTAGTCAATATCACAGAGTTGACAGCTCGAAACCCAAAGTTCAATGCTTCAGTCATGTTCGCAATGTTTGCTGCTGTTTTAAAACCCGCCCAATGCATCCCTTCTCTTTCCGTAGACAGTGACACATCAAAGAACCATGTAGTCCCCAAAACTCTAAGGGACCCAAGAACGCACGACCAAACGACTCCGCCCAAATCAAACACCTGATCCGTTCCCGCCTGGCTCTCCGAACGACCAAAGGCCATGCTTCCGTGACGCGACAAAGAAAGCTTCGTACAGCCTTACACTATCCCAATACCCATTCCCGATCCGCCATGCTAGGATACCTTCTGAACATATAGCGCCTTGCGGTCTGCGTTCAACAACTAGTTGCCACCGTTGGCCGCCCCGGACGCATCCCCGAGCCTCTCCCGTTGAACCATGACGCGCTGATTGCAAATGTCGATAAACATCTCGAATCGCCCAATGATCTGCTCCTTCTCCTCCAGCGTCTTCTTCAGCTCATCAATCTCCTTTTGTTTGTCCTCCTTGTACTTGTCGAAGTCTTCCTTCGTCTTGGCGAGCTCCTTTCGTAGGTCTGCCCGGATGCGCTCCTCCGCCGTTGGGTGAGGCTTGCTGTAGATGGCTGGTCGGTTCTCAGCTAGCCCCGTCGCCACCTTTTGAGGATTCCTATTGATCGCCGCTCGTGCGTTGTAGATATCGCGAGGAAGTAGAGGAACGTGTGGGTTTTCGTTTTGCAATATTTCCAGTGTCTCGTTAACACTAACCCCTGTCGAAGAGTCAGCGACTGCTCTTTCGCGCGTTGTTGACTTCGCCGGCTCACCATTTTCCTTGAGCGCTTTGACGGCGGCAACCATCTTGCTGTCCAGCTTGCGAGCGGCCGGGTGGAGGAGGGGGCTTTCGCTCGGACCATGGTTGTGCTGCAGATGCTGAGGATCTGGACGGTATCGGATCGTCCACTGAGTTCGCTGCTCAATGGCAAAGAAGCCAAATTGGCAGTCGCATTTTCGGGAAGACGTCTTGCGCTTGCGGAACTCGGGGCTGACGCGACTGGGGGGTTTACCCGCCCTGTCGCATACGAACAACACCTTCTTTAGACCAGGAACCGTCTTCTTTGAACGACCAATAACAATCGCGTACCCAACAGAGGTGCAGTACGCAAGCACACTCTTGTGGACCGCCTCCAACGTCGGGTAGCTACCTCCCTCTGGGGGAGCAGACATCATCTCGCCCATTGGCTGTCTAGGCACGAACGGGGCGCCATCAATCATCTTAGGCTCAAGCGAGTCACCATCTTCAGCGAGGGTTTCCACCTCCATGCTGTCTCCATGGTGTTCGCTGGCCTGAGCCGGGGTCTCAGGCCGGGGTTGGGCAGGCTGTTGCACCTGCTGCACCTGTTGGACCTGAGGAACTTGCGGCACTTGCTGAGCCTGCTGCTGGACCTGCTGCGGAACCTGTTGCTGTATCTGCTGAGCCTGCGGGACTTGCTGCACGGCAGGCTTTGGCGTCGGTTGCTGAGGCTGCTGTTGCTGTTGGGGTATGATCGGCTCGCTCTTAATTTGCTGCTGGTTCAGGTTTTGCTGCTGCTGGTTGAGGCTATGTTGTTGGCTCAACTTTTGCTGCTGGCTCAGACTCTGCTGCTGTTGTTGATGTTGCTGCTGCTGCTGGGCAAGGCTCTGCTGTTGTTGTTGGCTCAACGTCTGTTGCTGGTTGAGGCTCTGTTGGCCGAGGCTTTGCTGGGCGAGACTCTGTTGGCTCAACCCTTGCTGGCTCAACCCTTGCTGGCTCAAGCTCTGCTGGCCAAGGCTCTGCTGACCCAGGCTTTGCTGCTGGTGCTGCTGCTGCTGTTGATGGTGTTGCTGTTGGTGTTGCTGATGTTGTTGGTGCTGCTGGTGCTGTTGAGGTTGCTGGTGCTGTTGGTGCTGCTGCTGATGCTGCTGCTGGTGCTGCTGGTGTTGTTGGTGCTGCTGTTGCTGCTGCTGACCAAGCCCTTGCTGCTGGCCGAGTCCTTGATGCTGCCCCAGGCCTTGTTGTTGTCCCAGACCTTGCTGTTGACCGAGGCCATGTTGACCGAGGCCTTGCTGATGGCCCAGGCCCTGCTGCTGGCCAAGTCCTTGTTGTTGACCGAGTCCTTGTTGTCCCCCTAGGCCCTGCTGCTGCCCCAAGACGTGTTGTTGGCTCAGGCTCTGCTGGTGGCCGAGGTTTTGTTGTCCTCCCAAGGGAAGGAACATGGAGGGCGCGCTCTGTTGAGGCATCTGCTGCCGCGAGGGAGGACCCCTCTGGCGTCCGAGGGTGGCGGCATTGGGGACGTGGCTCGGGGGACGCGAGGTACCGTTAACGTTGCCATTGACGGGCGTCTGGGTCTGGAAGAGATGATGAGGGTATTGAGCCTGGGTAGGCTGCTGAGGCGTGTAAGCCTGTTGTTGATAAGGAGACGCGTTGTGAGGGCCGGGTGATGGTTTGTTTGCTGGGTTCGCGTGTAGAGGAGGGAAGCCTCCAGGACCGCCGTGACTGCGTCGAATGCCTGGCTGAGGAAAGGCGAGGCCCGGATGGCTGTTGGGACCCGACTGCCCCAGGCTCGACATTCTGTCGAGAGGAGCGTCTCCGGTTCAGAGAGAGGATCGGAGGGCTCGAGAAGGGCAAAAAAAAAGGAAGGAAGAGGAGGATGAAGCGTTTTTTTGTGTGTGAGGGTGAAGGCGAGGCGAGGCGAGGGCGAGGGCGAGGGCGAGAGGAGCGAGTCGCCCGCCTTGGGCCTTGCAAGAAGAAGCGTTCAGACGTCGGGCTCGGTGGTGAGAATCGACTCGAAGTCGAGGACGGGATCGGTGTGGACGTCGGCGAGGATCCTCTCAGAATGACAGAGCCTCCGCTATCGTAACCCGAATCCCAGAGATGCGAGAAAGGATGCAACAAACGAACCCTTGAATGTGGTCTGGGGGTGTCGATAATGGGGGGAGGGAGAGGCGTGGAGTGTGTGTGGGTTCTGGGAGGTGTGCACAGAAAAGAAGGGGGAGAGCAAACATGCGAGGTGAAGGGTGGTGTGCGAGAAAGAGACGGCGGACATGGAAGAGACCTGGGCGGGAGGGGGGGAAGGGAGACTGGGACGTGGACGTGGACGTGGACGTGGACGTGGGCGAGGACCAGCAGAGAGGGCGAGAAAGAGACGGATAGTCAGGGCGAGGGCTACGGCAAGGTAGAGACGAGCGAGACTCGAGCCGGGTCACTTCAGACTTTCACAGAGAGGGGGGAGGGGGACACTAGCCCAATACACCCAATACACGACCGCCTAGCCTGCTGAGCCAGCCGGGAAAGGGAGAGTGCACGGGGGATTGGCAAGTGCCAGACGCTGCCAAACGTGCCAGAAGGGGGGAAAGGCAAGCCTAAGGCTGCCTGTCGTCGACGAAAGCTCAAAGGGAGAATTTTTCTGTGGCGCGGGCCTTTTCTTCCCTTGGGCCCGTCCGAGGTTACTGGGCTGCTGCCACCTACGCTTGCGCTGGCCGGCTTCCTCTCTTATTTTTTTTTTCCCACGCAAAAAGGGGCGGGGACACTGCACGGTGCTGACCGGGACTGTGACAGTGTGACTGGAGGATGGGACTCGAACGAAACTCCACCTTTTCATCCTCAGAGGTCCTCCAGCCAATGAGAAGACTGGTCGGGACAGCCAGCTGGCGTATTGAGACTGGAAACCGCACGTGATCTTGGTTTCTGGAGCGAAAGTGATGTCACCGGCCCCATTGTTGACCGCCCCAGCCCGGTCAGGTCGAGGTCCAGTCGTGCTGCTTGTGTTCTATCTTTAAACCGCGTCCCCCGATTAGTCCGGTCACGCGAGAGAGCGGGAAAAATAAATAAATAAAAACACAACACAGAGAAGCAACGTGTTTCGCTTGCGACGAGTACGAGGCAGAATTTCTCATCCGACCGGGCGGACGATTGCCCGTGGGAAATGCAGTCATCACGAGAGGACAGAAGAAAAAAAAAAAGTGCATGTCGTTGGGACCTGGACACCCTCAATTTAATTGACAGCAGCAGCTAACAATGTGATTGATTGATTTGACTGATGTCGCCCACCTCCCGGACAGAGGCGTGTACGTTGAAAAAGAATCAAAGATTAATCACGGTCGAAGCCGACGGGAGTCGCTGCACGGCTTTTTGGTGGTGCCGTGTGGTGGTGCTGCTGCCATGCTAGGTAGGTGATGCCGCTGAAAGTCTGGAGCGCAGGAGTGAGAATAGAAAAAAAGAAGGCAGGGCACCAGTATGCAAAATCGACGGGAGGTGTCCCGCCCACAAGAGAGAACCAGCAGCACCCAGCACGCCGTTCGTTCAGTTCGGGGGAGGTGATGGGAGGTGAGGTGAGCTTAGGTTGCGCTTGTACCACCTCTTGCAGGTACCAGCCCAGGCACCCAGGGCCCCTTCTCGAGGGAACACGCCCCCTCCAACACCTCGGTGCTGGCTCTCTCTTCCCGTCCACCTTGCTGTCTGCTCAACCTTCAGGTCCCTTTAAACCCTGAATGGCACGCGCAGGATAGACTGCAAGAATAAAAAGGATGAAAAAAACGAGTCAATTCGTTGGAGATCTGTGTATCCTCTCCACAAGACGCGCAGCGCAGTTCGACTGCAGCCAGAACCACCATCCCAAAGACGATCTGCACCCACCTACCTTACCAAGGTTGGTATCTCACAGCTCTCAAGGCGCCTCCTGAGTTCGCAGGACTTCCACATCTTCTCAGTGCCAACGACACCGTCCGGGCAGCGAAGCGTCGGCTCGCTACAGCACCAAGCTCCCCCTGGAAGCCCGCAAATCAGCCCTACATTTGCCCCCGGGCCCTGCAAAACCGAACCAGCCGGCTGAGGTGGTTTGTCTGTGCTTCACGGGTGCTTTTTTAGTGGAGCTTCCGCTACAGGGTCCCATCCCTGCCCCCTCACCCGTCTTCACCGAGCACACCGAAATCTTGGCTAAATTTCAACCTTTTTTTTTTTTTATATGATATTCATGTCATAGATGTTCTCATTAGATTGTGTGCAGCACGGCTGCTTCATACAGCCCGGCCGCCTCGTATTACGGCATATCATCAGTCATCTGTCTCAAGGGTATATAGTACAATAGGCCAGCCTGTTGGTCTGACCCAGGTAGAATAAGTTTTGCTGTTTCTTCTCGGTGGCTTCGAACGCCCCGGTAGCCAAAATGGTATCTTTGTGCGCCATAATCCGATCCCGTCATCTTTCGAAAAACTCAAAAAATCTGTCAAATCCGTAAGTGTTGTGACGTTCAGTCACTTGTCTTCTTCCTCTTGCTAGGTCTCCGCACGCTGGTGTCTCCTTCGACAAAGTGACCTTTATCCTGCTGGTGCTGCTTCAAGTTGTCCGGACGATTCTTGTACTGGCTCGTGCAGCCCGGGTACGGACAGCGGTAGATCTTCGGTGGTGCCGCCGAGTGTTGCAGCTTCTTGTGCTTCGCCATACTGCCTTTAAACCACTGCGGGTCACCCTTGGGCCGATACCCGCAGATCTCGCAGCAGTCATTCGCCTGCACTTCACCTTTTGAGCTTGAGCTGGCCTTTGCAGTCTGGGCAGACCCAGGCGAGTTATCTGCTGTCTTGTTCCCAATCGTTGTGAGTGGTTGCAGAATGTCCAGCGCTGGGTCCTCGCCGCTGTCGTAGAAAGCCGTCAACGGGTCCGACAGTGTGGCGGCGTCCATCGAAACTTGAACATTGGGGATTCCGAAGTCATCGGGAACCATGAAGTCACCCAAGGATCCATCCAGGTCATTCGTCATGTTCCTGATGAACTCATCAAGGTTACCATCTGTTGCTGCCTGAGAGGAATCATGCACAGGTTTCGTAGACGCCTGCTTCTCGCAAAGACCACAGATGATGCTCCTCATTAGTTCGATGCCGTGAGCGTGATATTCCGACCGTGTTGCGTATCCCGGGATCGGCTGTGAGTAAAGAGCACCGAAGCGCTCTCTAACTTCAGGAACGTAGTTGTCGAAGTATTCTTGCACCGACATGCAACCCTAAGAAGGGAGTCAGCAAAGTTCTTCACGCATTAGGATCTCCTTGGCAATAACTCACTTTTCCAACCTGCATGAGCTCCAACTCCGCTCTCCTGACGGTTCGAACGCTTCCTCCACTAATGCGCTTCTGAAGACGCTGCATCTTCGACTCAAGCCTGCGTGCATGGGGGAATTCTTGGCAAAGCATGCGAGCAACGGCGTTGACCGTAATCGTGAAGGCCGGGTTTGCTGGTGTGGCGTCATCCTCGAGGTGCTTGCTCCATAGTGTCGAGGCCAGCACCTCCTTGGATTCTGGAACGTTACTCGGCAAAGCTGTAACCTCCAGTTCTAGAGTCGACATTAGCATCAGCAAGACCTCGCAAGGGAATAAAAGTCACCTACCGTCAAGGAAGAATTGCGCTATCTCGAGGAAACTGTCTTGCCCAAACTGGAATCTGTGGGGAGATACTCGGCCTTTGCCCTTGAGACTCGACGACCTGGACACTGATCCTTGGTAACGCTCCAGTAGCAGCTCGTCCAGTTCAGTGGTCGATAAGTCCAGGGGATGCCATATCTCCGTCGCTACCTCGAGGTATGCCTCACGGTCTCCTGGGCGGAATATGTTGCTATAGAGATGTGCTTGCACGAATAGCTGTTTTGACCTATTCTGAGCGTCGTCTTCATGAACAATGAGAGAAAGCGAATATGTGACGTGAACAAAACACAAGGCTTCGATCGTCGATGCAGGTTGCCCGCCCTCGAGGATTCTCTTTAGACATGTGAGCCCGATATCGGCAACCCTTTGTGGCGAAAGCCATTGCAAGTCTCTCACGAGGTGGTTGTGTGAGAGACACTGCAGTTTCTCCATCGATGAACTGACGTGAGCCTTGAGGAGCTCCCAAGTAGATCCGACAAGCGAGTTGGCATCTACAGAGTAGGCACGGCCGAGGACTTCTGCTTCCATCTCGGTGGCCAGCATCTCTTCTGCCTGTTCAACAGCGGCGGGGATGCTACTCTCCGTCTCCGGTGCCGACGCATTCGGTGCCTCGGTAAGGGGGAACTGCTGGTTGTAGGCGATGTCGTCTGGGAGCGTCTGAGGGAGCATGATATCCTCCGCTGGTAACTCCTGGATAAGCGTATGGAGCTGCAGGTCGTAGTTGGTGTAGCGAGATGCGTTGGAGTATTGGCTTGCATTGGAGCAACCTCGGGAGAGATTTCCACCAGGGCTTATGCTGTCCGACGTGGGCGACGTGAGGCTGGTTTCGGCATGTGTCCAAGCTCCGCTGAAGGCAGAAGCAGGAGAGACAAGGTAGCTGGCAGTACTATCGGTGCTTGCATTCGATCTGAGTGAAGCACTGGGAGATAGATTCTTCGTCCGCGTGGTCGGCTTGTGCTGCTTTCGATATTGCGATAGGCCATGAGTATGTACCGACAATGATGGCCTGTCAACCCGGCCCATGTCAGTCATGTCAACGCCATTCTGCAGACCCCATTCAAAATTAAGGTCTGGCAGAGCAGGCATTGACTGTTGCGTTGGAACAGAGCCTGTCGCGAACGGGTTGGAAGGCTTTTGATCGAAGGTGCTGCCTGGAGCGAAGGCGGTAGAGGGCATGGGCAGCGGTATCTCCGTCGAGTCGATCTCCAAGATCTCTGATGAGGAAGACAGCTCGACCTCTTGGGGCTGAACAAGAATCGAGTCGTAGCTAGGCGGAGGTAGGATGACAACGTCATCCATATCGAGGTCCGGGACATCCTGTTGCGGTCTCGACTTCTGACCCAACGAGGAGAAGAAGTTCTTAGCTACGGACATGATGCGGCGCCTCTTGCCCGGGTGGCCTAGACAGCGTTTGCATTTACCGTCGGTGAACTTCTCGGTCCTGTCGCATTCATAGCACCAATACTCGCCGGTGGAGAGCTGCTCGCATGTGTACAGGTGCCTAAGCATGAGCTCGTGGTTCGGGAAGCGCTTCCGGCAACGCAAGAGAGGACATTCGAGGCGGTCAGCCTGCGTCATTTTCTGGCATGTGTTGCGCTGGACGGCAGCCCAGACGATGAAGCGATGAAGAGCACATTGATCTGGAGACACGGTACGGGTCCTGTGAGGATGTTCAGCTCAAGGCCGGCATGGTCAAGATGAAAAGGGCGACGTGGGAGATGAGATAGGTCCGGACCAAACAGACAAACAAGCAAAAAGGAAGCAGCCAGCAAACTTACACACACGATGGAGCTGCAGTGGAATCAATGGACGAACGAGTGGACGAGGACGAGGACGAAGTCAAACTCGTGGAGCATGAGTCTCGTCTTGATCGGCCGCGGGTGAGAGATAGGCGGGAGGTGGTGAGGGCGCGTAGGGCTGAAGGACTGTGGTTCAGCGAACGGCGGTCATCCCCGAAGGGCAGCAGAGACGTCTTGGACTCCATGGCTTCCCGCTGTCCTCCAACAGACCTGCGAACTCAATCCCAGAGTACAACGGGGAGGGGCGTTATGGATGAGCGGGAGAGTGACGGTCAGCGATGGGACGGCCAGGTGAAGAGCAATCCGCCACCCATTTTTGATTTATTTTGACCTTGAGGGTTGGGTGGATTGAAGCGTGTAAGAGCGAGGTGACAATGGAAACAAGAGGCGGACGGTCCTAGAATTCACCTAGGACTTGGGTTGGTAGCATCCCTAGGACTTGCGCTGCGGGTCGGGACTGGACGACGACTGGCTGGAAAGGGTGGCCTCCCGTGCCTTCCTTCTCCGGCAGATGCTCTGTGCTGTGCGTGGGGAGGGGTTTTGTGGTTGGAGGTCACTGGATAGCAGGAACGTGTGGAGAAGGTACCTGCCCTGAAGTGAGTGCACCTCAGTCGCTGTAAGGTAGTCCTCCAAGGTGGGAGGTATGTAAGCAGCAGGGATGGCCGCCTTCGTCCGCCGCGACTGACTGCACTTTCTACGCAAAAACAAGGCGCAGTCATCCACGGAGGACTGGACGGCAACGACAACGGGTGGACGTTCCGAGGACTCACTCAGTCAGCCCACGTCCAAGTGAGATTTGGGTGGTCTCTGCTAGCGAGATACCTCTGGCTTTTGGTGTCGGCTGCGTCTGAAGCATTGTCTTTCATGAAGGGCAATCAACCGCCGACCTTACCTCGGCAGCCCTCGACAATCAATGCTCTGATTTTCAACAACCACAAAAGAGCAATCGAAAAGCAATCAAGACGCAAGTCATCGTCGAAACCGCAATCAACAATAACGCTCGCTGCACAGCGCGACCGCTCGGTCCAGTCAGGTAGGACTGGCTGCCTCTTCAGCAGTCCGAGACGCAAGTCTCGCAATACCCCGGGCAGCTTGCAGACTCCTGCGCAGCCACGCATCCAATCACGCCAACGCCTGCCGAGGCAGCAAGGCACACAGCCAATCCGCCTGACCCCGTTCAGCTGGCATCTGAGAGTTTCTGATGGATGACTGGACGGCGAGCCGCCACTTGGGCGGAATGCAGAGAGAGCCTCAAGAAACCTGCCGCCATGCGGACGGACGTTGAGCTGTTTGACGCGAAAAGACTCGACCAAGAGAGACGCACAGCAGAGCATCATACATTATTGGCGAGGAACCGACCGAATTCCAAGAGGCGCATCCCTAGGACCCCCGGCGCAATGGGAGCAGCCGAGGGCTAACCCAACGTTCCGACTCCGACGCTCAGCGAAGCGGAAAGTCCTGGGCTAAGGACGTACCATGATATAATGTGGCAGCTTGTCTGTGGCTTTGCACAATCTCACGCCGCCCAGCCCTGGCTGAATACGAGCTTCACCGATGCTCAAGTGGTCGCCGATGACGATGCGAGAAGTCCTGCAGCCTGCGCCAAAGTGCAACCCAGATTCTCCCCATACTAATCTATGGCTGTCTTCAATCTTGGAAGCAGAACGCTCAACGATGCCGAATCGAGTGATCTACTGTCGGATTAGCAAGATGAATCCCCAAGATCGTCACACTGGTGCCTGTTCTACTTAGATGAAATGCAAGGTTCAGCCTCATTCTCTTTTTCTTTTGTGTTTCTTTTTTTCACAAAAGACGACATGAAAGAAACTTGGCCCAGAGAAGTTGCCCCTCGTCTTAAAACAGAAAGATGGCCGGCGAGTGGGAAGGTACGAGTGGTGAGCTTGGAAAGAAGGAGCTCATCAGCATCACACACAGTGTGTCGCTGACGAATGGAGTATGCGCACTGTCGTGAGATGGTCATCGAAAGTGCTCCTCTCTCACGCAACATCTTTTTCAACGTCAGACGATAAGCACTGGAGTAGCCGATCCTTTACCACGGCGAACGTCCAGATATATTGCAGTCGTCAATGAATTCGTCGTTGACTAAACGGGAACTCACTAGCCAGCAACTCCAGGGCAGACCCCTGGGATGATGACCGACATGATGCCGCCTGTCTTCCGATGACATCAGAAGGGACGAGGAATCCAGACGAATGGTTGACGGACTCAATCTTCCGACCTCTACCGAGCGTCTGGGAAGCTATTTGCTAGCGTCATGAAGCCATCACGAGTTCCCGCCGACGGAGCTTCCATTAAATCACGCATTCCAACATTCTACGACGCGGCAGTTGATAACATTCGCTTTCGAGCACACACATTCGTGCGTTCTAGACCATCGCGTTGGACTCACCGCTCGCTCGACACCAACCAGCGTGCATCATTCGCTCCGTCTTAACACTCACCGGCTCCATGTGGTAACACATGGTCATGCGATCGACGCCATCCGAAGCTGCATTCTGTCTGGGCTGTCTCCCGAAATCCCCATCAGGCCGACAGAGTGCTTGGGTTAGAGACCATGTGGAAATTCAACTTGTCCTCAGTCTGTTCCGCATCAACTTTCGGGAGAGCAGCAACTCCCGGCCGGCATGCCCGACCAGTCTTGACCCCGCGAATGCGTGCTTCCCATGCCAGCATCAGCCGGCGTCATTGCTCCGTTTCGGATGGGGCCATGGTGGGCATTTCGACGATCTGGTATGGGACCGCGGCTCAGTCGGGACGATGTCGTGTCTTGGAATCCATCCTTCGACATGCATTTTACTTCGTACAAGCAGCGCCGAGAGGACGCCGTTCGGGCTGACAGCCAAAGACGACCGTTGGACGGCGAGCCGATCTCGAGGGGCACGGCGTGCTTGCTGCAACCTCCTTACCCGCTGTTTCAGATATCGGGCGTGTGGGCGGATCGCCGGGGACAACGCCTTTGTGCGCCCATTCATCGCACGTCTAAAGGATTACTCCTGCAGTCTGACACGACCCAATGAGGCGCCTTGAAAGACAACAAAGACGAGACTGGGCGAAGACGCATTGTCGAGTCAAGATGCAACCCTGAAGAGACATCCAACTGCCCGTCCGCGTCAACCAATTGCGGCTATGGCGGCCATGTCAATCAATCTATCGGTCGCCGGCCTGCCTTAGTGCTCGCTTGCTATGCCATATTTGCATGTCGCGAACCAGCTGCTTGGGGCGAATAGAAGCAAACCCAAGGGCACCCAAAACAATCTTGGCTTGGGCTAGGCTGTCTATCAGGGGCTCTTCCGATGCGGGGGTCATGTTTTAGCGGCTTCCAGCATGCAGAAGTCAGTTACAGATTCGCCCACTCGCTGGGTCGCCGTCGGAGGGAGTACGTCAGCAACCTAGATGCCAAAACGACATCAACCTCGCACAACCAGCTTAGGCTAAAGCCGACGCAGTTTCAACGACTGGGTCATGATACAACGATATTCAGATAGAAGGCTTGATATGTTTATATTGAGTTTCTAGAGCAGGGGGCTCGCATAGTATGGGCAGACCGCTGTCCAAGGAGTGCTAGGAGGCTCTGATGTATTCATACAGCGTGAATTCCACATCATCGACAACGATGTCCAAGAGTGCTCCAAAGCCAGCCTCTATTGCGCCACACGCCTCAGAACGAGAACTGCGACACAGCTGAAGATTTTCATGTCAGTTGGGTTCCACCGCTATGAGAAGCAAGACCCCAATTTTCCGGTAGTCTGGTAAAGCAAATGTGGCATCACGACCTCCATTCATCTGGCAACATCTAAGTTTGGCAGACGCTCCAGTTTGTGAGACTCCAGGGGCAGCATTGACGGCCTCGCCTAACCGTTTGGCGGTTCCCTAGCCTCTTCACGCAACTTGGAACCACCATCGGCCGAGAGGTGACGGACAACAGAACAAAATGGGTCTCATCAATGCTCACTCCCTGTATTCGCTTGGTGATTCACGGGGCATGCCATGCCTCTTCGGGCCGGGGCGACGTCAAGTCGGTGATCCCGACAGAATACTCTAGGCGCTCTTTGCCTGTTGGACGAGTCTTTGAACTGGCATGCCCAGCTCTTGGAGCTCAAATTTTACTGCATGCCTGCGTGCCTCCCTAGAAACCGCAGCGTGTGTCTTGGAAAGTCTCGCAGTAATTCTTGTCAACGGGCTGGGCACGCTTGCATCGGTCTTTTGTGTCTCAGGCATCACATCACAACTTACTTATTTTCCCTAGATCCGACTAAGAACTCTATCAGACTGATGGTCGTATCAAATAATGATATCAGAATTGTCAGTCTCCAGTCTTGAAACCAACGAGGTTCACTTGTCCGACGAGAAGCCCAAAGCTCTTGCGAACATCACAAGCTGTTGGTCATGATCTTTGATGTAGCTGTAAGGAATGTGACTCGCCAAGGTCATTTCTCCAGCTAGCTTCATTTGCAACATTCCAGCTTTGCAAGATGTTGGGTAATAGACAACAGTAAATCTAAGACAATGCCGGGCTACAGCTTTATAGGCGGCCTCTCCCGTCTTTGAGATAGCTCGATCTATCAAGCCTGATGTATTAATCCTTGTACACACAAGCTTCACTCAACGGGTCGATTACGATACCCTCGTCGCTCTTTAAGTTGTCTCTCGCGTGTGTCAACGATTTTCAGCAAACCGCAAGATGGTTTGGCCCAAGCAAGCCGCCACCCTGGCCATGGTCGCCCTCCCAGTCGTCGCCCATGCCGCAATCCTCAGGGACATATCCGGCCTCGCAGAACACGGCGACCTGGCCGGCAACGGCGCGCCTCTACCGTCAGTCCCGGCCGCGGGCAACCGCAAGCGACAGGCCTCCGGCGGCTTCCTGGACTCGACCCCGGGCTCCAGCACCACCCCCGCGTGCGAAGAGGCAAGCACTTTCAGCCTCAACAACTTTGGCCAGCTCGAGGTCAGCGGCCAGGTCATTTCGATGAACCCCGGGACACCATACATCGCTCTCCGACCCATCAGCCCGCAGGGGTCCATCACAATCACTTTCAGCCTCAACAACGGTGCCCTGACGTGGACCAACGACGCCTTCTTTGGCGGACAGGCCGGCTTCTGTCAGGATACCACCGGCCAGGTGTTCGCTACGTTTGTCGACCCGGCCGTGGCGTATCCCCCCAATTGCGCGGCCGTCGCACTCGGCCCGATCGTAGGTATGTAATCACATCGCGGCGAAATGATCGTCACGCAAACAGTATTGCTAACACGCACACTTTAGCATCAACCTGCGGGGCCGGCGGCTCTACAACAGGCGGCACGACCGCAAGCCCCATCGTAACCTCCCTCGGCAGCACCATCGTCAGCACCGGCACCGACGGCAGCGTCTTCAGCTCAGTCAGCACCTTCGCATCGACGATCTCGGGGCCCATCACGTCGGCCCCGACGGACGCCCCGGCCGTCCCGACGCCGGTGGTCAACGGCACGCTCACGCTCCGCCCAGGCCTGTACGCCGAGGGCAACTTTGTCAACCCCGCTGGCCAGACGTGCAGCGTCGTCACCGAGTCGTGGATATTCGGCGACACGACGCTGCTCCCCCACACGGCCACTACCACAGTCGTCTAGAGCTTGAGTCGGGTCGGATATCGGCCAACTTTATTATAGTGTAAAGATCCATCGGGAAGGGCCTTGGTTAATCCAACAATGACGTGTAGGGGGCGGGTAAGGAGTTGTCGAAACGCATGGTTAATCAACATCGTTAGGAATAAACAGCAACGGTCAAACCGAAAACGTCCTTCCCATGCGGTCCGCTATACCGAGAGGAAAAAACTCACGTGCCCAAGCCGAAGTTGAGATGGGCCAGCTCTTCGCCCGCCGGAAACCCCGTGACATGTGTGTGTCGTCGTCGTGCAGCCCCAACGGCATGCAAGAGAAAAAAGCCTCCCCGTCCCTTCCCTGCCTTTTTTTGATATCATCACGTTGCTCTGCATAGCGTGGCGTTGCATCTCGAATAGATAAGAGCCGGCACTTTAGACGCACATATTCACTTAGTGGGGTATCCCGACCTCCTCTCCCATCCCCCCCAACGGACAGAGCGGGCAGTAGAACGTGCAGTTCGCTCTCTCCGCCTCCCTCCCGCCCTACAGCGTCCCCTTCACACATCATAGCTGCAAGGATGGTGCCGGCGAAGCTTCCTTCTGATCCGTACGGGATAGATGCGAGAACGTTTGCCCCGTCATCAGTCTGGTCTTTTTAGACTCCTTACCGGGAACAGTCTGTCGTCGTCTTAATTACGGTGAACTCTGTCCCCGCTACCATCCCCGAAGACTCCGTTATACTTCATTACTTTGACACTCACGCGACTCGGCGGGAAGGATGTCATACCGAGGCAGAATGGACGTTTCCAGAGACGGAAACCATTTCGAAATCGTCGGCGGTGGTGTTGGCCTCCCCAATCGGCGGATACGAAGGGGTCGGACGACATCAGGGCCCAAGCGAGTCGATAGACGGCGGTGATGAATCCCTCTCGCCAAAGAAGACGCAGAACCTTTTTTTCCGATTTAAAATTTCTTCCCGCATCGCCCAGCCCGCCCGCTGCACCTTGCCTCACTCGCATCATTGCCCCATGTCGATATCAGATGTGCGTTTTCTTCATCCCCGTCTCCCGCCGCCGTTGGTGAGTGAGTTGCACCTACGGATTACACAAAACGGCGGTCCGGCCGTAGCAGCCGTGCCAGCCTACCGGGCAGCGTTATTTCGCTATCAGTTCCAAGACATTGCGCCGCCAGCGCCAGGTCCAGCGCCCGTCCCATTATCTCTGCTTCCATCCCACCCTTTTCCCTCTCCCCCAACGGCCGGCGGCGGCGGCGGCGTAGTGCAACCCAACCACCACCGAGACGTTTTGTCCCCAGGAAAAAGTGACGCCAGAGACACAGCATCTTGCAGAATCGACAATCGCGAATAAGCCTTCCCGGCCGATGTCACCCCCGTTTGGCCCATCCTCATCCTCTTCCATCCCCTATCGCCCTGTCCGGGAACTCTGATACCAACGATACCACCCTGTCCGTGAGCCAAGGGAAAATAAAACCTGTGTGCATGTGTGCCACCAAGTAGCCCGTCTCCGTATTTGGATATGCATCGTGTATATTGATACCGCGATATTTCGTTTAACCTCGGGTCCGGGGCAGGCAAGACGATGGACGATTACTCCACGAAACCGTCGGCCGTCAAGCACCCTTTACGGAATGGACAAAGGGCCAAAAGGGACCCCATCCCAGTGATCATCAGTCTAAAAGAGACGTCGTCCGCAGGCAGCCAGGGGGGGGAGGGGGGTGGTGGTGCAAGGACCAGCAGAACAGACGGACAGAGAGAGACAGAGAAAGAGGCCTGGGCTGGGCCGAGAGTTGCAACTATTTACTTCCTCACCCCATCGGGGGGAGGGGAGCTAACGAGTCACATCCATGATGCATTGGGATCACGTCGCGTTGGATTGGATCCTGACACCGACTGACACTGGACTTTGACAAGGACCCCTCCTCCAGCAACAACACTAGCTCCATCAGAAGAGAGTGTGAGTGAGTGAGAGCAGTAGAGCTCTCTGAGAAAGAACTTGGATGTGGGACCCCACCACACCTCCCATCAACCCCCTTGGCTTTTTCATCCCTTCGGTTCTCCCCCCACCACCCTTCAATCCTGCCAAGACCAACTGGACCCCCGTCGTTGGTTCCCAGACGCCGCCAGAGACGCTCGTCTTGTTTGGGCTTGACAAGCCATGGCGGCGTGGGGACCCACTCACCTGGGAAAATCCCATCAAACATGAAGATGATTGGCACAGGAGAATACCACCCCCAAGTTCCAACCTGACAACCACGACGACGACGACGAGACGACGACGCGGATGGCCCGCCTTATCGGAGCTGAGGAACGTCCTCCTGCTGCCATGGAGGGGACCCTTATCAGAAACCTGCAAGACGGCGGGTGCGGATTTCGCGGTCGTGGCCTTGGTGACCGACTGGTCCAGCTCTCTCTCTCACCCGGCAACCAACGAGCTCGCGCCAGTTCGTTCGAGACTACTCTGTACTATGTATGTACCCTCTGGAGGAGGATGAAGACGTAATATGCCGTGCGTGAAACTATGCGAGTGAGTGTATGTGTGTGCATCTCCATGTATCTCTTGCAAATCCGCCCAACCAGTGGCGTCAACAACAGCAAGAGATAGACAGGAGAATGAGGTCAATCCCGAGGTCACGTCGAACCAGTCGATCTGATTATAAATGATAGTAGGGCGTCTTAAACCACACCCACCCTCCACACCCCCTAAGCTATAGATTAGGGCTAAAATAGTACTAGAAGCTAGTAACTAGAGGGTAATAGATCTTTTAATAGCTAGCTTACTTAATAATTACTTCTATATAGTAAAAGCCCCTAAAACTAGTTTTTTAGATTTAGCTAATTAGAAGCTAAAGATTAGAGTTATATAACTTTTATAATTTAGATTTTTATTATAGTAATTAATATAACTTAATAAAAGCTCTTTTTTTATAATTTTAATTAAAAAAAGTTAATAAAAGAAAGAAAAACTATTAATCTAAGCTTTCTAAAGTTTCTAATAAGCTTAATCTAATAACTTAATAATATTAATATTACTACTAGTTATTTTTATTTTTATTATTACTTATTACTATATAACTTTATATAACTTATTTTTATATTATAATATTATTAAATATTAACTTTTTTAGTAATCTTATTTAGTATTAATAGCTTATATATTAATAGCTTTAATTTTAACTATAAGCTTTTTATTATTATTAAGTAAAATGTTTACTTCCTCTTTAATTTTATATCAATCTTTGAATAATAAGTTATTATATTACTAATAAGTTTATAAAGCTTTTATATTAAGTTTATAAAAGTTAAAACTATAAGTTTTAAAATACTATAAGCTATACTTTATAGTTAAAATACTTATTAACGCTATTAGTATAGTTAATACTAATAATAATAATAATAAAGCTTTAATTATTAGAGTAACTATAAACTTAGGTTTAATAAACTTTATAAAAGTAATGATATAATAAATAATAACTTAAATAATAGCTAAACTAATAATATTTTAGTACTTAATAAATTTACTTACTTCTACTATAATAAGGATTTAATAAGTATTATTAACTTTATAGCCCTTTTTATAGTTAAGTATATTATAAGAGTAGTTTTTACTTTTTATAATATTAAGTTTGAATAGAGGTAAGCTATTAATTAAGGTCTCTACTTCCAAGTTAAAATAATATTATACTTATTAGTAGTAATAAATTTAAGTAATTTTAAAAGAGTTTTACTTTATATATAGTAATAGGAAAAGTATTAATAAAGTAATCTATAAGTTTTTTAAAGTAAATAAAGTAAGTAAAGTAGAAAGTTAGCTAATAGAAGCTATAATAAGCTATTTAATTAGTTATTATATTTAAGTATATTATTTTAAAACTACTTTTTTATAAAATTAAATACTTCTAGCAATACAAAAGACTTAATATAGCTAAAAATTATAGCTTTAAACTTAATAAAGTTAAGTAACTAGTTAATATTTTAAAACTGCTTTAAAGTAATCTTAGAACTTTAATTAGTTTAAGCTTATTTAAAACCTAAAAAAACTTTATTAAAAGTAAAATTACTTATAGGCAGTTATAACTTAATAACCTTATTTTTAGCTTTTTATAATAGTAGATATTATATAGCTAAAGTAAAATACTTAATTAGTTTAATAAATAATAATATTTTAACATTTATAGCTTAATCTATATACTAATAATATATATAACTAACTTATAAAACTAATAACTATCTTTAAACTAAACTAACTTCTTAATATACTAAATAGTAGTTAATAAAGTATAAAGTTCTTTTTAAGTATTAATAAAAACTAAATAATATTTATTAACTTTATAATAATAACAGTTAACTTTAACTAGCTTTGAAAGGATAACTTAGCTTTAAGTTTAATATTCTTAGTAATATACTATATATGAAATAAATATAAAACTTTACTAAAAATACTAATACTAATACTTTTAATAAGGGTAAGTTTATAATCAATTATAATATTACTAAAATATAAGAAGTCCTCTTTAGTATAAGCCTCTATAAAGTAAGCTTTAGCTTACTTATAATTAAAGATCTATTTAGTAGAGAGGAAAGTAATAATAGTATTAAAAATACTATTATAAGAGGTAATATTTATAATATTAAAGAGAAGTATACTAAAATAGTTAGTTATATATATATATAATTTATTAATAATTTATTAAAATAAGAATAAAATAAGACTAAATAAGAATAAAGCTATATAAAAAAGTAAGTAATATTACTTATTAGACTTTACTTATATTAAAAGAAGAACTTTAATATATATAATTATATAAATAGCTACTTAATAGAGGTTTTCTACTTAAAGTAGTTATAATAAGTATAAGTTAAAGCGTTATTAATATTATATTAAGTTATAATAATCTTAGAACTACTTTCTCTCTAATAGAAATAAGCTATAATCTAAGAGAGTAGAAAACTATTATTTTATAATAAGATAACCTTTTTAGTTATACTTTATATCTAAAATAATAGCTAAAAATAAAGCTAGTGGTATTAATCTATAAGTAGTTATATATAAAAATAATAAGGTTCTCACTTAAGTAAGTAGTATATAACTTATTAAGCACTTTAATAATAGTAAATTAAAATACATAGTTAGTTAACTACAAAGAGGTTTTATATTAATACTTTTTATAAGTTTTAGCTTTACTAATAAATAAATAAGCTTCATTATAAAAGAAAATTACTTTAGAGTAGTAATACTTAATATTATTAAAGCTATAATATTACTTTAGTTTTAATATATAGCTATTACTTAATATATAAACTTAAAAAGTATTAAAGAAACTATTAAAAGTATAGTAATATATTATAATAAGTAAGTAAAAGCTATAAAGTTTTTTAGTAAGTATAAAATCTATCTTAAGAGGTAAATAAGTAAGTAAATAAATAAAAAAAGAGGAGTAATAATAAAGTTTATATTATTAGAGATTATTATTACTACTACTACTACTATAGTATATATATACTATAAATTATTTAGCTAATAGTATTATATATTTTATAAGATATATAAGAATTTTAGTAATAACTAGTAGTATATATAATTATAGTAATATTAGCTAAAGTAATCACTAATATTACTGTTTTTTACTGACTATAGAAGTTGTACTATATATATAGGTGTGGGAGGGTGTAGAGGGTAGGTGTAGTTTAAGACGTCCTATAACAGTAGGGTCCTGATATGAGGGGTGGCCTAGAAACACTTTCTCGCCTTAGCCCACACCACATGCATCAAGCCACCGACAACCATCACAGGCAGAACAGAAGAGAAGGCACGAAGCATCCCGTCCGTCTCTTCCTTCTCTTCTTATCCATCGCTCACATGGCGTTGGCATGGGGCTCGTCCGTCGTCGTCTCCTTAAAGGCAAGACAATCCCATCCCCGGTCCTCCCCCCAACCCCAAGCACAGGCAGGTCCAGAAAAAGAGAAAAAGAAGAGAGGGCCCCCGTCCCAAAAAGAGTCTTAGTCTCCGTTTCGACGTTGGTTTGAAGGAGGTTCCCATTCGCACCACCACCACTACCACCACCGGTCGACCGCCTTGCTCATCTTTTTTTTCCTTTCCCACCCTCACTCCCCCATCTTCTGGTCGTTCCCTGGCCTGGCCTGGCCTTGACCCTTCCCGTCCCAATCCAGAACGTCCCATCCCATCAACCACCCCCATCCCTCATCCACATCTGCTGCTTCCTCTCTTCCCCCGGACATTTCCAGCCCTGCCTGACCTTGAACCTTGACCTTGCAACTGCTGCCGTCACTGCCAGTGGGAAGGAAAGGTACTTAACCAAAAGTCCACCCACCCTTCAAAAAATTTGCTTTCTTCTGCAGATTTTAGGTCCAACAAAGCCTTATTTCGTTTTATTACACCTTTTTTTTCACTTCTTTTTTTTCTTACCTTTCCCACTCCCCCCGGAAAGCAACCTGGGCTGGTTCGAGAGAAGACTGAAAAAACGGCAAACACGTTATTTAATCTTCTTCGGTTCCCACTTTGCTTCTTCTTTTCCCCAAGCAAGCCTTCTTGTTTAGACTATCCATCCATCTGCCTGCCTCCCTCCCTCCATCACCCCGGTCCAGCCACTTGAGACGGGTGTCCCGACGACGGCGTGCGCTGGCGATAAGATTTTCTGTCCGTGCAAGTCAGTTCCCAGCAGAAATACCAACCACACACACCACAAAACTCCCCGAGCGAGTCGAGAAAAAAAAAAGAACGAGGGAGCCCCCCAACGGACCCCTACCTCACCATACCTTACCTGGTGATAATTAATACCAACCGCATGAACCGCAATACACGAACCAACACCCTTTTTCTTAACCGCCAGCCACCCCCTCAACCAACGAACCAAAGGAATCCAGGAAAGGGGCCTTTTCTTCTTTTCCAACGGCGCAGACGCACATAGGGCTATTTAGACGGGACAGTTTCCCTTCTCCTACCCCATTTCTCGATCCATAATCCGGCCCCTCCTACCGTAAACGAAAAGACAAACTACGAGGCCCTCGTCTCAATTCGTCGTCAACGCCGTCCAGAACGCCCACGTCACGAGACCAGCATCCGTCTTTGGATTGGGTTGAATGTTCCGCTCTGCTTAGAACCCAGACGCCGCGCTTACCGTCTGCCGCCAGCTGTCCGCCACCCCGAAGCCCAGCGCGGCATTCCCTTGCACACTGAAGAGCGTCGACCAATAAGATGGAGTCCCCTCACCACATGGGCATCCGGGAGCTCAATGTGAGCAACTGGCACGCTCACAACGGCCTGAACACCTTCAACCACGCTGTCCCGGCCATCAAAACAAGCGCAGGTAAGAGACAGGGGTTCTTTCTTTTTCCCCCTTCTTGTCTGCCTCGTTGCAATTTTTGAGGCTCTTTTCCAGTTCTTGGGTTTCTTTTGTCTTGGCTACTCTTCTTCAACGACATCTCTCCCCCTCCGTCTTGGCACTTCATCGCTTCGCCCGCATCTCATCAACACCTCGAATTCACCAACCCTGGCAAATCGTCAACTCGTATTGTAAGCAACCGCATGCAACACTTGCTTGACTACTGCTCGTGTGTGGGGTCAATATTTGCAAGCACCTAGTAGACGGATCCAAAAGGCCACGGATCCTCGGCTCGCGAGATCCAGACCAGTCTACAAAAACCAATCTCATCTGAAATCTCAACAACCTTTTCCATCTTGTCTCTCACTTCTCACTCAAAACCTCACCTCACACTGCTTTGCGCAACACCACACAACCTCGCGCAACCACATAAAGACTAACAAATACCACCAGCCTTCTTCACCTTCCTCCGCGCAAACCTGGTCCTCAACCCCTCAGCAATGTCTTCAAACACGAGCACCCCCGTGCTCCAGCCAACAACCAGCGGCGTCTCCCACCACCGCCCTGCCGCCCCCTCCCCCCTCGCAAACTCCCAAACCCTCGACCCCCTCGACGACATCCCGCCCCTCTCGCTCGAGGTCCTCTCCTCCCGCGACGACAAGGCCGCCGCCCTGCACCTCATCGCAGACTCGATCGCCCAGCAGCGCCAACAGGCCTCCTTCGCCCTCGTCTTCCACCCCGTGCCCCTCGTCGGTCTCTCTCTTGCCCTCGGCGTCGCCTACCAGTACGCCAAGCAGGACCTCGGCACCACTCTCACCCTCCTCTCCGGCGTCCTCATGACCTACCTCCTCGCCATCCGCTACGTCACGTCCGGCTACATCCCCCTCGCCGAGGCCGTCTCCTGGTCCTTCATCCGCCCCGTCCCGGACGCCACCTCCCCCACCGAGGAGGACCTCGTCCTCGGCACCCGCTTCGGCTCCGAGATCGTCGGCGCCCTCGTCCTGCGCCTCGAGCCCGCCGTCCCCATCGCCGTCCCCGCCGGCAGCGGCGGCGGCCGGCGCCGCAACAAGGCCAGCAGCTTCCGCGGCGGCAAGGGCCTCATCCGCGCGTGGACGACCAAGCTGCGCTACCGCGGCAAGGGCGTCGGCACCGACCTGCTCCACGAGGCCGTGCGCATCACCCGCGAGCGCTGCGGCAAGGACGCCGAGGTCGGTTTCGCCATGGAGCACGCCAACAGCCAGATGGTCCTGCCCGAGTTCTTCAACGGCACCTTCCGCAAGCGCGAGCGCTGGGCGGCCAAGACGCTCGACGGCGTGCTGGCCGAGAGGGAGATGCTCAAGAAGAAGAGGTGAAACAGCTTTACCTCTGCCGACTTTGCTTCAGATCTAGCTCGTATGGGGCTCTGATCTAACGTTACCTCTTAAAACCCTTTTATTGGACACAAAAAAAGAAGAAAGAATGTTGATGTGTGTCTATTGAGACGAAGTGAAGCGCGCGGGATAGCGTGGGGGCGGTGGGTGGTACTGGATTGAAATCGGACTTAGGTCATCTTATACCCTCAAGAAACTGCGAGGCACATCGCACAGACGAACGATGATAGCTGCAGGGTCTTCATTGTTTTTTTCCCTTCTTTTTCTTTTTTTTCAAAATACTTTTACTTTCTGGATACCCCTCGTTTTGATTTCACAGTCGTTGGCGGTTTACATATAACGAGAGACAAGTAAGGTTGAGTCTCTGGTGGACCTTCACTATGAGACCGGCTCAGAGGTGCGGGACCAGCAAAGACATCAAAAATGTCTGATCCTTGCATCTCTGCCTAATCAAAATCCCTTCGTTTGGCATGCCACTTGAAAGCTTCTTGATTCACTGTTTTGTGTGTGATGGCGACATGTTCATTTTGGTGTTTATGCTAATCTTCTCGACGCGGCTTCCCCTGCGGCAGTCTAGCAACTTGCTCGTCATCATCGCCTCTGATGTCCGATGAACGCCGAACGCAGCCAATAGGCACTCTGGCGAGTAGTGGACTTATTGTGAGGTGAGCCCATGTCGATCCAACCCATGATGTTCATACGCCCTCAGCTGGTCCCTCAGCAATCCGTTGACTGGGAGCTTCCGGAGACCAAAGTCATCCCGAACAGCGTCTGTCCGCGTATCCCCCTCGACACAAGTGTATCCTATGACAAATGTGTGCTATAGCAGCCGTGTTAGAACAGGCTTGAAAAACAGTAGTGGCAGTCTCTTGTCCCATAATGCCGGCGCCTATTTCCATTCTCAACGGATGACCAAACGCGTCTCGAGAAGCTAAAGATTCGCTCTCTCTATTCGTCAACTAGACAGTAGACGCGGATGTCGATCATTCCCACGGAAAAGCTTTACGCGTTCATGGTGATGTGCCGTAACCCAGTAGGTATATCTCAGTAGTAGTTAAAAGGACAACATGTTGGTTGCCTTACTGGCCGGCGCCCTTGCGCTTTCTAGGGTCATACGTCTCCGGATCGAAGCCGTAGATTGGTGCCCCGAGACGTCGGAGGGAGTGGATGACCTGGAAACGTTTTAGCATGAGTTTGCGATAGGCCCACAAGGGGTGCATCTGGCAAGAAGCGCAGGCGGAGGCCAGGAAGTCGGAACTTACGTCGTGGATGGTGATAGTCTTGGCACCGCGGTACTCGACGTATGTAATGCAATCACGGATGATCTGAAATTGCATTAGTCTGGATGGCCTTGGAGAATGTTCGTGGTTCGACACGTATGCCCGTCAATCGATCCTTCAGAGCGGAGCGTGCATCGTCGTATATCATAGCCGAGATACGCTTGACACCACCGCGGCGAGCGAGACGACTGGAGGATAAAGGTTAGCTTTTGATTCCGCTTTGAAGAAGTAGGTAGGCTATCGAGAGCATGCGCTGAGGGAGAGATGTGGGAAGAAGGAAGCGCGCACAACGCAGGAGCGTCCTAAGGCCCACTCTCGCTCCTTCCTGATCCTCAACACCATGTGCAGAAGCTCCTATACTCAGACCTAAGAGATCAGAGAACACAGGCATGAACTCGAACCCTCAAAAATAAAAAGAGAAGTCAAACTCACCGGATAGCGGGCTTGGCTATGTGAAAAGATAGTGTTAGCCATTGTACCCACACGTCTGTAAGACCTTGGGCGATCCAGCACACGTACTAATGCCGCGAATTGTGTCCTTCATAATTTTCCTGCTCACTAGGTCAGTATCTTGATCTCAACTGAACACTCGTGTAGACCTGGAGAATCACATACCGGTGGCGCTTCGCACCTTGTCCTGGGAGAACCTTTCCTCCCGAGACCTTTCCCGTACCCTTTTTTCCACCGCCAGGGCCCCTGCGGGACGCCGGCATCGGCGGCATTGTCGCGAAGTGATCTTCAAGACGTAGCTAACGAGGGTCGTCGATGGATTGTGGTCTGGATAGGATTGAGAGTAGGAAGCCTGTGAGGTGTTGTTTGTGAGTTTGGTAACAAGAAAGGGCGACGACAAGGAAGTTGGTTGTTTAGATATGCCCCCCGGCCGTCGCGACTGCTGTGGCTTGCACCTGCTAGCGCGGGGTGCCCAGGCCCCCAGCAGCTGCAGGCGCGTTCTAGTGTCTTATCAACCTTATCGGCGACTGAACCCCCTGCTTGAAAACAGTGTATATATGCAGGGTATCGACTGCACACTGTGTATCCAAGACAAGCAGTTGCGTTGCGTCATGTTTCATCAGAACCTAGAGCTCCAGGCAGGTGCCACGGGTCTTGGTCTTGGCAGGAGTAATGACGAGGAGGAAGCAGCATCGTATCGAGTGTGTCACTTATTGAGCCAAGCGTACAAGGCGAAGAATGTATTGTATTAGAACAGTCTTATGAATAATAACCAAGCAGGAACGGGTGACCTGAGCCCCATCTGAACGCCAAACCGCACCGGGCTATATTTACCCAAGGAGCCCCCATTAGTCAAGGTCTATGGTATTCTCATTCAGAAATGAAGGTGGACTCGCAGTAGCAAAGTCCTTCCTCGGAGATCTCTTGGTCTCCGATCTTAAGCTTCAAGGAAAGCTTATTCTTTGTCGGGCAGAACTGGCAGGCCGTTAGCTAGTGAATCGACTGCTTGAGTCTACGTGAACTTACTTGGTAGATATATGGCTTGGTGCCCGCCGTTCCAGCTACTATCTTCTTCACGAAGCCAGGAACCTCAGCCAGAACGTCCACCCTGTCGAGTCTCTCCTCCAAGGCGCCCACGATGGAGCCATCGACTGCCTTGCCATCCTTGTCCTTGCCGGACCAGGTGAACTTGATCTCCTCGGGCTCGGGCCACTCGTTGACGCTATCACTCTTGGACTTGGTGTGTGTGGCAGTCTGCGTGACGCCGCCGTAGATCAGCTCGCCGTCCTTGGCGATGCCACCAACGCTAACCACCGTTGAGCCGTAAGAGGGCGGCGTGGTGTACTCCATCATGACGGCCGAGTAGTTGGGGCCCTGGAAGTCGACAAAGTTCCACTTGGCGGCGGCGTGGTGAGGCTTCATACCCTGCAGCGCGTACACGTAGAAACCCCTGCCCGTGAAGTTGACGGGGCCCGCCTTGGTGGTGATGGTGCCTTCGACGGCGCAACGGGGCCAGAAGGCATGGCGCATGGTGCCCCAGGGCTTAGACAGGTCGGTGCCAAACAGCGTCTTGCCAGTCTTGCCGGCGTGGAAACCGGGCGAGGTGCGGGTAACCTTGAGGTTGACGAGAGCGTTGTCCGAGTTCATGCTCTTGATGGTGTAGAAGGTGCCGTCCGCGGACAGCTCGACGGCGCAGTCGTCGGCGAAGAAGGAGTACCGATCTTCGCTAATCTCGTAATGGTTGAGGGGGGTGGCCTCCCAGAGCATGGGCTTCGAGTTGTTGGGATACCAGATCTTGACGTTGAACTGGCAGGTCGTGCGGATGCCGCTGTTCAGACGGGTGAGGTTAGCAGATAGTCGAGGCGACGATGGGCGTGCGCACTCGCGCGCGACGGCGCGCCAACATACCCAACGTTGCTGTAAATGACCTGGGCCATTCCAATGTGCCCCTCATCACCCATCAGGTAGAAGCTCTGGGTCTCGACCGAGGTGGAGTCGGCGGCAATCCATTTGAGATGGTCCTTGGTGAGCTCGGTGAAGGTGATCTCCTTGGCCTCCTCGGCGACGGACTTGATGGCTGAGGGTCCGTAGATGGGCTCTTGGGTACCCGCCACATCGGCGAGCCTGTAAGAATTGCAGGTTAGCAGGGGCAGTTTGGGACGGGCAAGAGTTGGGGGCGGCTTGGTATGTACTTTTGTTGCGCCCACTTGAACATGTTGACGGTGTCGGACCGGAGAAGTCGGGTTAACGGATGGATAAGAGTGTAAGGTGCGATTCGGAATAGGTGACTTGGGTGAGACAGCAAAGACTTGATCTCCAAAACTTAGCTGCTCGTTGAGTTGTTAAGAAGGAGAAAATGGAAACCAGGCGCTTCAGAAAGGTAGAAGTTGGAGCTGACCGCCCCAAACAATAACTGGCGGAGGGGCCGAGGGGTCATCCCACCACCCAATGACGGTGAAACTGTGGCTAGGGGAGCCTGGGTGGAGCTTTCCTTCCCCGAGCATCCCGGTCGCTTGGACGTTTAGCGGTGGCTAGTGCACAAGGCTTCTAAATTTTCCATCTCCGAACACATTCAGCATCGGATTTGATTGAGTGAGGCTGTTTTGCAAGGCGCATACGGTACTTTAGCTGCCACCTCCCCCTCTAACCGGACTGTCAGAACACCTGCAACACCCGCCCATCATGTCAAAGAGAGGAGCCGCCGTGGCCGACCAGGTCGTGAAGCTCATCGTCGGCGCCGGCCAGGCGAGTCCCAGTCCCCCCGTCGGTCCTGCGCTGGGTAGCAAGGGTGTGAAGTCGATGGACTTTTGCAAGGTGAGGCTGCCCGCCCTCGATCCCTCGATCCCAATGCTGCGACGAACACATGGCCACCTGCTGCCCAACAACCGTGCTCTGTTCTTTCTAGGGTGGCATCGGTTCGACCATGCCTTGGAAGACATCAATGCTAACGGGGCTTTCGATATAGGAGTTCAATGCAAGGACGGCAAACTTCATCGTCGGCACGCCGATGCCCTGCCGAGTCACGGTTCGCGGCGACCGCTCATTCCACTTCGACATCCGAACGCCGCAGACATCGTGGCTGTTGCTGAACGCCGCCGAGGTGCCGATTGTGCCAGTTGGCAACAAGAAGAAGAGGAAGGGCGCATCGAACCCCGGCAAGGAGACAGTCGGCACCCTCAGCTTGAAGCACGTGTACGAGATCGCCAAGATCAAGCAATCCGAGACGCGCCTGTCAGGCCTCAGCCTCGAATCCCACTGCAGGTCCATCATCTACCAGTGCAGGACGATTGGCCTCAATGTCGTGCCATAGGGTGATCACTCTCGGCCACAACCTCGACAAATCGATTTTCTACGTTACATACCCTCATCAAAAACGGAGTCAGGCGTGGAAACCATCCAATTGTATACCATCTCCCTCATCAAGAAAAGAGCGCCTGTGTTGTTGTATTATATCAGAGAGAGACGGGGTAGAATAGTAACAGGGAAGATTGTATGTTGTACGATGCAATGAGAAATTTCAACAGCCAAATTGTGGCAAATGGCTGCCACGCTTCTTACGTTGGTCGCGTGGTTTAGCGGCAATTGCGACAGGAAGCGGCTGCGTTTCTAGTGTGTGCGTGCAGGCACTGACTTCGACCATGTGTCTCGTCTTGGGAGAGCTGAAGTCTGTTCTCGCGTTCTTGCATGTCTCCAATGACTCTGGGCTGGTTAGCTGTCCGTGGGCAATCGAAACGACTAGCGGAGTGTCCGATGGTTCGGAATAAGCTTGACAGAAGGTCGAATAGACTATGACGAAATACAAGCTGCAACAATACGGTCTGTGAGCTGTGTAGGTCGGATTGGCCAGAGTCTAATACGGGGCGAGAGGGGAGAACTCTCCATGAGCCGAGCTCCTGGAAGTGTGAGAAGGTCGATCAGAGGTCCAGAACGAGAATACAAGCGGATTGCCAGCGCATCAGTGGGGAATCTTGGGTTTAAGTGCCAGAAGCTTCGTGCAAATCGAGATCACATTTGGGGAGTTGGTTCAGATGCAGATGTGCGAGGTAAAGCCAAGTCATGTGCTGCAAGGTACTGGCTGCGGAGCTGCGTAGTGCTGACGTTACCTACGATGAGTGTGTGAGGGAGTTCCCACGCTTTTGGTTATGTATGGCGAGTAAGAGCCTAAGTTACCTTGAGGAACGAACGGTGCAGCGCCGGCGCTTCGAAGCAGGCAACCAGCTTTGCATTGAGTTCCATCCTCAGCTTCCCCGCTGGGTGCGACGAGGAGAGAGGTCCAGGCCCAGGCAATCGTCCAGGTTCAGCGTCGATTGCCTGCTGGCTTGCTTGCATCGAAGCCCACCTTGCCCCTGGAAAGCGGCGCTGTACCTGGACAAACGGTTCCATCGCATCGCATCGACCTGTCAGCTGCACAAGAGGGCTTCCAAGGCTTCGCCAGGGTGGAACCGATTCGATGCCGGACACATGTGACGGAACAATGGCTGTTTTCATGCTGCAGTTAGCTGCAACATATCAGCACCTACGCCACAGTGCTGGGCTCGTCGCCGGGTCGGGCTGGAACCGGAGTTGCGGCGGTACTGCGGTACGTCTCGGTATGTAAGTACTGGTGAAGTGAGTGAGTGATTGACCGGGCCTGTGGAGGTCTTGGTCCGTCCATTCCTGTCAATCATTTCATCAGAACCCCGTCTGTTAGCCGAGAGCTGACAGAGAGCTGCTTCGTCGCGGCTCGTGTAAGCCGAAGGATGACGGGATAATGGTGGGAAGACGGGACGTGCATCTAGCATCCACGGTCTTTCGTTTGTTGTGAGGGAGGGCGACGACGGGTTTGGATTGGTCTGGGTTGTTTGCTGTTGAGCTTGACTCGTTCATCCCGGTCCAAAGGAGTGGTTTGCATTGCCAAATAAGACGGCGGGCAATACCTAATAGGTGTTTACGCGGGAGGGAGGGAGTGATTCATGGATGCCAGGAGGAAGGAAGCTGGAGGCGAGGAAAGAGAAAATTCTTTCCATCCATTGTAGTCATTGATGGGGTGGGACGGACCGAACAGCAAACAGCCAAGACCCGGCTGTCAATATCGATTTTGTCTTGGGGTCCTGTGAGATTCGTAAAATTGGTCAAGTACCTTGCTGCATGTGTCACGGCTGCAAAGCCGAGAAAAAGGACAAGCCCTCTGGAAAAAAAAAATAGAACATCGAACATTCCGATCACCACAGGGACAGGAAGGCTTCCAAACAGGCAGGGCAAGACAGGGCAGCAGGGCAGAACAGCAGGGCCTTGCGGCTGGGTCCTGATGCAGATACGCGCAATGCATCCATGATTTGGGGGGCTGCCAAGTATTGCTCCCGTTTCCTAGGCAGTTTCCAAGCGGCCCCAAGCCGACTCCCGACCTGCCCCCAGTGGTCTTCAGCGGTTCCACGACCCAGAAGCCCAGAAGAAGGCCGAAAAGGCTCCATTCCGGTGTCTTATCCAGCCCACCGCCTCCCCCGATAAGGGACGCCGGCCCCGACCAGTCAGCTTGTATCTTTTTCCTTCTCATCAGCCTGTGATGGGACTGGGAGTACCGGGTACCTCCTCCCGTCGCCCTCTGACTGGCGGCGCGGGTTGACGGGCAACTAGAAGGACCCGTACCTTTTGAGAATCTGATGCAGCAGAAAAGGTCCAGTCACGATGCCGACCTGTTCCATACCTCCGACCTACCTACCTACCTAAGGTAAGTAGGTACTTTCGCACACGCTTACTTAGCCTTTGGGCAGGCAAGCACGGCAGAGTAAGTACTTACACACAAGTACTCGCTCACCTTCACAAGGCTTGTTATTACACAGCGACTGCGATGCGGATGCGACTGCGACCACAACTGCTACAAGTCACAAGTGACCCATGCGGTGCATTTTAGCTGTAGTCAGAGCCCCACCATCCGCAATTGGCAGCATCCACACACACTCTCTCGCTGCCCGTTGTGTCCCTGGGTATCCGTACTTTTCTCTTTCCCAAGCCCGACTTTGTGTGTGAATTTGTTTGATTTCTTCCCACTTGCCTCAACTCTCCCCGCCTCAAACACCAGCCTTTACCAAACGACACTCCCGAGTAGACCATCGTTATCCTTTCAGTCGGGGTCATGGCCGCCCCGTCTCCCCCTCGCGATCCTCAGAAGGAGGAAATCAAAGTCCCAGGTACAAACGCCCTATCCTTCCGTCTGTTCCGGAGCGCAACCCCGCCCTCGGTTCATCTGTTGCGCATGTCACAGTCACACAGCACCAGCACCAGCACCAGCACCAGCACCCGTACCAGCGCAGCAAGCAAAGCACAGCATAGCAGCACCATGGAGGAGCGCGCCCAGGCAGTCTACCTCAGTCCGGCCGATCCTCCTCTCACCCTTCACCCAACAGACAGACAGACAGACAGACAGACAGACAGATGCCCATGCCCACCCTCGCTCAAAGCCAAAGCCCAAGCTCATGCCCAAGAAATCTCGTGCTGACCGCTGCGCTTGTCGCAATGCCCAGAAATCACACCCAACGCGCTCAATACCTCCTCCGATGCCGACAAAGACGACAAGATGCCCCCTCAGGATGCGCCCGCCGTCCGCTTCGCTTCTTCCGTCCAGGAGATTACGCCTACCGTCACCACGACATCACCAACCGACACCCAGTCGCCCATCGATGCCGCTCTCGGAGACGCTTCTCTCTCAGAGGTCACCCCCGATCAGCTGAGAGCTCTTTCCAAGTCCCTCCAAGGAGCACCGTTGCAGCAGCGCCGGATGAACGTCTTTGGCTTTGAGCCATACTCGCTGCCCGCATCACGCGTATGTACATCTCATGCCCATTTCGTCTTCTCACATCCTTAGCTTGGAGTATCTTGACGTCGTCTGCTTTTTGCTTGGGCTTTCGCCCCGGATGCTCTACGTTTCAAAGCACATACCTCCCGTCCTTCCTGCCTTACCCCTCCACCTCTACCACCAACACCGCCTCAATGTTTAGGCCCCTCTTCCCCGGACACATCGTATGCTGCACAACCACCAAGGACTGGTCTCAATGGCGCCTCTGAGCAGAGGCATCCTTGAAAAGTCTCTTGCCTTGCCTCAAGCCAGCTATTCCAACCTGCCATGTCCACTGCGTCGCACACGCCAGCCTGCACCACCGGCTCTTACTGACATCTCTCCCCTTCGACCAGGTCTGCTCGCGCGAAGAAGAGTCCGACAACAGCAGGCTCCCGACCCCGAATTCCAGTGGTCCGAAATCGCCGCGTTTTGGTCCGGTGCACCCGATGCAGTCACCTCCCCTGACCCCGGCGGGTACCGACCCCCAAGATCCGACCAAGAAGAGCGTTAGCCATGACGATGCCCGGAAGACCACCTCGAGTGAGCCTCAGGTTATTACCCCACAGGCTTCTTCTTCTCATGACACCTCGCCCCCGTCGTCAACAAGAAAGAGCATGCCGGTCCGCGCAAAGTCGACCGAGCAAGTTGCTCAACGATCAGCATCCGCAGAAGACAGAGACCCCGACGCGAGATCGCACAGGAAAGGCATGTTCTCTATCGGCCCCGGCGGATCCGTGCCTGTCTCCCGAGAATCTAGTCCATCTCGGGCTTCAATGTACTACTCCAAGCCGATGACGCCCGGCGGAGATGCCAATGACCCGTATGCCGCCCACAAGCGCCAACCCCAAGCTCCAAATCCTCAACGTGGGACTATCGACTCGAGATTCGTCTTCTCCAGGAGAAAGAACAAGCATGGGTCCCCTTCTGGCTCAACGTCAAGCCTTGGTCGTACTACCGACAAGCGTCACTCCGGGATATTGGGCAATCTGAAGGGTCACGGTGATGAGCTGCAGGTCCCTCACGACGATGCGGCTAGCATCTCTAGCCGACAAGGGTCATTTGCAGACTTGAAGAGATTTTTCAAGGTCGGCGGTCACCACAAGATGAAGAGGGAAGCTTCACCCTCTTCGATTCGCTCTGGCGCCAAGACTCCACCTACAAGGTCTTCTGCTCATCAGCTGCCCTTTGGTGACGATCATGGATTGACCTCGAAGTACGGCAAGCTCGGCAGGGTCCTTGGATCTGGCGCTGGCGGATCTGTGAGGTTGATGAAGAGGAGCGAGGACGGCGTGGTTTTTGCGGTCAAGGAGTTCCGTCCCAGACATTCTTACGAGACCGAGAAGGAGTATGTGAAGAAGTTGACCGCCGAGTTCTGCGTTGGTTCCACTCTACACCACGGCAACGTCATCGAAACCCTTGATATACTCCAGGAGAAGGGCAAATGGTACGAGGTGATGGAATACGCACCTTACGATCTCTTTGCCTGTGTCATGACTGGTAGGATGACACGGGAGGAGGTCGGCTGCTGTTTCCTGCAGATCCTCAACGGCGTGACATATCTACACAGCATGGGTCTGGCTCATCGGGATTTGAAGCTTGACAACGTCGTGGTTAGTGAGCACGGTATCATGAAGATCATCGACTTTGGCAGTGCCCATGTCTTCAAGTATCCGTTTGAGAACGATATTGTTCTTGCCTCAGGTTAGTAGCTACGCTTGCTTACCGTGACTAAAAGCTAACTTTAGCAGGCATCGTGGGTTCGGACCCGTATTTGGCCCCTGAAGTCTACGACGAGCGAAAGTACGACCCTCAGGCCGTTGACATCTGGTCCCTCGCAATCATCTACTGTTGTATGAGTCTGCGCAGGTTTCCCTGGAAGGTTCCTCGTATGACCGATAACTCATTCAAGCTGTTTGCGGCTGAGCCGACTCCGGGTCACGATCCGAAAAAGCTGATCATGCCGTCCAAGTCAACCAACGACCTCTCAAATACACCGCAACGGGATATGTTTGAGGATGGCAAACACGAACACAAGCATCATCACAAGTCGGAGCACAAAGAAAAGGAAAGCGAGGCCCAGCCCGCTCAGGGCACCACCACCACGACCGTTTCCTCGGGCAAATCCGACGGGCAGCAGCCAGAGAAGAAGGAGGTCATCAGGGGCCCATGGAGAATTCTGCGCCTACTTCCCCGCGAAAGCCGACACATTATCGGACGCATGCTTGAGATCAAGGTCAAGCAGCGAGCGACGATGCAGGACATCATGGAGGAGCCTTGGGTTGCGAATACAGTCATTTGCCAACAGCCCGAGCCGGGTCGTGTCATTCACGCTGAAGACCACGTTCACACTCTGGAGCCGCCGGCGCCCCAGAAATAGAAGACGAGACATGGGCCGAATGAAGTTGAAATTGCATGTTGATCCCGGCGTTTAGGATATCAGGGAAGGAGAGCGGAACTGGGATTGGGCGCGGGTGAGAATTGGCATGGCATGAGCGCCCCGAGGGTGACGATACAGCGATGAGTCTCTTATTTAGAGCGGGTGATTTGGGTGTTGCGTTCAGAACAGTGTAGATGGCAGCGGTAGCTCACGGGCTTGTATCATTTCAATGACATTAGATAGGTAGATAATACTAGTTGGTGTGAGACGACAGTGTAGTGACCTTCTGCTTATGATCGTGTGAGAGCGACTTGCCTAATCTAGCAAACAAGGTGTGATGCGGCTTATCTGCTTATCGTTGACATGATGTCGCGATTCCGCCATCTGATTTGCGAAGTCGGAATGAGCCGCCGTCCTTCCTCGGCCCGACGAGGGGTTACTGGACGGTGGTGGTGGGGCACCGGGAAAATCTTTCGGCCGATCGACCCAAAAAATTGTCGACTTTCTGGAAGCTCTTGGAATAGCTTCAAGACATAAAGTTCGTTCCCCGTACCCGCCTCCCAAACTCGTTGTCCATCCACTTTTCCTCCTCACGTTGCAGTTGCGCTTCAGTCACTGATCAATTTCAACCGTCACAATGGTACGTTGCGTCCCTCCGTCTTGCGATTTCGCAGTCATACAGCGAGGTGTTTCTGTTTTTTTTGCGCCCAATGCGATTTGGAAGGACGCCAATTGACGGCGCAGCTGCGCTGTCCTAAACATGGAAGAACTGAGAATGTAGTCTAACGCACCATGAATACAGGCCACCTCCGTCCGCTCCATCCGCGCCCTCGTGCCCCTCCTGGACCGCGTCCTCGTCCAGCGCGTCAAGGCCGAGACCAAGACCGCCAGCGGCATCTTCCTGCCCGAGTCCAGCGTCAAGGAGCTCAACGAGGCCAAGGTCCTCGCCGTCGGCCCCGGCGCCCTCGACAAGAAGGGCAACAGACTACCCATGGGCGTCGCCCAGGGTGACCGTGTTCTGATTCCTCAGGTGAGTTTTCCTCTCTGTCTTGGAAACATGGCGATGTGTGACGGGATGTGGACAAGTATGCTGACGAGGTTCAATACAGTTCGGCGGTTCCCCCGTCAAGGTCGGCGAGGAGGAGTACCAGCTCTTCCGCGACAGCGAGTAAGTTTACCGTTCCCTTCTCTCTAGGTGTCATCATGCACCTGTACATACCAGCGGCAGTAGTCTGCTGTCCATTTGCTCTCGGGGAGCGATCAAGTTTCGAAGACCAAACGATAGCTGACTGGGTGTGCGCTTCAGGATTCTGGCCAAGATCAACGAGTCGTAAGGAAATGTAATTGTAAGGATATGATAATGTAAAACAAACAAAAATCAACTCCCCCGGATCAAAAAAAAAAGAGGATACCCCACGATTTCAACGATTTCTTGGCGTGTACAATACTGTGTATCAAAAGGAAACAAAACTTCTTAACTCTCCCCCCTAAAAGCGTGCAGCATGAGTACGCAAGAGAACAAGGGACGATTTGCTATTGTGTTGGCATTTTTGGCATAGACCTGGTGTTATGTTTGGGTATACTTGTAGCCTCCGTGGGCGTTTAGACGAAAGAAGATGAGGTGGCATCGGAGGAGCTGACGACGGTTGAGCTTCAACTGAACCAAGTCGGCTTTCATGCGCCTCTGACCCGGTCTACCTGCTCTCTTTTGGAGAACCCCGCGCGGTTTGACTCATGACAAAACCTTCTCCCCTCTCCAAGATAGTCGCCATTCTCGCCTAAACAGTGCATTGTGTGTGTGAGTTCAAAAAACAATAGTGTCTCGAACACCTCCCAATGACATTTCCACGACATGGCGTACGTCATCTACTCGCTACACTGACGGCTTGTCCCCTTTTTGCCAAGACCGAAGGGGTTGGACGAAGGACGGTCTCTGAGGCAGAGGAGCTGCGCTAGAGGAGCAAAGTCGCTCGCATATTGTCTGTTCTTTTGGACCGGTGTGCAACAATGCGTTTCTTCCGTGCATTTGTCCCATTCCACGGCCCGTATTGTTGTTCGTAAAGAAAGGGAAAAGGTGAATCAAGTGGCTTGCGCGTTGTTTCTTCTACTCTCCCCAGGTCTGCACATACACGAGCTCGGACCGGGCGAGGATCTACTTTGCATACGAATCGGCGTCATTGGAGAGGCATGGGAGTTGGCGATTCAGTGAGAGTGACACAGCCGCTGCGGCTGCGGCTGCGCTGTGCTGCGGTCCGCGAATGATATGGGGAGGGACGGGGGCTCGGCGAGTGCCCGAGTCAATTAATTCCACCAGACTGTTCTGTTTGTGTGTTTGTGTACGTAGTGCGGAAACGAAAGCGCTGCGGCGGGTTCACCTTCGGATAGTAGGTAGTCAGAGTGACGAATCATTGGCAAACAGATGAATATACGCATATTGAATGCCCATGTGGATGGTATGGATTCATGGGTTAGTTAATTAGACGGGGATTGAGAATTCGGCCAAACAAAGCAACGAGACCACTGAGCGATAAACAAAACACACAGGAACAAGGGTGATGAGATATGGATAATGGGCAACGGGAACGAGTGAATGAACGAGCGAATCGGAGCAGGGAAACGAGAAGTGGGAGTCCGAGATGTGGACGGAGTTGCGCCCACGGGAGACCCGGAGTTCCCACCTCCTATTTTCACACGCAGTAAAAAAAAACGAACCATGGCCCATGGGTCGAAGACTCGAACTGGGCCAGGCATTGTGCAGAGAGATTTGAGGTTCGCGACCTGCTTGATGGTTTTTTTTTTCTTCCTTTCTGCCCTTCTCCTCCCTGCTGTGCGTGTGTATGTACTCCTTGCTGGGTCTAGACAAGCGCCGGCGTCTCGGCATCGGAACGACGGAGATCGAATCGCAGCTTGTTTCTCATCGGCTTCTGAAATCTGATTCAGGGAGGCAGGGCGGCTGATGGTGCTCGATGTGGGGGAGGAAAGGAGCGCAGTAGTTGAATTCGGCAAGGTCACGAAGGTGGCGGCGGCGGCTGCTGCTGCTGCTGCTGCTGCTGCTAGAATAGACTGGCGGCTGCGTGGCTCCAGCTGCCAATCGGGAGGCGTTTGCATGTCTCCTCTGGCGCGCGATCTGGGAAACGGAGCAGCCTCAAACATCGGACGGGGCCCGGGGGATGGAGAGTGTGCATTGGGTGTTTGCTGTTCAGTGCAGCCGGCAGCAGTTTGCGCACTCTCCCGTCTCCCGTCTGCCGTTGCAATGTTGCGGTGCCATCAATCAAGAAATCTCGCGGAGACAGGGAAAGCCGCTGATGACGGCGCTGGCGCGTGCGAGTCTTCGGTTCCACCGTCCACGAGTCCAGTTCCCAGAACCAAGGTTCCAGCTTGTAAAGCCGTCTCCGTCGACAACGTGTACCGTCACCACTGTCCCAGTGTTTTGTGTGGTTTCGTCACGTTGTGTTTCCTTGGTCCGTTCGTTCTGGCCGCCTCTGTGTTTGCTTGTTCGGGTCGCAGGCCCAGTTTTAGGGTGTCAAGCTTAAGGGCTTAAGTTGCTTAAGTGCGTTTGAGGAGGAGGAGAAATATAGGGGAGGTACCCAGTGCAGCAGCCATCAACCCACGGCAAATGTTTCCCAACGGCCCTCGTCCGTTTACCTCCCCTCCCCCCTAACGTTAAGCTTACTGTTTACACTACTGCAAGGCACGCACACTGGACGAACCTATAGCGCGTGTCTTTGGGAGGCTTGAGGCTCGCCGGGAAGACAGATCAGCCATAATCCGTCAACGAGCCCGTCACCCAACCTCGGGCATCAGCCGACGGGGGTACGGACACTGATAGTCAGGAGTTGATTGGAATGTCTCGCTCGCTTCCTTCGTTTGTTCGTCGCTTTTTTTCCTTCTAGATCACTTTCAGACGAACCGTCTAATAATGACCCCCTTCCCGCCACCCTGTCAGATGGCAGAGCAAGTACCAGCAGGATTAGGTAAACCGCCAACCAACAATGCCGTAGGTTACATTCACAGTCTGAAGTCAGCCTGGCCCCCTTCACGTCAGGCTTTCGCGACGTCGTCGTCGTCGTCGTCGAAAACCACCCCCAAAAACCGCCAAGATGGCTAAGCTGTCACCTCCTCAGTCTTCCCCCTGCCCCTGGGTTCCGGGTTTCCCCTCCGACGAGGAAATCAGCGCTGGCGCGTTGCTCCAGTGTGAACTGTTTGATTCCTTGGAAAACCGAGGGTCGAGAGGGACCCGCTCCGAATCTGTCATTTCGGCTTCCGATATTGCTGGAGCCTGCTGTCGACAAGCTTCAGGGGATCGACGCCCGGCTGGAGGACGCGGCGCAATGCGATGGAAATCAGCACGCCGCTTCAGCCTCCTCGGGAGACCCTCCACCATCACATTTTATCGGGGAGAATCAAGGGAAAAAAAAAAATTCGTTCTAGTGCGGACCATCTCATCTGCATCCTTCAGAGTCTAGACGGTCTGTCTGCCCTGGTCCCATCCCGTCTCCCGAGATCGAATGTGAGAGAAACCACGAGACAGATGAGAACATAATTGGGAGGAAGAGGGGAGGGCCAGAGTCCAACAAGACTGTGCAAAGGCCGGCGGATCCTCAAGGCTGAGGGTGAGGGAATTCACCCCATGGTAGGTACGGATATGGATATCTGTACTGTGTTGCTATCCCTGGATGCTGTTATCTGTACCTGCCAGGGGTGGAAGGTAAGGCAGGGTAAGATAGGATGAGATGCATCATACCCAAGGTCCCAAAACGCAACCCTAAAAAAGAGCTGCAAACCAGCGCGCGTCTATTCGCCCGGCCTCGGGCTGTTTATCATGTCGATCATGTTTGTCGTTTCTTGTCTGAAGCTGCCGCTGCAACTGCAGTCTGCACCATCACCACACCACTGCAACCCACAGCAGCGCATGCGTACCGCCCGTACCTGGTGCCTGACAGACAGCCGGAGCGACTCAGGGCCCCTAGGTCTTCTGCTTTAATTCCCCGAGCAGAAGACTTACGCCGTAGGGAGCCCTGCCCTGGAGAGAGAGAGAGAGAGAGAGAGAGACGCTAAGAGAAGGCGCCCCGCTCCGGCGCCGCCCCTCCTCCGTTTCATCTTTCCCTCCCCGTTTGCGCGCTAGCGCACGCCACGGCACCCTGCAATATGAAATCGAAGGCAACCCGTAGGCTTGTTTTGCCCAACACCTGGCCCGGGACTGCCATCGGCTTCTCTTGGCATGGGCCAGCGTTGCAGCAGTCCTGGGTTCCCGGACGCCGTGGCCATGATCTGACCCTCTCTGCTGGGTACCGTACGCCGTCCGTACCTTACCTGACCGTCTCATTGAGCAGCACCAGCTTTCTTTCTCTGTTTCTCTCCCGCCCGCGGCAATTTGCTGCTGTTTGCTGATGAGCTCCTCCTCCTCCTTCCCAGTTCCTCCTCGGCAGAACTGCGCGCTAGCGCCACTGCATGTAACCTGCAAGGCGGGAACATGGGGGCCTCTGCACCGAGCATGGGGGCGGGCTGAAAGCACACTGGACAGAGACGAGATGAGATGGAGACTTGGGCTATTCCCAAGGCCCTACCCTGGGACCATGCAGGAGCGGACCTGCAGGTCCAAAGGGGGTGCAAGCGGGTTGATTGAGTGAATCTGAGTGAGTGAGTGAGCGAATAGCTACACGAGTACAGTCTTTCTCCCTGACCTGAGTCCCTCGCTCACCCTCTCCCAGTCCAGTCCCAACTCCCGAGACCACCCAAACGCTCCTAGCCCTCCCGTGGACCAGGCACCATGACTCCATCCAACAAGATGACGAGGGCGGCTGCAAAGCCCTGGCTCCCCTACTTTTTTAAAATCGGGCCTAGTTTTTGGCTGACTTGTCATGGAAGGCTGGGGTTGTGGTCTGTTGGTTGGATGATATAAACCCATCGAGGCATCTCGCCCTCGATAACGGGCCTCCCTTCTTGCCCTCCTGGCTCCATCGACTTTCTGTACATCACAGCTGGCCGCTGATACCACACTCCCTTCTTGTTCGTCTCTGCTCAGTCTGAACGAACGTTCCATTCCTTATACAGAAAACATATCTCGGGCCAAGTCCTTTTTTTGCACTTGCCCTTCATTCACTCCACTTCTTCTCATCGAGAAAAGTTGCTGTTGAACAGTCCGCTCCTTGCACACACACATCGTCTAAGCCAAGCGCTTGAACGACCCATTCACGGTCCTTCCCTCTAGACCTTCGAACCCTTTTCGACCTCGACCAAACTTCGATCTCGGAAACTTCGACTCTCAGCAGGCCTGCTACAGAAATATCGCATTCGATCAGCATCACTTCTTGCACAAAAGTCAACAACAGGATACCCACCTTTTTTGCCCACCATGCAGTTCCTCACCGTGGCCCTGGCCATGGCCTCCGTCGCCAACGCCCACACCATGCTCTCCAAGCTCTACATCAACGGCGAGTCTGAGGGAGATGCCACCTGTATCCGTACCCCCATGGAGGGAGACATCGCCACCTCTCCCGTCGCCGGCCTGACCAGCGACGACATGGCTTGCGGTAAGTTCTTTTCCTGATCCATCGTGCTTCTAGCGTCTCCACCAAAATCCCAGACGACGCTCAGACTTACACGCATCCAAAAACAACATCATGAGATTGATACTGACGCACTCGCAGGCAAGGATGGTGCCAACGCCGTCGCCTACGTCTGCCCCGCCGCCGGCAGCTCCAAGCTCACCTTCGAGTTCCGCCAGTGGCCCGACGCCCGCCAGTCCGGCTCCATTGACCCCTCCCACAGGGGTCCCGTCTCCGTCTACCTCAAGAAGGTCGACGACATGTTCACCTCCGCCGCCGCCGGCTCCGGCTGGTTCAAGATTTGGGACGACGGTCTCGACAGCGAGGGCAAGTGGGGTGTCGACAGGCTCATCGCCAACAACGGTCTCCTGACCGTCGAGCTCCCCTCTGGACTCCCCGCCGGTTACTACCTCGCCCGTCCCGAGATTCTCGCTCTCCACCAGGCCGTCTCCCTCAAGGACCCCCAGTACTACGTCGGCTGCGCCCAGATCTACATCGAGGACGGCCCCTCCGGATCCCTCGACATCCCCTCCGAGTACGCCGTCAGCATCCCCGGCTACGTTGACGGCTCCGAGCCCGGCAACAACTGGAACCTCTACGACAGCTCCCAGAACCCCTCCACCACCTACACCGTCCCCGGCCCCAAGGTCTACAGCCCCAGCGGCTCCTCCTCCGGCGTCATGGCCCTCGCCGCCAAGGACATTGAGGGCGCCGTCCCTGCCAACTGCCTCCTGAAGGTTGGCAACTGGTGCGGTGTTCCCCTCGAGACCTACAGCACGCAGGTGGGCTGCTGGGACCAGGTCGACGCCTGCTACGCCCAGGGTGAGAAGTGTTTCTCCTCCGCTCCCCCCACCGGCTCCAAGAACTGCGACGCCTGGAACTCGGGCATGTGCAAGGTCATCTCCGACCAGTGCACCGCCGGCAACTGGAACGGCCCCCCGGAGAACCAGATCTCTGCCACCACCGTCCCCGCCCCTGGCGCCATCCCCGAAGCCGTGAACCTCGCCCTCCTCGGCTCCTCCGCCTCTTCCAACACCGGTTCCTCCGCCGCCTCCTCCGCTGCCCCCGTCTCTTCCACCCCCATCGCTTCCTCCACCCCCATCGCCGCCGCGTCTACCCCTGCCGCCTCCGCCGAGTACGCCGCCGAGGACCCCGTCGCCACCTCCGCCCCCGCCGTCAAGCCCACCGCCGTCGCCTCCTCCGCCGCCCCCGCCGCGCCCAGCGCCACCGGCGGCGCTTCCAACGTCTCCACCGACGGCAAGTGCGGCACCGCCGCCAACGGCCAGACCTGCTCCGGCAGCGGCTTCGGATACTGCTGCTCGCCCATGGGCACCTGCGGCAGCAGCATGCGCCACTGCGGCTGCGGCTGCGACTCCGCCTTCGGCCTCTGCCTCGACAAGTACCAGAACAAGGGCGGCAACAGCAAGCGCCACGTCGCTGCTCACGCCAAGGCTCACCACCGCCACTAAGCGGTTCGCTGCCCTTCAACGCCTTTTTTACACTCGCATCACGTTTTCATCGACGTTATGTGGCATTATGACGATATGAAAGATTCATTGCAAAAAGAGACACCACCGACTTTCGCTTCGACAAACTCTGTACTTTAGGGACCAAACTGGGCTTTTTGGGGAGATGGGAAGAAGTTTTTTTTTTTTTTTTCAACGGGCATACCATTCACACAATGGCCGGGTAGCATTCAAATTCTTTTTTATCTTTTGAGAAGAGCAATGTGTAAAACACGGGAACGGAACGAGACAAAAGGGTGACACACGTCGTATCTCTTGCATTGGGTTTCTGGTGTTTTGTATTCCTTGTTTCTTCGTGCCATTCTTGTACATACTCTGTATCCATTCAAAACCAAAACATTTCTATGGGAAACTTGATACGCTTGTTGAGCCAAGTTGACGTAATCATGCCGCGCATAATGTTGTAGACTGATGGCATATTCCTTGGTTCATTGCAAGGATTAAGAACACGCTTATCATCTCTACGTACGTGACAAGCGGTCTCCTACTCCACGACGTATCTTTGATTAGGAGAAGTTCTGGTTTTAAGTCTCGTAACCGTCGTTCATGTAACATCATCTCGTTCTTATAGCCGCTGGTTCGGCACCAGCTAAGCAACTCATGCTTCTCGGCCTCCGGAAGAGGATCCATACCGCCGTGCCCGCGACGGCTGAGTGCGGTATAAGCCGGGCTGTAAAGGTCAGGCAGCTAAGCGTGAAAAAGCTGCCATCGTCTCCCTTTCCCTGACTGTGGCTGAAGGTGGAACTGAGGGTGCAGGATGAGGTGCGTCGTCTGTTTATCACACTGATACTTTAAGGCTTAGGTTTGATCCCTCTATCTGCGGATATCTTCATCGTAGGCTTAGAGGTTATAATGAGATAGAATGGCCAGTCGACAATCTTTACTTACATACATTCATTCAATTATATGTGAAGTCCTGCAGTGGATCGTGAGGACAGAGCTTGTGCTTCTTCTAGCTGTGTCTCGGTATGTTGAGCGGTATCTCGAAGGTGCCTACTCCTTTGATACACAATGTTACTGTGATTTGATTCGTTCGAGGCCTGGCATCGTTTGTCATTTATCCATTCGTCCGTTGTTTTGTGAGAATACACGCAAGATGAGTAGATGTATCTGACGGATACGTGAGATCGGCTGAGACTCGGGTCTTTGGGTGAACAATTTAGTCGCTTCACTAAGCTCAAACATTGACATGCTCCTGGTTCTAGGTCCCATTTGCCCTGTGGCTTTGTTTGATGAGCTTTGTCTTTGTTATATATATATATATATATATAACTTCGATTAGCGTAGGATCTTACAGTTGGTTTTTGGGAGTAGACGTCCTTTGACAGTGACAGGCGATTGGCATCTTCTGTGGGAGCTATAAAACAGCAACTTCTATGTTGCTAATTCACAACGTATCGAATCTATTTTCTCTAAAGCTTGTCTTTATCCAGATAGAGACATCACACAATGAGAAGTGCCTATGTTGATAGCACTCCAATAGGCCAATGGTGATTTGACCTTCAGGGAAAAGACTGCAGCTATGAATAAAGCTTTGCCCCTGAGAGACCCCATGAATAATCACGAAATACACCAGTGAGGTTGATGAATGATAGAGGTGTTAGATGACACATGGGAGTCTGGACCAAAGTTGGTATGAGAGAAAGTCCAGCCATTCGTCTGATGAGACAGACGTTGGGGAACGCGGCAGAAAAGCATGAATGCGTCCCTTTTATACCCCCGTATCAACGTCCTTTCCATGACTGACAGGACTTATCAGTTGCTCCGGGTAGTAATTTGGTAAGGGTCTGTCTAATTCATATAAATGAATACCCGCGATACCATAATGGCAATATCAACAACCATGTACTCTATCCAGTGCCTCGCGGTTCTAGAATGGTTGAAACCATCTTGAAACCTCCCTATCCACAGTCAAGACACCCGCCGGGTGTTAGTTGCGTATCACTGTTCCAGAGACCGTGAAGGCTGTCGTCTTTGATATATACATCTCGACTCACTGCATACGAGCAAAATCAGCGCCCAAACAGCCTGAAGAGCCAAGACCTTCTTCAAATGGTGCCTCTATCACGAGCACACATAGATCTCGGCGTCCTGGTCACGGCAGCAGCCGGCCGCTTCTGAAGCGGTGTATCTGTGGCATTCAGAGCTACGCAGATGTGACCTTCTTATTCTCGTATTTTCCCTCATGATATCGATGCCCTAAAGATGTCCCAAAGTCCTTAGTTGCTGTGTTGATGTTAAAGACGAGAAATGCCAAATGTGTTTCAATGTACCATGGCACATAGCGGGTGTCTATTTAATACACCATTCGGACAACTCGATTGACTCGAACAAGCCAATGACTTCGCCTTTGTAGATGTTCTACAGAAGATTGACTCGTACTCGATACCCCATAACTAAGGGCGCAAACCAACGGGTGAATTCATGCTCATTTCATCGACTCTGTCGCTCGCCAGTCTCTCGCGCTTATAGCCAGGAAATACCCCTACAACACAGTGGCTTCGCTCAAAGATCACAAGAAGGGAACCTCATAAGAAGAAAACTTCGGGGTTGCGACTTGAGCTTCCTTTAATCCACGGCAAACATGACTCTCATCTGGTTTGTTCGTTCATGGGAAAGGCAGCTTGGACGCGCGGCTTTATGCGATGTCCCTCGCCTACCGCAAATTCAAGGGCGGAGCCGGTTGGGCTGGATTTGCTTCATCGAATGCTGCAGTAGGAAACCGTCCTTAGGGAACCTTACTCGGAATGTTGCGAGAGAGAACTACATATATGCAAGCCATCACAATCCACATCTTTCTTCAGCGACAAATATTTCTAGGGTACACCGTGTGCTCTCTTGGTCATTCGAAGGCCCATTATCCCGCCACGTCTGTAATGTTCCGGTATGAAACGCTCGAAAGATTCTTGCCGGCCCAATTCGTACTCGTATACAACGGCGAGCATGAAGGAAGACGAGGATGGCTGCCGTCACGCCTGCTTAGAGCGATGTTTCCTCGTCTGCACGAACACAAAGAGCTTGTATACTAGGTACTTTGGGAATCTGAGGAGCGACCACGACATCCCCGATGATTGCTGGGAAGTTTCCCAACGAGTCCGCCAACAAGTCTCGACCACTGCGAGCTCGATCCTCCTCCACAATTGTGTGAGTACTTAAAAGCGGACGTGGATCCTGAAGTCTCTCATCGGAGACCCCGCCAATGTATTGTCTAAGTTCCGGTGCAGCATTTTGGAGATAAAGACTCTGAGAGGGAGGCCAATATTTCGCAACAGGCCTGCATAGCTGTGGGCAAGCTAAGGGGGTTTGAGGATGACTGCGTTATTCCTTGACGAGTCTCGTAATAGATGGCAAGCGACGAAAGTGACGGAAAGCGACGTACATAGATATCTCAACTTCATCGGGGTCAAGTACAGAGTACGGGATCGGAGCTTTTTGCTGATGGTTGAGGAGATGGAGATCTGCTTCTAGTTAGGACACGAACATTGCGAACGTGCCTTGGGTTGCCCAAAACGAATACACCACACGCAGCTGATGGCAATTTTGTTCTATGCAGTTGGTTGCGCCAGATGGTACTTGCCTAGCCACCCGGGATAGAGGACTTATGGTACGATAGGTAATGAACCCCGAAGACCTAGATTGAGAGTAGGGAAGTCTTGAAGTAGATGCGATCAATAACAACTAGACGTTATAAATAAATCCGAGTATGGGACTGTGAGAAAAAACAGCAGCGACAAATGTTTTGCTACCATCCGTCAGGGTCTTGGATCCGAGATTGTGCCTGCGTAATAGCATAGTATTGAGTTAAGATGGCATGGTGGAAATGTACACGAATTTTGACCCTCTCTTTACACCATGTATATCTCCGTCGAATAAGGCGACGGCAGAAATGAAGGTACACAGCGCTTATCAGCAAGACTTTGGCCAGGACTTCACGTAGCCTCGATCAAAATGTTGGTAAGCCACATCCGTGGATCCATGGAAGAGCAAAGAGGCGATCACAAAGTGACATTACCACTACGATTTTTGCGGCCATAGTCAAAGTCATGAAGATCATAGTCAAGTGCTTTATGCAGTCTCCACAGGCGTCGGAATGCAGAGGGCGCCTGCCTGATTAGTTCGTGAGTTCCCTCGGTTCGACGATTGGAACAGGTGGTCAATGTTGTCAGAGCGGTGCGATTCATGGGGTCCGCTCACTCAGAGTGCGAGGTGTTCGTGGACCAAACAGCGGCCATTCTGTCTTCGACCCGGAAACGATGTACTCATTCATGTGTAGCTAAGTATCTGATCACATATTTCCAAAGAGAGACAGGACAGCCCAGAATAGGGTTGTCCCTTGTGAAACTCTTCTAAGCCTTTAAAAAAAAAAAAGGTTCAATGCCGTGCATCTGCTCAACATACAGAAAATGGCAACAGTTATCGAGACCGACCAACGTGGGACTCGAACCCACAACCTTCAGCTATCAACCCTGAGACCCCGTGAGGGGGCTCTAGGTAGGAGGCTGACGCGCTACCATTGCGCCAGCCGGCCAAGTGAAGCGAGTTGACTCGCTGTTGACGTCAGTCGAGCAGAGCCTGCTTATGTAGTCCTGCAGTGGGTAGCTGCGTGGGGTCGTGCGTGCGCGCCGTCACAGCTTGAGCTTGTGGAGCTTGCGTGAGAAGTTTCGAGCCGTGGTTTTTCAAGTTGGAATTGATGCCATGATGGCCCGTGGCCCAGATTGTTTTCCGCGGGAAGGCGATTCGTTTCTGTCTTCCCCGGTGCACCTGTTAAACAGATGGCAGACGCATGACCGAAAAAGCTCTCACTGTTCGTTTCTGTGAGGCATCTCGCCAGGCAGACAAGGTACTAACTCTACCATGCCTTCGCGAATTCGACTATTCTAACTCAGCGCATCCTCATTCATTTCCTCCCTTTTCGACAGGTGGCTCATAAGCTATACACACAGCAGTGGCATAGTCCCCATCATGGCTAATCGTAATCTTGGCCTCCTGCGCCCGCTCGCCCTCCTTCGCACCCTTAATCACAGCCACAGGCGGCCCGCTCCCGTTCGCGTTCGCCTGCCCCTCGACCAGTGTCTTCCTCAAGATGGTAATGTCGTGGAAGGTCAGGCGTCTCTGAATGTGTGCCTTGATCGTGGCCTCTTTCGCGGCGAATCTGCATGAGACGGGCAGAGACCTGTTGTTAGCTCAACGAGCCCTGCTGGACAGGTAGAGGTGGATGGTACGGAGTGCGATGCGCGTACCTTCCAGCCACGAATGAGGCCTTCTTCCACAAATGCTTTTGCGCCTTCAAGTCTTCGATGCCGTTTTCTTGGGATTTATGGGGGTTTGGCGGGGCGTTGTTCTCTGATCCGCTTGGAATCAGGTGCAATTCATCTTTGGTGAATATACGCTCGATAAATCTTGACCCGCGGGGGGTTGCCAAAATTCGGGCAATGCGGGAGATCTGGCAAATATCATTCCCAACATTGAAAGGAAAGGGAAATGCCCTCGGGCTCATGGTAACCCTGCACTGCACGACACCCGAGTGAGGCAGCAACTCAGGTCGTGAACAGACAGAAGTACACACAAGATGATTGACAGGTGAGCACGGGGACAATCAGCTATTCCTTATCAAGACTAGTGCATTACGATAACAAGCTATCGGGCGATAGCGATAGCGATAAGAACGACAGCTACGTCATCCTCTGCGTTTCGCACCCTTTGCCTGGTCAACCAAATGGGATATTACCGTCTCTCCTCGCATGCGTGACCAAAAGAACGCTATTTACATGCCATCCCTCCAATGATCCAGTCGTCATAGCAATTTTGAAAGCAATTTTTCGATGCCCACGCCCTTCCGTGGGTCCTTCTTTTCCTCTGAACACGTCGTTTGTACCTGTTCTTGACTCTATCGGTGCTTCTGTGAACAACACCCAGGTCAGAGTTGCTTGTCTGGTTGGTTGTTGCAGAATTCTGAATCTACTGGTCGTCGGCCAAAAGAGGGGCACGCTCCTGGTCGGCCGGAGCGGAGCGGCGGGGCCAGGAGTACTCCTTGCCAGACCAAGCAGGGTAGGCAATGACGAGGGTTGAGACGAAGAGGACGGCCATGATGGTGAAGGCAAAGATCCACTGGAAGGCAATAACCTTATCGTAGAACTGAGCAACACCGATGGCGGCAGACAAAACGCTCAGAGAGAAGCCCATGGTGTAATCCTGCGACGTGTTAGTTGAGTGGACTGAGAAGCTGCCTCTTGCCAGACTTACCTTGTAGATGGTGATGAAGAAGCCACCGTAGACAAGGATGGACCAAATGAAGATGTTGCCGAAGATGCGGGCAACGAGGTTGTCGGGGTCGTGGACCATGATCGCACCGTTCCAGTAGATGGCAACAAAAGTCCATGCCAAGGGAGCAGACACGACGGGCCAGTGGATGAAACGAGGATATGTGTTGTGGCGGAAGTACAGCGAAGATAGGTTGGCGAAGTTGATGATCAAGATGAGCTCGGCCCAGACGAAGTGGGAGCGCACGAATAGCATGACGAAGGCGAAGTGGAGTAGGTTGTGGAAGATGAAGTGAGAACCGACGCTGGCAGCAGCGTTAACGTAGTCGGTGTTGCTGGAGAAGAGGTGGGCGACATAGCCGATCTGGAGGATGAAAAGAACAATCCTAGGATAGTCAATACCAGACGTCATCTTGCCATTCTTCCATACTTACCAGTAAATATCAACAATGGTCGCGTTCAGAGTGAAGGCGGTGCGGTACAGGTAGTTCTGATCCCATATTCTCCTGCGAATCGTGAAGCCATCGTGAGGCTCGTTGGTGACGTAGTACAGGGTAACGACCAGGGCGAGAAGCCAAGACAAGATGGTCAGGACTTTGTATGTCGTGATGGAACCAGCGCTATGAGACTCCTTCTTGGAGAAGGGGTTCACTGGGGGCAGATTAGCAAGCTGTAGCAAGCGAAGGACAAGACGACGACATACATGCGTTGATACGCTCCGAGGCGGTAGGCATCGTGACGCGAGCTCGTATATCGCAAGGTGGTGAAATAAGTCGGGTTTCTTCCCAGCGGTCCTCAATCCACAGTCAGCTTTCAATGAAGCTATTGATGGTTGTGCAGCGAGGTCGTGTTGGAAACAGGAGAAATGGCATACGTTAGATGGGCGGCAGGCGGGTAGCATTTAAACGAGCAGGTAAAGAAACATGGATGGTAGCTGGGATGCGAAATCTGCGGGGAAGCAACTCGCCACAGGCACATTAGCGTGTAACGCAGATGCAAGAGACGTACCTTCCCTGGTGCAGGCCGGAAAGGAAGGTAGGTGCTGAGGGCGTGGGCTGCATGTACATCGGCTTCTCTTTCTCTTTCACTTTCATATCGACGTGCGTGGGCCGCCTGCCTTACAACTCCACGTCCGCGAGAGCCACGCCCCCCACGACAACACTACGCTTTCCCATTGCGGGAACTGGCAACTACTGCGTGAGTTGGTCCCCAACAAGAGTGCCGCCCTGGCCACATGCTGCTCATGATCCAAGGTTGACAGTGTCAGGAGCATAACCCAATCCTGAGGTGCACGAGAAAAGCTTGGAAAGGGACGGGCAGGGACAGCGAGCAAATGAGATGGATGGGGCTTGTGTGTGCTTGTTTGGACGCCTCGCTTGGCTGGGTAGGCTATGGGTTGGCTGCTTGCTGACACCTGAGGCCAAGGACCATCCTACTACCGATTGGATACGGTCTGCAGCACGTAAGGCAGGTGTATGGGTGACCTGCTCTGCTCGGTCGGTGGATGGATCTTTTGAGGCCTTGAATCGAGGCATTCATCGGTGTTGTAGCTGGTATACGTGCCTACGTACAGTACACATGGGCGACGGGCAAGCGCTTTGAATCGGGATCGGCCCTGCGTTTGGCGGTTTAACAACATGATACAAGGAGTCCGCTGGCCGGAGCCAATGCATTGGCGGTCGACTGGCCGATCTAGCCCCAGCTAACCCTGTTTGTTGCTCTTCCCTGTCCGTTTAGCAGCCACAATTTAAGGTCAGTAGTCGCGAAGGTCAAGATGGCGAGCTGTCGTCAGAGCTGACGATGCGTGGATGCCTTCAAGCACTGAACGGTTCCCCAGGCCAGCCACCCGGCCTGCTGCGCAGTAGCTGGTCTCGTCCCGTTCATGTAGACACCCATCACAGTCACTGTACCCGTACCTTGATGGGGTGATACAACAGCCACTCGCACCTTGCCTAGCACTGAAGAGGTGGAACAGCTCCAGGATTCGAAGGCCGTGGCATGGGGGTGCCAAGACGACGAAAGATGGAGCGCAAGCCACAGACAGACCTGCGACACAAGCTAAGAAAAGCAAGAGGCTGCATTGGGCCCTTCCAAGTACACTCACTTCCTGGTGATTTTCGGTTACGAGTACTGTAGGATGAGACCAAACGGCTCGACCTTGAACAGTGAGGAAATGAGGTGAAGCTGGAGCACACGCCAGGCGTTGCGCAGCAGGTGTGGAGCGCATTGCAGCTGCAGTCCGATGGCTGACAGGGGGCAAGTCGCCGCGGAGTGCCATCCGTGATTGGGTCATCCTTGCACAAGTATGACGACTTTCCGCAACCTCGCCAGTGGCCCCCCCCTCCATCCCGATCCCCATGCTTCAGGGCCACTTTTTCCCGCTCCAAAACTTCTCCATCGCCTCTCTCCGAGGTGCACTGACATTCGTCCCTGCAACCGCCGAGCCCGTCGTCGTCTCCAGCGTCGCTATTGTTGTCATTGAGAAGCGTTGGAGGCGACACCGTCAGTCTCTGGGCATTACACCGGACCGTCTTGCTAGCGGAACATCGTGTTCTCCTCGTGGCCGCTCATTCCAATGGACTGGCAAACTACTTCGTCCATCAGCCACCACCACCTCGCTCCTAACTTCGCAATGCCTCGTTTTCTACACTGTCACAGCTGACAGCAGGCCCAAGGGACACCCGTGTGTCAATTCTTCGGCATACCTTGCTTGGAACCTTGGAGGAAACGGGACCCTTGCTTGCCATCTGCCGACACCATCATCATCACCTCATAGCTTCCCCTCCTGGGCTGACGTCCAGCAATGCTTACCAGACGGCGGGTCTGCCCTGCACCTGTGAGGGTGTCGTTGCCTCTTCCTCCAAAGTCGACTTCCGCGAATGCAGCATCGGCGCAACCATCGCATCTGGATAGACTCCAGTCACTGCTGCACACCCGTCGTCCAATTCTCCAATGGAACGGGACGCCGTTCGAGAGGGGGGCGGAAGCTATGGTAGCGCCGCACACCAACACCACCACTGAACCCAGCCAACCTAGCTAACTCTACCGACTCCCTCTCACACCGCTCTATGATGTTCTTTCTCCCTCAGTCAGAAATTGTCACAAATTGACCATCAGCAGAACTTTGACCGAGCCCCATTTCGCCTGATTTCGGCATGTTACCTATGCTTCTGCTTCTTTCAACGGTCGTGCCTCGCCTCCAGCTGCGGTTTGCAAGAGAAAAGAAACATCCATCGGCCCACTGCACGTCTCATGCCACTCGCTCTGTTCTTGGCAAACCAGCCGGTCTGGTCTCGACCCAGAGCTCGTCCTCCTGCAGCTACCTACCTGAACACGGTGCGCGGCTGGCTTCGAAGCCAACGAAACCGCGTCGCTACACGAGGTACTTCTACCATGTCGATACCTCCCCACGTCACCGCACCTTTTTCTCCGGCTTCTGGGCTAAATTGCGGGGCAACGCCAGCCACGGTCACCTGGCCCATCCTCGACACACCCGACCTTGCCTGCCCCTCACGTCCCGATTGTCATTACAGCATTCGCGATCCAACCGCCCGAGCATTGAGAGACAACTGGCGCTGTAACTACCGACTGCCTGCCGCAAATCACAGCTCACTTTTCTACGTTAGCGAAGGAATTACATCTCGATTTCGGCGCCTCTTGCACTCTTTCCGAGATGTGGCGGTTGAGCGAATGCTCGAATTATTGTAGGGTATCTTGTTTGGCTCGATGTACGGCTATTTTCTCTATCCCCGGCTCTCTTTTTCCCAAGCGCATGCGCGTTGCAGTTCTCCAAGAGTTGATGGGAAGTTTCCCCAGCTATCTCATACCAGTTTTGGACCACCCTTGGACCCTCGATCTTGTTTGCACATCCTCGAGTGGGATAATTGCTACCGAAGGCGTCAGCCCGGGTCTTGGATTTTCTACCTGGGGCCATATTCTTACCCTGAAATACCGATCTCCAGCATCGTTTAACCTAGCCAAACTCCTTGCTACTCTTCGAGATGATGGTGAACCATCCAGGCTTTGTTGAGAACCCCAACTCGATCTTGATACTAGATCCAAAATACCCGTCTCTCTTGTAAGGCTGTCGTACCTCTTGACTTGCTCGTCTTCTCCTATTCTGGTACCCTTTTCGGCGACAATCGATGAAATTGCCTCGTCGGCAGCCGTCTGCAACCCTCGGCGAGGCTTCGGTCTCCGACCACGCGGCGCCGGTGATTCGCTTGGGGCAATCGGGCCCGCGAACTCTGACGTTTTTGTGTAAGGTATCCTGTCGAAGCCGGCTATGGACTCTGTCTCGCGTTGTTCTGTGTAACGACCTCCGCTTTCTAGCGACCAGCCGTTTGGACGATGAGGACTCATTTTGCGTCTTGTGGGGTTTTGATGGGTCGTTCTTCTTGCGTTGCCCGTGGATTCATCTTCGTCTTGAGAGCCTGCGTTGGCAGCCATCTTTATGCGAGTATGCTGGAACCGCTTTGCCCGAGGCAGGCAGTTCATCTCTATTGGAATTTCAGCAGATGGAATTGCCAAATCGAACGCGGCCGCGCAACCCAATGGAGGCGACCCCACTAGGTTTTGTATCTTGTGAGTGGTGGTTTGGGCGCGAAGACCATTTCCATTCGTGCCCGACGACGTTCAGTGGCCGGCTGTGCATGCAGCTGCAACTTACAAAGTATGAAATCCGCTGCTTCCCGCTGATTGGTCTTGAAAGTACTACACTTATGGACGTAACACTGTGAAATTCCAATTCCCAATTTTCTAGGTCGCGTCCCATGAGGCAGACTCAAACGGAAGCCTTGCCAATAAAGTCTTCGAAAATGAGCCTCAACAGTGACAATGCCACCCCTAGGCAGTTTGCCCTTGGGCTCTGCGGCCTTTTTCTGGGAGGAGATTTCGCCTGACAGCCCTTTGTGCTGTCTTCATATGGTGGCTACAGCAGCCAGCTTGAAGTCACAATCGCGGTGCTCTTCATCATTCACCTTTCGATGACAGGGAAGTCGAGAAACCCACGAAAAGCACGATTGATGAATAACAAAACGAGAGCCCGACGAAAGCCGCAGGGGGAATGGGAAAGGTTGAAGTCTACCATCTGTGAGCTGTACGCAATCAAAACCCTCGCGGAGGTGAAGGAGACCCTTAAAAACGATTACAATGTTCAAGTCACGTAGGTTATACCCCATTTTACGAGACTGAATTCAAGCTGATTCTCTTCCCAGCAAGCGACAACTGGTTTACAGGCTAGAGAAATGGGGAATGAGAAAATACAACATTGGAGAACCCGAGAGCTCAGCCAGCCCAGAAAGCCAAGGTGACAGCGAATACAGCCCTCTCGAAGACCAGGACTGCGAGGCCAAGTGTGCCATCGAGCATGACATTCCGCCTGGGGACTTTGAGTATCAGCATCAAGTACCTTTGGGTATTCAGGCTGCAGAGGTTCTGCTCGCCGTTTGCGACACCGAGGGCGCGTGGACCGAGTACTACAAAGCAGGTACAGGTGCGAATGGACGACTAGACCTGACAGCTCTTGCTCGGTCTGCTGAGACAGAGGAACAGCGCAAAGCTACCTTGCGCCTGTTGGAGGAACACATCCCCCCTTCCTGGAGCGGAAAAGATTTAGCACAGCACCGCCTTTTGCATGCTCTTGTTGGCGACCCCATGAAGGACAAAGTGGGAAACATGACACAGCCTGCCGCCAACTTTATTTCGAGCATCACGGCGGCTGTCGACAACTTCTTGTCCCCAGTCGGAGGGTCGGTCAACTTGATCCCCTACATTCTCCTCGACAACTTCATCGTGACGCATCGGGAAATCCTCACAGAGGTAGACAGGTTGCGGCTGGGATCAGTTATCAATAATGTTGACTCCCAGGTCTTGAATGGCGGCATCGACAACCAGGTGCAGGCTGGCAGCTTTTCCAACCAAGCCCCTTCGTCACCGACCATGCATGTTATTCGGCAATGCCTCGCATGGTGCCACACAAAGCTTTACGGCATATCTAGCAACACTATCAACGTAGCGCTGCTTACTCTTAAAATCCAACCTGACCAACATCAAGAGGCATGGAAGAGCCTCTTCGAGCTATACGGCACGCTATGGGGCACACTAAGAGAGCAGTGCACGATCGAAGGCGACTGGCCGGAGTGGGCGAGCCTGTCCATCGAGGTCATGCATCTGTCTCATGCAGAGGTTTTGGCGAGTGTCTGTTGGCTTTTGGTCTATCCCAAAGACTTTGATGACCCCGATTTCTCTGTTCCCAGCGAAGATGAGGGCGGCCTATTCATGAGATCCAGACTGACGTCTCATGCGGCTCTCCATCATGCAGACAACGTCTTGTGGATGGGTTTCCGTAATGCGCTCGTGCGGTTCAACAGACCTACCGTCGCGGATACTGAAGAGAACAAGGCATTCAAAGACGCTGCCATGGACTCGTTGAGGGCTTTCGTCAAGGCCACACTCACACTCAATGGACCGGATAGGGGCGATGAACTGGGTGAGAACGATGACCCTAGCGCTACACTGATGCCAAGCCTGCCCTTGGGCGGAGAGCTGATGATGGTGCAGAACGACAGCTGGTCCTCCGCCCTTTCTGTTGATACCTCCACGGGGGGGTTCATCCCAGCTTCGTCCTTTGCTGTTTCGCCTCAGATGGCTGCGTAGCGCTCGTGTTGCTTCTTGTTGTCTTTTTTGGTCTTTCGTTAGCGTTCTCTCGTTACTATTTAGTGCTGTCAATAATTTTCAGGAAGAATTTCCATAACAATTTTCCATCTTTCAGCGTTCCGTTCCTATTTGTGAAAGTGAAGCATGATGTGCAGCCATTTGTACCCAGTGATTCGATGGCGTTATTGCTAGATTCGAAATAGGCGGTCACCTCTTCCACTCTCCTTCATCGTGACCGTATATCGCTGCGATACTTCTGAACCAATGAGGGAAGCCGCCAGACATAGGAATCGGCGAGGAAGCCACTCGGAGTTCCACGACTTTCTTTCTCGAACGGAGGTTATCATGACGAACTGCGTATGCGTGTTATTACACAAACGGGGTCACTTTCGCCAAATTCGATCATCGGAATCCAGTCCGTGTCTCGATCACTTTTACGTCAAACCGGATTATTTAAGTAGGTTAGTTGCGGGTTCCCTGGGGGCCAATTCAGCTAAGTAATCAAGCCTATAAATGAAGCATAACAATTTTGACATATGAATCTCCTCTGAAAGCACAATGCAACCTCTTCCTCAACACGATAGTCTCCTCGCTCACGCTTCCTCCAATCGACCTGTTTTGAAGGTGAATGTTGGAAGTTACAATCCACGTGGTTCCATAGCTTCAGAGGCTTGAGCTCTCCTCGGCATACATGACCGAATAGCAGGCCATAGAAGATGAAGGGCGGCAAGGCAAGACAGCGGACTTGGGCTTGCGGGGATGGACTGTGGCAAAGCAGCAGCGCTCGCCAACATCGGATTCATCGACCGTTCGTGGAGGCCATTCAAAATAATGACTACTCAAGCGCCAAAACATCTCGTACCCCCATTTCGTGTTTCGAAACACCCATTTCCATAATAGTCACGGCCTTATATAGTATTCTCGCATCAGAACCATGCACCAAATCCTTGATGTTTCATCGTGAAGCCTGGTCGATGAGGCACCTGAGTTCATCCAGCGCAATGAACGCGTGACCCCTTCCATATGGATATTGTTATGTATTCGGAATACCAGAACCTCTTAGATTCTTCCAAACATGGCCCTAATCAGCGACTGCGATAGCTTGTAATCGTAATTATGAGCTTGCCCCCTTGCTGTCGACTGAAGAGACGTAGAAATATGAGTTTACGGGTATCTCACACGTTGTCACTCTGCGCTGCTTCTTTCCTAATATTCAACGCACGTACAGGGGACGCAGAAGGTATCTTCATGGTATCTCGAGGTAGCTTCGCTACGGTCACTTCATTCAATGGGACACGGCTTATCCACGGACCAGCGTCACAACCATCCTCAACCGGACAAGTCGAGCGTACCGTGCAACTGGTGAAGCATCTCATGATGCAATGGGTGGCCATTACACTGAAGGTTAGGCAATTGCAGTATTCGTGTTTGTAGGAGTTGGAAGTTTCGCCTAATGCTCTTGAACACGCCTGAGTTATATCGAGTCCCGTATTGGTTAATAGGTTCTACTCCTGCTTTTGACGAGAATGCTATGACGGAGGAATCTTCGCAAAATCGGAAAAAGCAGTGACACTGCAATACGCAGCTATTCAGACATCGCATGAAGAAGCCAAGCCAGGATTTAGTCCCGTGCCATGGAATGACGTGTTGGCATGTCTACTTAACTGCCGCTTCAAAGCCCAACGGTGATGGGAACACTGCAGAATGACTTGGTTGAGTCAAGGAGTCCTTGGATCCTACTCGTTGCTCATTTCCATAGGGACGCTCAACTTGATCTTTCAAAGTGAACCTGCAAAGCCAGATCAGTGTCGCAGCCTTTGAGTGGCCAAGCGGCTAAGTGCAGAGCAGGTGGACGTATACCATCGAACGAGACGTTGAATAAACATCAAGAAATGGCGACGGAGAGAAAGTGATGAACATGGACCCACCAGGCTCAGTCGACTCGAACTTGTCGCAGCTGACTTGTCCCGATGTTTCAAAACGCAACAAAAGATATGATGGATAACGCGGCCGAATTTGACCGTCGAGGAAAAAGTAGACGCTAAGCACCATCTTAAATACGTGCTAGTTCACACATTCAGGATATCCAAGGTTAGCAGGTGGAAGCGTCAGCAAAAGGGTACCTGCGCTTTATATACACCTGATCTTCAAAGAACAAATGATGTAACACAGCGACAAATAAGATGTGATGTTGTTGAATGGATGTCCCTCTGCAGACCGGAGATTGATGATCTCGGACTGCTGACCGTTGCGACCGAACGATGCCGTAGACTCCGTGATACATGACTATCGTCCATCATCGTCTCAAGGATACAGAATCAGTCAGAAAAGACACAGCCAGAGTCAATGCGAAACTTTAGAGCACCGATGAACAGTGTCATGGATAGAGTACGGGCAGAGAACTATGCATTTGGGGTAGCCGGCAGCCTCCATCATGCAGGACATGATCAACCATAGAATTGCCTGCCTCCCTATAATCATGACTCCGGATACCGGCACACTATTTAAAGGAAAGCTGGAGAAGAGACATCATCAATAGTTGCGCCGAGGCTGAAAAGTTTGGCTAAGTGCCCTGTCATTCATGCGTGCGCAAGTGTCTCTCGAGACGTCGTTGACGAGTCCAAGGGCTGCTACGGTGAGATGACTATAAATGCGATAGGAAATCCTAGAAAACTACTCCTTCAGAATATTTGTTCTTCCGATCCACAGCTGATCGACCGCAGCTGGTATAGTGCCAGAATACAGGCATTGACCGTCATAGACGAGTGTTTCATAGAAGGGTCATTTGTCGCATGTTGGGCCGCCGGTGGCTTGAATGTGTTCTATCTTGTCAAGACGAATCATCTAACCCGAAGAGTGAAAAGGGGATCTGAAGGTAGACATATGGATTAACGGGGATTTGACTCTAAATCTAGTCAAAATCTGAAAACTAGCATCGGATCCCCATCTTTAATTGGGGCTGTTCTGGCCAAGTTCATGACACTGAGCCACAATTTATATTGCTTTGATCCTACTTTTGGATAGAACCATAGCAGACGCCTCATGGTACCAAAACTAGTACCGATTTGGGGTATTTAAATCGCAGCTAGGACTCGGATTTTCAGATCTGCAAATCGACAAAGCGGTTGAAGTTGTTGACCTTCGACATTACCAAATACTTTGGTATACATCACTAGGGGTCCTCCGTTGTGAGAGTCATAGACTACAATTGTCACAAGGTGCATAACTCAAATTACCATAATCAAACTCAGCACAGGACTACACCCACGACAAAGAAGAAGAGGGACGTGTCGATGAGTTGGCAGCAACGGTAGACGTCGAGGAGAAGTCTAGGTCAACTACGCGCGACTTCCGCTCTATCACCACGCAAAAGACTCATGTGAAATCGAGGTGTTTCTGAGATAGATGATGCAAGAAGCTTTCTGAGAGATTAAGGACGCCTGGCGGAGGAATCAGACTCAGGGCAGCTTAAAACCTCGGGCAGCTGAAGTCTGCCGATCTTAAAAGAGGCAACTTTGGTAATGATATTGAAGCTTTGTAGAAATGGATTCGGTTGTGCGTGTAGTTTCTACTTTAATTACCACAAAGGACTGACCATGCAGATCCTGTCCTGGGCCTTAAGAGTCCCACATGCCACTAGCAACTCAAATAATGTTACCGTCTCTGTCCCTCATTGCTTGTCCGAATACACAAAGGCCACAGAACAACAGACGACAAGAGTGCCTTTCGTGAGAGACCGGCGAGCGCAATGCCGGGAACCACTGCAGAGCTCAGATGGTTTGACCGGAGAATGGCCTGGTATCACAAACCATGCTCGCCCAGATCAGACCCCAGAGTGAAGGCCGACATTGTCTGGCCCAGAAAACGATCTCTGCATTGAGTCTCTTTATACTTGAGCCAACGATCGTCATCAACCGGCACCTGTTCAACCCGCGTAAGTATGTATAAAATAGCGTGGCTGGCTTCAGAGAAGGCAGAAAGCCAGGCACAAATGATGACATCACTTTTCAGCGGGAGATGAACTTAATCAATCGAGTCTTACGGAGTCTGTGACACTTGAAGTTTTGATTCATCATACCGTACGCACTCGCCATAACACACTCACGCAGCTGAATACGTGGGGACTAACATGTAAAAATGAAGGACAGGGAGAATTCCCAGTGCGGCTTCAATTCGACGGCGACGAATTTCGCTGAAGTTGTGGTTATTTTGAGGGAAGCTGCTCCCAGATCCAGCCGAAGTGGGATGATACTGAACTGATTGTCTTGTCAACGCTACAGGTTGACCTCGACCAGACTTTTATAACCCAATCCTTGCTCCCAAATGACGGTCAACAGGGGAGTTTTCATGACTGGAAGCATTACGTCTCAATTCTCGCTCAATTAACATGCCCGTTACAGGCCAGGGGCGCCGTCTACTTCTATCAGCGCCCTCTATATCGCTTCAAGACTCTATCGACATCAAATCTCGCTCAAATTTTCACTCCTTCGCAACCCCCCACATCGTCTCCAAGTCTTCCCTCTCACCACTGTGATACACCATATCATAAAACACACCCTTTCGTTTATACAACTCCGACGGGCGTCCCGCTTCCACAACCCTGCCGGCACCCATGACAACAACGGTATCATAATCCGCAATCGTCCTAAGTCTGTGTGCGATCGTGACCAGCGTCCGGTCGCTGTCCACCTCCCTCCTCAGTACCGCCTGGATCCCGCGGTCCGTCTCGTAGTCCATGCTCGCGGTCGCCTCATCGAGCAACATCAGCCTGCTGCCCCTCACCAGCGCACGGCACAGCGACAGGACCTGTCTCTGGCCGTGGGAAAAGTTCTCGCCCTTGGCGTTGACGGTCGTCGAGAGCGCGAGGCCGGGCGCCTCGGTCGAGGGGTCGGCGTCGGCGTCGTCCGAGTCGGAGTGGTACTGGAATGAGGCGATGCCCTGGCACGACTCGAGGGCTCTCTCGAGGGTCGGGGGCGCGATTGTGCCGGTGGGATCGAGGT